GAGAGAAGGGATGCACAACAGCTGGAAAACTGAGAGCCAAGGTAGTGTCATGGCTGGAGTGTTGGACTGAGACCTAGGAAATCTGGGTTCTAGATCTCACTGGGTGACTTTGGGCCAGTCACGGACTCTTAGCCTAGCCTACCCCACAAGGTTGTTGTGAGGATGAGGAGGAGAAAGATCATGGAACTTACCTTGTGTGCCCTGAAGGAAAAAAGATGGGACATAAATACAATAATAGATAAAATATAACCTCCAAACCATTACTGCTTGGGGGAAAGAGGATGTGGTCTCTCAAGGGAGCTCTGAGTACCAGACTGGAGACCTTGTGAGGACTGGATATGGCCCTGAAAACTTCCACCTCTAGATTAAATGAAGCTTTATGCACTTGGAGTGCTCTGAACCTCAGCTTCTGCAGCAAAACGTAATCCTGATTCACAATCATATGCATATATTTACCTAGGAGCAAGCCCCATGGAATTCAGTCAGGATTTACTTCTGAGTAGTCCTGTATAAGACTGCACCATGGGTGCATTCAGATCTTTTTCTTACTGATTCCATTGGTGAACAAGGAAACTGGCCTTGGAGTTAATTCATAATGCCGGTTTGCACCATCCCCTGTTCCCAGAGTTATTCTCCACCTGCTCACAGGTGCTTTCTATTTCTATTCTATTGCTGCTTTTTATTTGTCTTCTCTAGAAGCCTTGGCAGTCCATGTGTCTGTTTGGAGCCACCAACACCTTTCTCCTCTTGCTCCCAATGAGAAAATCTTCTGACAAATGTTTCCCAGAAGGGAGCAATTCAAGCACAAGGAATGTCACTCAAGAACTAAATACTAAAAGACCGATAAGATGAGTCACCCTTCCCAGGGCAACCTCTTCTGCTTTCAGTTATGTGCCATGCAGAGTCTTATATTTCTTATTCACACCAAGCAGCAAAACACTTGAGAATTAGACTTTTCCATTTTTTGCCTTCAAAAGGCCATCTGCCCAGCCAAGCTAAGATCTCTCCGGGAAAGACAGCGCAATCTAGACTTCATTTGCATTTCTATGTGCACACAGAGCAGGCTTTCTTCATTCCCCTGGCAGGGCTAATGGGACGGAGGTACCAAGATCCTTGGAAGGAACCAGAAGGGGCCAATAATGAGGTTACACAATTCACACCTGAAACCTTTAAAAGACGCGTGAATGAAAGAGGGAAGGCACATCTTCTGGAATGCCACTGTATTCTTCAAAGTCACATCTCCAAAATCAGAGAATAGCAGGGTTGGAAGGGGCCAGAAGGCCATCAGGTCCAACCCCCTGCTCTTGCAGGACTCCCAGGTACACCATCCCTCTCCGATGGCTACCTCCCAGGTGTAAGGATCTGGGCTGCTCTGGTGGCCAGAACAACTAACACTGCCCAGAATCAGAACCAGTCCCAAGCCTTGCTGGAGCTCCCGTTCCATGGATGAACACCAACTGCGACTCCTCAGAGGGTTGGTGGACAAGCTACACAGCAGCCAGCTCTTCCCTCCAGAACTATCCGCAGCAACGCAAACCGTCACCTGGGTGTGAGACTGCATTGTTGTGGAGGATGCCGTGGGAAAAACAACTCTGACTCGGATACGAAGTCCTGAACCAACTCGCTACCTTGCCAGCCAGCCGAAAAAGCAGTAGATACCAATGTGAAAAACGAATTGCTCAAACGAGGCTCAAGTGAACCCATTTCCCTGCCCGCTGTCAAAGACACGCCTTGCAACCTGCGACGTTCTACAAAGTTCATCAATATTTCCAAGATGACAGAATCTTCCGAGAGAGCGCCCTGCTGGTTTGAATCCTTATTTCTCCGGTCACATGGGTATTTCCAGGCCCAATTAGTATTCCTCTTCTGCGCTTTGGGCACTGACACAGCCAACTAGAAGTATTGAAGCATTTTGTTCCAAGCAATCCTGCACCCACTCCCCAAGAGAGGCGGGTGACTCGTTATGTCAGTGGGACTCCTTATTCCTTGCAGCTTTTATTCTGAACTTTATATGAGCCTCATGGTGGTGAATCTGTGTTGGGGAGTGGGTTCAGCACCATGGATAGTTCCCATTAAACAGATGGCCTTTGTGTTTTGGCCCTGTAGATCGCTCCCGTAAGATTGGGAAAGAGCTGTGAATGCTCACATCTTCATTTTCTTTTATCACCTCTTGCATAGCAAAGAGTTTTCTTTTCTGAGGTTTTTTTCCAGAAATCCTGTTTTGCACTTCCATCGAAAACATGGAAATGCCATGCCCTTAAGTTTCAAGAAAACGTAGAACAAACATTTCATCAGTGGATCCAAACAATCCCTTCCCTTTAGTCTACAGAGGAAATTTACACAAACGTGGAGAGATCCGAGCAAATCTTCCATCCATTCTTTGCTCAGTTTGTGCAAATAGGAAGGCCTCGGCAGTCATAAATACATGTATAAATAAATGAGTAGCAATCAGAAACAGAAATCAGGCAAATGACAAGCAGCAAGATACTGAAAAGCTCTCCAGCACCGCTTGTCATTTTCACATTCTTGGAGGTGACACAAAACTTGGGATTTGTGGCACAAAACAGCTCAAGAATTCTGCATGTCTGGAGAAGATGCAAGTCGCAGGGTATAGTTAACACAGTCAGTATTTTTAATTTATTTATTTCCCATCCCTGTTATTCCTCCTCCTTCCCTTGTAAGGTTTGCTTTGGAGATAGAACAATAGACACAGAGGTATTTTTAGCCCTTCTGATCTTTTCTGTGTCTTCTAAACAATTTTAAGGCAAATGCCTTGTAGGGTGAATTTGAAAAATTTCACAGCAAGGTTATTTGAGCATACAATGGAGCTATTTTGGTGCTGGGCAATTAGCAATTTTTAATGTGAAATAGTTGGAGAACTGCATATACTTCTCTGTGGAATTTTAGCAAATAATACAGGGCTTTCAAAAATAATAAATGATCAAATGCATGTGAGATTGCACTGTTGTGAAGCCTGCTTTGGAAAAACAGGTCTGATATGGGTACAAACTCCTGAACCAACATGGTAACTTGCTAGCCAGCCTGAAAAGCAGTGGATAACGAGACGAAAAATAAAGTGAGCAAACATGTACTGCCTGCTGCCAAAGACACACGATGCAAATCACTGTTTCCAAGATTAAAGAAGCCATTCTAGAATAGGTGGATCCTTTCCTTTGCCAGTCAAGGAAAATCATCAAGGTGATACCAGAAAATATTCAATGCTTAACATTGTCATATTGCCTACATGCCTGTTTTATAATCTTATGGCTTTAAAAAAACCCACTGATTCCAAATGCAGTTTTTGTTGAAGTCTGGATCGCTTTTGTGTGAAGCTACCTCTAGTGCAGGATGCAAGTTAAGCCAAACGAGTGTCTTATTCTGCCCTTTAATTAAATTCAACATGTACAATTAATATTTTCATTCTTTCATGTGATAGGACCTCAAAGCTGGGGCTCCACATAACCCTATCCCTCTCACCACCACCCAAAACCAGATCAGAAAGCCATATAATCGCCCCCCGAGAGTGCAGTCAACCCCTAGACACACTTACTTGGTAGTAAACCCCACTGAAGCCAATGTGATTTACTCCCTGGTAGAGGTGCCTAAGATTGCACTGTGAAATACCAGCAACAGCGACAAGAGGAAAGCAAAAAATGGGAATCTTTGTCATTGCAGGCCAGAGTATTGATAAGCTGACAGGTTACTGTGCGTATTTCTTCAATACACGCCAAAAATAGTGTTTATTTTCTTTGCTGAAGTTTGCAACAGTACCCTCTGGCCCAATCCTGCCCCCACGCCACCAATGTGTTTTTCCTCTAAGCCTGTTCCGCAGGCAAGGAGACCCATAGGCTGCCCCTGCCCCCCCATTTCTCTTCTCCTCCAGTCTCCTTGGGGATTAACACCAGATATGAAATCTACACAGACCGGGGTTTCTCAACAGCCTTCCAGGATGGGGAGTATTAGCTCTGCCTGACAGAAGGGCGGGCAAAAGTCGGATCAGGCTGTGCACACAGAACTCTGAGTAATTTGAAGTAGCTCAGCAAAGATGATTCATTCCCAATTGTTTAATAACAGCAGAAATACAATGGCTCCCTCCCCCCTCCATCCAAAAAGATATGACTCAAATGAAGACATCTGAGGAAAGCTGGAGAACAGGAGAGAACCAGGAATGGCATTCAGTTCTGCTACTCAAGACCAATTCCTGGGCTCAGAAACCTTTAATCCTAAAGCTATGACTTTTACTCCGGTTTCTCATACAAAGCAAAGGACAACCCACAAGAATAAAGTCTACACCCCGTGATCTTGCTCAGGAGCAAGCAAAAGCCAAGGGGGAGTCACCTACTAGATTTCTGCATGATCTGCCATAGATTGGAAAATGTTTCTGATTCCCAGTTCTCTATTTAACAAAACTTCCCCTCCCTAAAGCTGGTGGCTGAGAAAGCACGCTTGGGGAAGCAACCAGGAGCAAGAACAGTTGCAAGTCTGGTTCTGATCCTGATCACAGATTCCTGCTGGGAGTATGTGTTCAGCGCCAATGCGCTTTATCATTTTTAGCAGATGTACAGAGACAGTTTTGCTGCAGGCTCCAGTTAGCCGTTAACTTCGGGGAAATAAGCAAAATGGAACACCAAAGATCCTGCATCCTGAAGTTCGCCCCAGCTCTGCTGTTCCCTGGCAAGCAGAATGATTGGCCCGTACAGGGGTGGCGTGGACCGTCTGGATCCTAGAAAAGCTCCCCCCAATCACCACCCCCTGTTGCCCAGGGCCAATTCACACCATCCAAGCGGAGAAATGAGACACAATGCTCCACACTGTGAGGGGACATAGAAACATAGAAACAGAAACACAGCAACCCAATAGGATGCTCCTGGGTCATCTAGTCTGACCCCCAGCTTCAGCTGGCTCCACTCATGTGATCTCCAACATGTGGTTGTCCAATCTTTCCGCAATGCCCTCACTGATGGGGCCTCCACCACCTCACAAGGAAGCCCATTCCGTATCCTAGGGGTCCTAACCATCAAGAAGCACTTCCTGACATCCAACCTGAAGCCTGGTGCCTTGAGCTTGGCCCCATGGGACCGCATCCTGCCCTCCACTGCAGGGAAGAACAAGTCCCGGCCCTCCTCCACATGACATCCCCTCACATCCCTACAAATCGCTCAAAGATCCCCTCGGCGTCTCCTCTTCTCCAGGCTGAAGAGACCCAGTTCCCTCCATCTCTCCTCCAATGTCATCCCTCCCAACCCAGCAACCATCCTCGTGACCCTGCACTGGATCGATCCTAACCTAGCGATGTCTCTCCTATAACGTGGAGCCAGAAATGGACTCAGTACTCCAGTTGTGGGCACACCAGAGTTGTATGGAGTGGCATCAACACCTCCCTAGATCCGGAAGCCACACTTCTGGCTATGCATCCAGGGGTGCATTTCCCGATTGCTGCGGTGGGTTCTCGGTGGCTGATTTCTCTCTCTGGAGGTGAGCAAACCCAGCTAGAGATGGAGCAGCAGCGCATGCAGGGAAGGAGGCCTTGAGTGACAAACAGGTCATCTCTTTCCCCTCAGCCATCTTCACCAAGCTGGTTTAATAAATAGGCTGTGCCAAAGATGTATTTGTTCTTGCAAGAGGGCATAGAGGACGGAGGCCAAAGAGCACTGGGAAGTTAAAGAACATCCCTGTTGTTTAATTAAGACTGCCTTCCGACTACCAAGGATAAACCCCGTAGGTCGACTGAAGAAAACTGAAAGTTCAGTGCTGTGTTTGTTTTAAACCTTTCTGACGTTTGTGGGAGCCAAACCGAAGAGGCACCAAATAAAATGTGTGGGAGTGAGATAGAATGGATGTTTCTTTCTTACTTCATTGCCTCCAGTCCAGCGAACATTGCAGCTCGGAAAGGAAAGAATTAACCCTGCAGCTTCTGAAGTTTCAAGTTGTTTTCAGCTGAGAAAAAGACTGGAAAGCAAGGACGGATGTGTGGCCCAGGCACCTAAAAAAATCTCATTGCTGTGTCAATTTCTTCCGTGTTCCTTTGAACATTATTACCAGTGGTATCAATAGGCACGGCGCTCACCCAGCGTAAGCAAGGCAGCAGATCCCTGCCCCAAGGAGCTTACATTGGATACACGTGTTGGGAGAGGAGCAAAATGGAGTGACAAGGGGGAACAGGGGAAGAAGGTACATCTACGTGGGTGAAGCTGTTCTTTTCAGCAGAGCAAGATGGAGAATATTCGTGTGTCCACGGGCGAATTTCCCTCTGGGGTCACCTGCCCAGAGTCACACGACAGCTGGTAATGAAGCCAAAGGTGGACAGAACCAAAGGCGGGGGGGGGGGGGCAGACACACAGCCCTTTCCCTTGGACTTCCCCTTCTCTCTCTTGGCCCACAAGTTGCCCCCCCCCCCACAGAAGGGGAGGAGAAGTTGGGTGATGCCCAAGAAACAAAGGAGCAAGATTTCTTTTCCAGCCTTGGAGTCATGCTACGGATGCAACTTGGGAAGAAGGGAAAGGGTGGAAAGACGGAATGGGAGCGAAGCTGAGGAGAAAAAAGCAGCAGGGGGCACTGGCAAGGTAGCCCCCACACTTGCCAGGCAGAGACTGCGGAGCCAAGGATCCATCTTCCACGTTCTAGTCATCGCTGCATGCTGTGCTAACCAGTCCGCTTCCCTGGACTCCTGTCGCTGACCAGTCTGAGCGAAATAAAATCACGCCCCCACCCCAAAACCAGAGTCCAGAATCGGGTTTTGCTTTTTATCTGCTCTGAGGCAATTCAGAAAATTCCGGATCGTCGGGAAGGGTTTTGACCACGGCGACAGCTCCACCGGGGTGACGGGTCTGTGTGTTGCCGAAACGCCTGGGAGAAGAAGAAGGACCCATCAAAGAGCAGCGGAAGCTGCACAAGGCAGGACGTTGGCATGAATTGAGAGTGGGGAACCTGCTGAGGGACTTCCACTCCAATCATCCATGACTGAACTGGACAGGGCTGATAGGAGTTGGAGTCCAACAATAGCTAGAGGTTCTTCCAGCTCTGGATGAGAAACCGGTCCACCAGCTCATGGCTTAATTCTTCCCTCCCACTTTAGGGAGAGCCAGGATATTTCTTTGCATAAGATAAATACATGCATAAAACAAATCGAAAATATATGCGCTTCAAGGAGGAGTTGTGGCAGAATTATCTGTGCTGGGAGCTGGGCTGCCTGCCATGCCTCCAGTTTGCCTCCTTCCAAATCTGCCACTCGGAAGAGCCACTTCGCTCCTCTCTCTTGCTTGGTGCGAACAGAACATGTGACTCAGTCCTGGTGCGGATGACCAAATTCCTGCTGCTGCCTCTCTGTGTGAGTCACTGTTCTGGATCCTTTAACTCCTCAGGCCTGAAACTCATGCAGAGGCACAGCGGCTCCGAAGGTGCCCCACCTTCCGTTTCCACTCTCCCAGCCCAGGAGCGCTAATATGGACGCAGCCAGGTTGGCATCGCCCAGAAACAAATCTGCAGGCTTGAAGGATCCCAGTGTTTGCAGCAGTACAAAACACAGGACCACAAAAAGCTCTCGTGGGAGCAAAAAGCAGCCAACAAAACCACATGCCCTGAGTCCCCGCTGGTGGAAGGAGGGCAGAAGGGAACGCCTGGAATCCGGAACACCTGCGTTCCACGCTGCAACTTTCTGTTGCAGTTCCCGCTGGTTCTTACTCTAATATTGAGCCTATCGGGTCGTAAGATTGACAGAGCGTTTTTCATTTGAATTCAGAAAAACAGAGTGCCTCTCCGGGGAACCATTCATAAGAATGGAGTCCAAGCCAGTGGGGAAAAAGCAGAGTTAGGCCTCATTGGAAAGGATAGTATCCTACCTCCACGCATTGATTTCCGGGTCAAAGGCTTCCACGGTGGTCACGTGGACGATACCATCATAACCCCCGATGGCTAAGAGGTAGCCATTGGCTGCCACAAGACTCACCTGCAATTTTTGAAGAGAGGGGGAAAGAGATTAAGCAGTCCTCAAGTTCAGAAGTGGTCACCCAAGAAAGGTTTTCTAGAAGTGGTTAACCCAAGTTTGAGCCTAGGCTGGTCCAATACCTAAAGTCGCAGCGAGAGAGAGAGAGCTGCAAGCTTGGATCAATGCAGCATTGCTATTGCATTGACTAAAGCTTTAGACTGAAATCCTAAATACCCTTAATTGGGAAAAAATCCATTGACAACATGTGGGGGGGATTAGGACTAAATAGACATGCCTGGATTTGTGCTGTTCACTACAGATCAAAAGTCCCCCCCCCCAAAAAAAAAACCCCAAAAAAACTATTGGTGGAGGTCCCAACTTCAGGTACACAAGTTCCCTTCCTCCAGGCTTTAGGAAAATAAAAAATAATAACTGAGGAGTCCGAGCAGTTTGAATCCCAGACCACTTGGAGCAAAGAAGTATCTTGGGCCGCATCTGCACCCAGGCAAGAGGGAACGTTCAGCCACCACCAGGAGCATCCAGGTCCCTTGCTAAATCTGACATTCCCCCAAAACAGAGGAACCTGAAACAGATTCTCCGAGCCATGTTGAAGTGCCTCCTCCTGCTAATGATTCACCTCTCCAAACGAGATGGGAGCCCGGAATGAAAGCAAAGAACAGGTGCTGCTTCTCACAGTTGAATAATCTTCTGTTCGTTGATCTTGTTCACCTTCAAGACCTCTAAAAAGGGTGCCTTTGGCTGAAGTTTTATAATACATCAACGCCACCTTGCCAGCCAGACCATCATCTCCGTGACCACGCCAGGTGGGTCTGCAGAGCGCAGCTCCGCCTGCAACCGTACCTTGCTCCTTTTGGACTTCATGGGTGTGACTGCAGCCCACTCGTTGGCGAGAGGGTCGAAGCGCTCGGCGCTGCACAGTTCTGTGATGTCGTCGCGCCCCCCGACGGCGTAGAGCTGCCCTCGAAAGATGGCACATCCCAGGTTCTCCCGGCAGGACCGCAAAGGGGCGCAGGGGCTCCACCTGTCCTCCACGGGGTCGTATCGCTCCACTGGGGACAGGGAACGAGAGATCCCGCATGGGGGGTTGACCGGACGTGGCAACTCCCGTGAACCTGATTACGTTTTTCTTATTTGTTTGTTTGTTTAAAACTTTTATGCCGGGATGGTTTAACAGTAAGACAAAAAATAAAACACAGCATCCTAATCAATTCTAACAATAAAACCCATATTAAAATAGCAGTCAAACCTTGAAATATTGGGAAAATAAAAAGGTTTTAGCTTGGCGCTGAAAAGAATGAAGTGATGGCACCAGGCAAACCTCTCTGGGGAGCATATTCCACAATCAGGGTGCCACCGCAGAGAAGGCCCTTCTCCAGGTAGCCACCCTCCTAATCTCCTTCAAGAAGGGCTCTCAGAGAAGGGCCTTCACCCCAGATCTTAAGGGGCAGGCAGGTCCATATGGAAGGAGACGCTCCTTCAGGTAACCAGGTCCTGAGCTGCTTAGGACTTTATAGGTCTTTGAACATTTAATACTAGGGTTGCATTGAGGAGGAAGACTGGCCTATTAAATTTTAAATATGCAATCAATAAGAGGGAGGATTCTGTCTCCCCTTGAGGCTTTCAACCTGGCTGAGACCAAGACCTTCTCAGTACCTGAATGCAATGGGAAATGCCCATCGGAGCCTCCGACGGCATACAGGTAGCCATCCAGCACAGCCAAGCCCAGACCCCTCCGGCGACGGTTCATCGGTGCCACCTTGTGCCATCTGTTGAGCTGAGGGTCATACCTAGAAGCAAACGGACAATTCTCAAGAAGCACACGCACATCAAAATCCATGTTTGATAGTAGGTCAAATCCAGGTGGCGGCAGCTCCAAACCTCAAGGTCTGGTCACCGGATGCTAGGAAGAGTTCTTATGTCTCCCTAACATCCTGATTACCGCAAAGTGTTTGATTACATTGAGTTCAGCTGCTATAAACTTCAAAATGTAAAGAAGATGGAGACTTGGAGTCACCTGGTGCAACGCACTCTTGGGGCAAGATCAGCAGTCAAAATGCAGCATTTCTCACAGCTGGATGTCTGCATGAATTCCTCCAATAGAGAGGGTCCCACTAATTCCTGAACTGCACTCTCTGGCTGTTATAGAAGGGTTTGCCGGAAGCAAGTTCTGCCTGGAGTTGAGTCAAAATGTTTCCCTGCACTTCCAAGTGTCCTAGACCAACACATCTTTGGCATCTTCTGCCCAGCCATCTTTCAGATATATTCAGGCACTTGCCCTCCAAACTAAGCATGCTGTGCTTCTGTGCCGCCAACCGTGCAAAATTCTGGCCCAACAGGTGTTTAAGAAAGAGCAGCTAATGGACCCCATTGGACTAGAAGGGCTTCCACTGACTCAGCTTACCTCTCCACGGTGTTGATGCAAATCAGCCCATTGTATCCACCCGCACAGTAGAGGTACCCTCCCATCTCCGCCACAGCTACGTCTCGCTTGGGTTCGCTCAGTGGAGCCACATCTCGTTTCCACTCATTCAGTTCAGGTTCGTACCTTCAGCAGCAATACATATAAATAAAGACAAATAAATAAGGATAAGCACCTTGCTCAGTTTCTCTCCATTTCCCCATTTTTCTTGTCTTAAAGTTGGAGCATTCCAAACACAGGAAATCTTGAGAAACGGCTCCCGTGAAAACATGTGTGCCCTTGTGTGGGTATTTCCCCTATGGTTGCATGTGTATGCGATTCTGCCTTGTTGTTGTTGTGAGTCGCGACGTCGTGTCCGACCCACCTAATGAGAAGGAAGGACTCCCTGGAGAAGCCCCTGATTCTGGGAAGGATTGAAGGCAAAAGGAGAAGGGGACGGCAGAGGATGAGGTGGCCGGATGGGGTTTTACCTTGTACTTTTATATTTTGTAAGCCGACCTGAGCGCTTGGCGGAAGGATGGGATATAAATGCTTGTATGTATGTATGTATGTATGTATGTATAAATAAGGATGGATGGATGGATGGGGTCACTGGGGCGGTGGGTGTGGGCTTGGGTGGACTTGGAGGGACGGTGGAGGACAGGAGAACCTGGAGGAATGTTGTCCATGGGGTCGTGATGGGTCGGACCCAACTTTGTGACTAAACAACAACGAGCTTGGCTTGACATAATCTGCTATTGCCTCATAGCCTCCCTTTCGGATTGGTTGTTTTCATGTGCAAACAGCTGCCTCTTCGATGATGTCATACTTGCCGTCTCACATAATCCAGACAAAATGCAAGACGAAATGTTCCTGCATAGCAAGGGCTGCATTTATCCACAAAGCTCACTTCATAGCCAGAAATAACTATTTTTAAAGCCTGCCCAGCCCTTGGGCTTTGCATTACCGTGCTCTGGGCTAGCCTTTCAGCAAGGCGGCAGGCGGCTTCTGGGAGCCGCTAAGTGGCTCTCAAAATACAGCATGACACACCCCTGACACGAGTCGAGTGCCCGCCGTCTCTCCGTCGGGCATATATTTAGCCAGGGGTTTTTCTTTAAGAGGAATTGCAAGAGGCCCTGGGTCACTGCGGCTGCCAGCTGGTGTGAGCAGCCACATGCATGAGAGACGCGCAGGGAGCAAAGCAGAAGACCCGCTCCTGCGGTGGGAAAGCACAGCTGCCCATATTCCCGGTTCTAGAAGCAAGACTGTGTTGGGAAAATGCAGAGAAACCCTGGCAGAAAAACATCGCTCATATGTGCCTTTGTGTGATAAAATCAAACCTGCACCCCTTTCTCAGAAAGCACCCAAAAATTCCAAGCCAGGTCACTGTTCAGCGCTGCTGTTACTTAAAAGAAGATGGAATTCTTAACTGGACTGAGAAGCTGCTGGAGGCTGACGCCACCGGAAAGGAAATGCCTGTGTTCTCATCAGCTGCATAAAAGCCGAAACAATGGTGTCCATTGGCTTCTGAATGGACCCCCTCAGCCTCTAGTCCCACAGAGCCAAGCGCCTGCACGGTGTAGTTGCCAAACCTGATTTCCTGAATGGTTCCTCCATCAGACGCATTTGCACGTTTAAACCGGATCCAAACTGCAAAGAGGTCTATTCAACCGACAGGTCAAGAAAGCAATCAGGCATGTTTTCCATACTGTTGTTACCGGCATGTCTGATTGGCTTAGAACATCACGCCATGCCTAAGGACATCAGAAGGCTATTGCGCTAAGATTATCTGGAAACTGAAAACTCCGTATTGGTGTATGTGACCAGCAGGTTATAAAAGTGTCTGTCCATGGGCTGTGATTTTGGAGTTGGTGGTGGAGACCACTACCCAGTAGCAAGCTGTCGAAAGCTGCAGGCGTCCTGGGTGACCTTTCAATGAAACTGCTGAGGTTCAAGGTGAAAGGAGTCTTTCCTGACTGAACCTGGTGATCCTCGTGCGGCTGCCATCAAGGCTTTCCCAGCAAGTGCTCCCACATGTTCCCTTCTTTGGCGAATTAGGAGCACCTCCAGGTCCCCCTCCTGTACTGTGACGTGCTATTTATCAAATGCATTTCCTTTCTTCCGAGAAGCCCCAGGCAATAGACGTGCTTTTCTTGTCCCATGGTTGTGCCCGATAAGAGCCCTGCAAGGTAGCCCAGGTTGAAATAACATGCCTGATGCAGGGCACCCGTTGAGTTCCACGGCCCCGGAAGGATTTGAACTCAGGTCTCTGTTTTCCCTGCTCTTCCAGGGGCTGAGGCAGGACTTCACTGCCGCTAGCATGCCATGGGAATCAACCCGCTCTTTACGAGCTGGTGCAGAAGTTCAGTTCCAGGAAAACTGGAACTGGCAGAGTAGGCACACAACTTCTGATATAATTCCTTTGGTGGATGCAAGAAAGGTAGCAAGTTAAGGGATTCAACTTTGCCCATTCAATGGTTTGAGACTGGGTTTCAGCCCACACCCCCGCGAAATCTCCAGGGTGTCAGAAAAGTCCGGCTTGTGGGCTCACCGTTGAAGCACAAGAGAATCTAAGTTGGTCTGGGGTTACGCAAGTAGTTTTGCATCTCTGTGGGGATTATGACCTCAGACCTCTGTGGCCTAAATTCAGAACATTATTCACTTTAAAAAAGAAAGAGAAAGAAAATATACCCGAGCGGTTGCATCAGTAATGCTACAAAAATCTGGGCTGTCATGAAGGCAGGTATTTCTGTCCCCAGTCGATGGCTTCTGGAAACAGAACACTATTTGCATATAAGCATAGCAATTTTACAGTTGTTCCACAAGTACTCCGCTCCTTCTCATGTTCCTGACTGAATCGCTTTGTCAGGCGGGTTTGGAGTTGCCGGATGTCAAGGACTTTCTGCAGACCTTTCTCAGCCCACCAGTCCTTCTTGCCTGCCTCTGTTTCACTGTTGTGAGTCATTTATTGCTATGGTCATAGAAGGCCGATGACCTTTTCTTTAATTTGGGGTTTGATTTATTTACCTACTTTAACAGGAGCAGATGCTTTTTAACTGGATTGATGACTAAAGGGGTGCGAATGGCTTCCTTCGGCTGCTGAGTTTAAAGGGAACCCCTTTTTGGAGTTTTGCATCAGACTGTGCCTCCGTTTGCAGATTTTAAAATGGTTGTTGCATGCTGCTCAGTCGCCTCTGACTTACGGTGACCCTTATGAATGAAAGCCCTCGTAAAGATCACACTCAGCTCTTCTAGATGCGAGGCCGTGGCTTCTTTTCGAGATGCCATACAAATACTAAACTCTTCTTCTCGCAAGGAAAACAAATCCAGCTAGGAGAGCATAATGGGATTTCCTAAAAAGAGGCACACGGGGATTTCAAAGCAGTCCAGTTTCTGATTCCAGCTCACCCTTCTCACATCCACAGAAACGGATTTCATAAAAATCCATTGCATGAGATGCCATGCGTAAGGGACAGCATATAGAAGTTTTAGATAAATAAAGTAAAATAAAAAACACAGAGAGAAACTGTAAAGGAAGCGGCTCTTAATGAAACTACTTCATGGCACATTTCCATAACTTGTCTGCCATGCAGGATGCCCACGTGTCTTATTCTACAGAGGGCAGTCCTCTGTTCGAAGGTGTCCATTTGAAGGGCTGTCAGAGGACCGTCCTGTTTGTTGGGCTATCCACTCCAAACCTTGTCTACATGTGAAGACCACTACAAATGGAGAACAACCCAATCCACTGGCAGCCCATAGGTGCAATGCGCCCAGCCGGCCTCCTCCATTCTGGCAAGATAAGTGCTTGCATTTGATTTCAGCAATGATCCCGAGAACCAGCATCCCTGCGTATTAATTAGCATTTGCAAATCGGATCCAAGTCTATGCCCCCCTCTGGAGTGATAATTACCTCTCGACACTGCTGAGACACACGACGCCATCATGGCCGCCCACCGCATAGATGGAGCCGTGCAGAGACGCAACCCCCAGGCTTCGGCGATGCCTGGAGACCGAGCCGAGGACTTTCCACTCATGGTCCAAGGGGCTGTAACGCTCCACACCACTGACGTTGCCGCTGCGGCTTAATCCTCCAACTAAGAGTGAGGGAATAAGAGGCGGGAATCAGCGAGGCATTCAGGACTGGCCAGTCAACTTGGGGAGAGGAGAAGGAAGGGGGAGAACCTGTTGTATGGGCACCATCACGGCTGCTGCAGGGGGAGGGAAAGAATGGGGGGCTTGGGGGGCCACCTTGACTAGGTTCCTCCCTCCATCACTGGCAGGGGCCGCTCCATCAGGCTGCAGCCGAGGGAGAGCTGGGGCAGGAAGCACCACTCCGCTTCTCTCTAAGAACTACTTGGCTCCTCCCTCCATGCAGGTTTCCCTTCCATAAAAACGTTGGAACTAAGCTTTGCTTACCCTTTTTCCCTTCGTCCTCGTGCCTCTGGGTTTCTCCAAATGAGCCTTTTATCATACAATCACCCTGCCTCATTCCCAGAACTCTATAACCGATCTAGAGCACAAATTCTTCTTTCATAACCCTCCTGGGATTTCCGACCATTTCTTCTATCCATCACGGAACATCAGTTGTGGTGGAAAAGACAGCATAGCTACAGAGTGCCTTCCAAGGGATACTGTACCCTCTTACGCTGTAACCCTGAAACCCAAGTCCAAGTGTTTTAATGTTTTATTTTTAATTGTTTTATGTCATTTCCATTATAGATGCAATCCAGGCAGGGTTGCAAGAGTCCAAAGTGGATGCAAAACAGCGCAGGGGTTCTTTCAAATCCTAAAGGACGGGTGTAGATGCAGTTTCGGAGGAACCAAAAATTAGAAGTTGAGAGGTCCCCCAGTGCATGGCTCTTTCTGATGTTGGCATCTCCCTCACACCTGGGGGCGTTCAAGGGTTGGGGAATCTCTGGACAAGATGCTGTCAGGGGGGCAACCTCCCTCTCTTGGTCCTCCCTCTCTTGGTCTCCCCCTCGGCCCAATCCAGCCTGCTGCTGAGGGAGAGGTCGGAAGCTCGGCTGGCATCCCCACTGCACCCCTCTGGTTGCCCACTCCCACAGCCGCAGCAAATCAGCAGGACACAGATCCCAACTAAGAAAGATCTGTACGAAGCACCCGACATGATGCGGGCTCTGTGGAGCAAAGGGATTATTTTTAACTGTTGCCTTCCAGTCATCGCTAAGGAGGTTTTGCAGGAAAGAAGGCACAGAATTCGCTGTCAGCTCTCTCTCACTCACTTGCTCGCTCATTAAAGCAATCATAGGTTTTCCTCATTAGTGGCCCTTATTTCCAAGAGACAGGTGTGAGCTAGCACTGACTGACAGCCCGTCAACCTGCAGAGCATCAGATCAGACCCCCAGACTGAAGTTGTCATTGCCAGGCAAAGTTGCCCACTGAATTGAGCTGGAGTCACACCAGGTTCCCTGACGACAGCTTGTTTGGCTATAACCCCAGAATTCTTGCTGAGCTCATTACAATGGGAAGAAAGGAGGACAGGACTTTCTACCTAGAAAAATCTTCCGCAAGTTTTTTCTTCTTATTTTTGCAGCCACTTTATTCCTTTTAATGGGCGGAATGTTTTTCAGGGGCAGGGAAAGAAAAAGCAAAGCATTTCCTTGAGACCCATGCAAGAGCTGTGCTTCTCTTTCCATTATATCATGACCACGACTGTTCTGGTGCTCTCTAATGCAAAATTGCTCACACTCAGCCTATTTTTTTAATCAGGGTGGCAAGCAGTTTTGTCCATACTTTCCAAACTTATCAAGCATGTAGACACACTTCCAAAATGTGGAGCAGAGTTGGAGGTAGAGTTGAGAAAGTAGCTCTCACAGGGCCACTTCCCAGGACCAGCATAGCAATTGTGATCTCCCAAACATGACCAACTCTCACGACCACAAATCAGGGTGCCGAAAAGCAGGCATGGACCAACCATAAGCTTGCACAACTTCATTGTTCCCTGAAATCCACCAATATTACACTCCAAAGAGTCCAAAGCCTAGGATTATTTTTTTTGGGGGGGGGGGAGTAAAAGAGTAGCTAACAGTCCTTCAACACAAAGATCCACTCTTGAACACAGCCAAGCTTTCTTTCCGTTGCAGCAGAACAATTTAGAAGGAAGGCGTTCTTTTGTCGCTGTTCTAATTACATAGCGGAGAGTCAGAAATCAAGTGATCCGCTTCCGTTCACCAGCGGTTCAACCTTTTGTCCACTCCATTACAATGAACAGCTCAAACTGCCTCCAGACTAAGAATGCAAGCTTCTAATACAGTGGCTAATTCAAAACTAAAGTTCTTCCTACTTCTCTGATCTCACATAAGATGGTGACTAAGCTAGCTAGCTTTTCTGGGTCTTGAAAGATGAGACGCAGCACTGCTCTTTCAGAAAGGTGGCCAGAGATTCGTTGCATGAATCTAAGTGGGAAATTGGTTTATTTTTTATATGCCATCACTGCAGGGTCCTCCCAGGTCAAACTCTCTTATTATTATTAAATTTGTATAAAACCTACCTGTTAGCATCATGCTGTCTCGTAGAAAGGAAGAGCAAACTCACCCCATTTTCACCATAGATTGCAAAGAGTCATCACCAAGGGCCACAAAAACAGCTCATACCCTGTAATACTTACCAGCATAAAGAAACTCAACAGGATGTCCCTTCTGGGCAGGCGTGTATTTGGTTCTCCAGCTGAACGGTTTCCTCTTCGGCTCAATCTGTTCCCTGCAGAAATGCAAACTCACCTTCATATTGGGAACCTCTCCATGACCCTCAAAACATCCTGGCTTTCACAAGCTGCAACTCTGCTCCAAAGACATTTTAAGATGCCGGCTGGGAAAGCTTCAGGGCTCACAAGAACTCGCCAGGTGAGGGGTGGTCGCTGGAGCAAGCGGGAGCCACCTAAGCCGTCCCGAGCTTGGGAAGGAGACAAGGTTAGTTTGGGGGCACCAAGAGACAGTGACCGAGTTTGCCCATGAAGAACAACCATGGTGGTTTTCTGAATCCAGCAGCACCGTTTGATTGCTTCTTCCTTAATATCCGTTCCACTCAATAGCGGAAACTCTCCGGACAGTGCAACAACCAGCCTCTCCAGCCGGGTTCAGAACACGTGCCGAGCTACCTTGGCTTCTCTGCTCCTGTGCGTTTGCTCAAGCCCAGCATCCTTGATGCAGAGAGCTGTAAATTGCCTTTACCAAAGGAAACGGGAAGGAATCTGGGCTGCAGGAAGAGGTCTGGGTGGGGAGCCACAGACGGGGCTAAAGAAGTGTTTCTCAACCTGCTTCCTACTCAGGGCCGTCCAAGGATGCCCTGCCTGAAACAAGGAGCAAGTCGGTGCCCTCACTGCAGCGATGCGGTTGTCCTGCAGCACTGGGATGGGAGACGACCCTTCGGCACAACAGCAGGAATTTTAAGAGGCCAGAGCCACCGCTCGGTCCCTCCAGCCCCTCACCAACACTCCCAACCCTGCCAGCTCGCTCCTCCCAGCAGCAGGACTGGCCTCCTCCTAAATTCTCTGTGTGGATGCAGCATGCTCAGGGGAAGGTTTTAAAAGCCCTAAAGGGGGAGCAGGAAGATGTTTTGCCTCTAAGGAAGACTTTTTTGGCATAACCGCTGCCCTCTCCTGGCAGGTAGAATTATGGGTTGAATCTCAGTTAAAAAAAACAATAACTTTGGGGGTACAGGGTGGGATTTGTGGGGAAATTGCGGGGAGGGTTAAACTTTCCCTGCCTGAGTTTGAGACTGAGCAGGAACTGGACCCAAATCCAGGCACCTTATACAATCCTTTATCCAGGCACACGCCCCCTCTCGGACGGTGGTCGGGGTTCCCTCTCCAACAAGGGAAACCAGTGCTATGGACTCACCCTCTTTCTTCGTAAACACCCATCCTTCAAGGCTGGCAATGCTCCTCGCCCAGGACAGAGAGTCTAGCTCCTCTAATCGGGATGCAAGGCAGCAGGCTTTTATTCAAACTCTGAAGCCAAAAATAGGAATGCCAGGCATAGCTCCAAGCAGGAGGCCGCCAAGCCATGTGCCAGTGAAATTCCACTTAAGCCATTGTTGCTGCCCCAAGCAGCAAGCCGCCCTCAGCATAACAAGCCACCCGATCCCTGGCCGGGGCAATCTATTCCAGCTCAGAATGTGGTGAACAACTTGCAAGGCACGGTCAACATCATCCGATGACATTCATTTCCCAGCAGTTTCTTTGGGAGAACTCGAGGGACATCCAATCTGTCTCCCACCCAGGTGCGAAGCAATCCAGGAGTACGTCGATTCGTGCAAGGTTGCCACACCAAGTGCCTGTGAACCACAGTGCTCACCTGTGCTTTTCCACTGTGGCACAACCCCTTCCATACAGAAGATTTTTTTTAAAGAAATAAAAGCAGCAAGAGGAGAATGGAGCATGCACCAAGTGCCTCCGCTTCCTGCACGCCCATCGTGGATCAACAGAGAGAACAGGCTCTGTGAGAGTAACAGGAAGGAACTGTGAGAACCGAGAGAGATATTTGTGATGCTGCTTCTCTTGCAGGTACCAAAATGCATGCTTCAGTGGAAGGTCCGACAAGGTTAACTGGACTGTTGTGGGGGGCTTCCGGCAAAGCGTCTGCGGCTGGACTTGCATAAGAGCCGCTCTGCAGCAGTGGCGCGCTGCCCTGGAGTAGCCAACGCATTGCTGCTGAATGCGGAGGCGCATGGACTCTGCTGTCCGCTGGGGTGCTTGAGCACATGCGCAAGCACCGCACTTCCAGGTGCCCACGCTTAGATCAATTGCCGGTTTGTGTTATTTCATTATACTCCGTGGGGGAAAGCAGAATTGCTTTCAAGGAGTGAAAAATATGGATGCTACCCTGCCCAATACCAGGTCGAGATCCATAGGTGGAGGGTGCAGGCCGGGAGAAGCCAAAATTGCAGGCAGATCTTCCACCGAGAGAGTCCAGGATTTCAAAGTAAACACTTGTAAAACCTTGAACTGATATGTCCAAGGGCACAGGGGAATGCTTTGAAGTCCCCTAATCGAATTTAGAGAAGATCCCTGTGCTAGCAGGAACCCAACTAGGTGGTAATCCCGTCACCGCAGCCGCTGAAAACATCTCTCATGAGGCTTCTCTTCTACTGCTTGGGAAAGAGAGGAGAAAATGACCTTCTGAGCAGGGCCTCCATCTCAGCTCCGTCCACTTGCCTTTATCCTAATTGTTTGCAAGTATGAAATTGGCCCATGCACATCTGCTTTGCTGCTGTATATTGTTATTTTGTTAAAACGCTCACGAACGCTCATTCAGTCATAAAATGGAATAACCAGCAAGGCCCCATAAATGCAGATTCGGCTACAAATCACCTTAAAACCGCACAGGAGAAACTACCTTTAGAAAAAGACTTAAATGGATTCATTACATTTCTATCCCAACCTTCCCTTCCACACCTGCCTCTTCCTCCAGTTTATCCTCACCTCGCTTCCAGGTAGCCAGGGCTGGTGGCCAGGGAAGAGTTGCGCACTGGACCTCCCTCGTCCTGGTCAGATACTCAGAGATGCAGATTTCTGTGGTCTTCCTGATGTTGATAGACTCCACCACCCATCATCCCTGTCCAGTGACCATGTTAGCTGAGGTGGTGGGAGTCAGAAGGCCGTAAGATTCACCGCTCCATTTGATGCCTGGTTACCTTTTCTTTTTCTGCCCAACAGCCAAAATGTTCTGAGTGGTTCCCAGCAATCTTGCTTTATGATTTAGTTTAGAACTTAAGACCAGCATAAAAATCCCAGTGACTGAAAGTACAGTATAAAATAGGAGTAAAAATCAAAATTAGCACCACACCAAATAGGCTGTTTTTCTCCAGGCAGTTCACACACACAAGGTGGTCTCGCAATTCTCTGTTCTTGGAGAAATTTGACAGACAATCTTGTTGTTCAGCTTCCCACTCCCCATATTTGGAGGGATGGAGGAGGGAAATGAGCCACCTGCACATTTCATCACTGAAGTCTTCATTCCACTCCATCACCACAAAGCCCTCGGAATCAAAGTAATTCTGCCTCGCATGGTTGGACCAGCCATAACATCCGTTTCATGTTCCGGGCGTATAGGACTATGCTCCATTCACAGACTGACCCACATGTGTGAATGAGCGAACACAAATGGGGCAAGCGCTCCGGACAGGCCTCTGGTTCACACCGCACAACCACCCACAGCTCCTACTAACCCACTTCCACTGACCTACGCAATCCAGGGGCATGCTGGTCTGAAATAACCCATGGGTAGTTGATGGCGTGAGAGCTGGGTCAGAAACGTTTCACCCTCAAAACACATGCCTTTTCTGACCAGTTGGGTCGTAGATTTGACCAGCCAGACCAGCTGGATGGATGTGCACATGGTGGGCATGTCATGAGTGGAGCCGGCTGGAGCCGGGGGTCAGACTAGATGGCCCGGGAGACCCCTTCTGACTCGCGCTGTTTCTACGTGTGAACCAGCCCACTGTCTCAGTGGCCCACCATTGACAAACTAAGTCAAAACTCATAATGGAACAACAAACTGCCCTTCATCAACATTACCATCTCCTCCCGGTATTTCTCCCCTTTGTATTCCCTGGGTTATCAACAACCGACTGCATTACGCCTTCTCGCCATGCACGACGGATGCAATCAGCCGTCATGGAATTGGCCAGTGAGTTGTGGCAATCAAGAGCCCGGGGCCCAAGGAAGTGCGGCCCCTGGATCGGAGGAAGCGGTGGCAGCAGCGCCGCGTTCCATCCACCCTCCGCCATCATCACGGCCCACCTGTTCCTCACTCTGTAGGTATTTCAGCCTGTTCAGAGTATCAGCTGCCGGTGGGAGCTCAGCCTCCACTTGGCAGGAGCCGCTGCGGGCGGGCGGAGCGGGAGGGCTGTCAGCCGAGCCGCCGAAGGGACCCCCAAGAGCAGCTGTCGCAGAGCTCAAATCCCCAAGGCGTCGGCTTGAGCCAGGCAGAACTTTGCACCTGTGCGAAGGAGATCTTTCTTCCACGTTCCACGCGGGTCTGGCATTTTTCACAAGGCAACTAAATCCCCTTGTCCTAACCTGAGAACTTGTCTGGGCATTCCCATTTGTCATAAACAATCTCCCCGCATGGAAGGGCTCAGTGTCCCGGCATGAACAAAAGCAGCATCAATTAATTATGGAGAGGAGAAGGGCTGTTTCTGGATTCTTCCCAGTTTAAATCCATGCCAGAAAAATGCAGCCCAGCAAGCAGGAAAGTTTTACGAGTTTGTTATATTTGCTTGTAGCTTGTTATCTGCTGCATTTCCTTTCTACTTTTGGAGGAGCATTAGAAAACAAGGTTACTAGCCCTTATGATTCAGGATGTTCAGCCCAAATCTGACCTCCTGTAACTGCCTACACAGAGAACATAACTGCAACTATTGCTCATGTGAATTATTTTAGATAGGCACGCCTTGGCCTTTGCCCAGGATCTTCTGAGCAGTTTCATGGAGCTTCTGACCTGCTCTGATGCCATCCTCTACCTTAATACCAGCTGGCTACTTTCCTCTCAGCTCCGTGGCCCTAATTTGACCATCCTAAATGAGAACCTTTGGGCCTCTCCAGAAGCTGAGTATTTTCAGAGCACCCCTGGATTTAATCAGCTTCCACAAACGTCTCAAATTCCCCCTTAGTGCTGCAGGCGGCAGATTCTACCAAAAAGTGGATGCGATGTCAAAATCCAGGAAGTGCTGGCAGAGTTTAAAGAAAGGATCAAAGCCGCTGTGGCAGAAGGAGCAACGTGATCAGGAGTTGAGCAAAAAGATACTCAGAAGGCACTCCACTGCCAGCTTCATGGACAAGTTGGGCTCCAGCTGGACAAGCACTGACTCTAAGATAAAGCCGACAAATTGTGATCTGAGTTTTCGCATTGCTCAGTCTGAAGGATTATGTGGAGATTTGAACCCGGATCTTCTTGGCCTAGTACCATTGAAAGAGTAAATGGTTAGGTTATCCCTGCTCTAACTGAAGAGGTAGTTAAATAAACCTTCCCAGCTTGATGGCCTCCAAGTATTTTGGACAAGAACTTCCAACATTTCAGACCCTGAAGGCTGAGGCTGACGGGGCTGAAGTCCAAAAAATCTGGAAGGTTCCAGGCTGAGGAAGCCTGCTATAACCACTGCTCCACACTGTTGCCATTATGGCAGAGATTCCTAGAAGCTTAACGGTTCAATGTTGGATCACATTTCAAGTGCCGTGTCAGATTGGAGCTCTTTGAAGCCTATCAAGAAACGACCTGGCCGAAACTCTTTTGATGTTCAAAGTACCCCAAACTCTCAATGCATTCAGCTATTCATAATGTGTGTGTTTTTAAAGCATTCATTAATTACTATGATGAAGCATTCAGCAATATTTGCATATATTGTAATAAACATATTAACCAATCATGGAAAGTGTTACTGGGCTTTCAAAATTTACCAAGATGTCACTGTATCTCAGAATATGTAATAGATATCCTAAAACACAAGTACAACTTTACAAATGACCCCATACAAGCCAGATGGAATACTGCATATTCCAGAAAAGTAGATTTGGCATACATTTTAACTAAGTAGCTCTTCTGTTGCTTAAGGAAGGTTTGCAGTAGCTTCTTTTAATCTCAGAAATTGATAGAAAGTACAAAAGGCTAATTACCTCACCTTGATGAAACTGTAATTTGATCAAGAGCTTCTGGAATTACCTTTGCTTCATTGAATAGAAAGCTGAAGCTGAATGGAAAAAAACCACATGAAGTTGGTTGGCAAGGAAGGAAGTCGCAACATTATCTGGAGAGACCTACATAGCCAACACGACTTTGAAAGCAGAAAACCTCATTATACGTCCAGAATTGCACATTTGATCTAAAGGCTCTGGAGACTGCAAAAAAAACCTACCAACAACATGCAGGTAAGCAATCAGCCATCTTTTATTATCAGCCATGATAACAAAATAAAATACTCACTTACTATGGCATAAGTAATTGAAACGGTTGCACAAAAGTCAGGGCGAAATCTATTATTTCTATTTTTGCAAAGCATATTCTATTGAAGCTAGCAACCAGAAATTCATGTTTCTCATTTCTCAACAAGAACATCAAAAGTTTCCTTATACCAAAAATTAGCACATATCCCTAAAACAGACCAATTCGATAAGGGAGTGAAAAATCCGATGGATTTTCTCAATCCACCCACTCGGATTCTGGCTTGCCAGCCCTGCACTGGGACTGACTCACTTTGGCGCAAGTTCACAGACTTCCTTCTCTAAGACAGGCTGCAATTCAGGCATGCAGAACACTAATAAGAAATTTTGCATAAATTTACACAATTTGCATCAATCCGCATCTGAAAAGTTCCTGGATCTTAGTATGGTTGGCACAAGTTTCCTTAGCATTTAAAAAAAACTAGAAATTGTAGCTCATCTTTGAGACAGAAGTCTGTGGGGGGAAAGCACAACTAGGATTGGAAGTGGGCAGGAAGTCCTTCGAGCTCAGACAAGCCAAATTTCCCCCTGTCGACATATCCGACTAGCTCAATACCAGCTCTCTGGAGATTAGAAGTCTTTCCCTGCCCTGCATCTGCTCTTTGGATTTTTCCACTGCCCAGAGATTGCCAATTATATACAAACAAAGCAAGTTCATTCTAGTTTTGTTTATCTTAGTTCGCTTTGTTTCATATTCCTTATGTCATGAAAATAAAAATATTCTTAAAGCAAGTTTCTAACCCTTACAGGGCCGAATGATACAGGAAATAAGCTGCTTATATGAGTACCACATTGGGCCAACTAGTTCAGATTATGCGCAGTTTATTAGCAGCTTCCCAGAATTCCAAGAAAGGCGCTTTTCCGATTCTAACTCCAGACACCTGGAACTGAAGCCTGGGCTTCTGCACACTAAGCACTGATGCCCACAACATCTGCAGGGCACTGCATTGCAAGCCAGCTGCTAAATTAAAAATATTAGGGCAAAGCAGAATGCATAGCACGAAACAGACTAACTAGTAACTCAAAGTACAGCTAAGAAGCAAATCCTGTCCCAGGATTCCTGAATACCCACCTCCTTCCATGCCATCCTGCCTGAAACTCTTGCACCTGATGGACTCGTCTTTTCCCAGCTCTCCGTGTACATGGATGCCCAGTTACTATTTTCTGCCACTGGAGCAAACTAGTACCCCACACTTGCAGTAGGTTCCTAGATCAGTGCATGCATTGCAGATGATCAGCTGTATCAATAAGCTACTTTACAACCTGAATGTTCAAATCCACACAAAGCACAACCCTCTGTTGGCTTGAATCGACTGCTGTGGACTGCAGCGGTCTCTTCTCATTGCTGTCCCCTACCTTCAAGCCATCTCCAACTTACAGAGACCCCGTGAATGATTGCTCTGTCTTTAGAAGCCCTACGCACTCAAGGTTGTGACTTCCTTTATGCAATTAATTTATTTGCTTCCCAATTTCTTCTCCTGCCTTCGATTGCTACCATATCGTTTTCTCATGATGTGCCCAAGGTATGAGAGCTATGGTTTCATCATTTTTGCTTCCGGGGCAAGCCCTGGCTTGATTGGATCTAGCAAGCACTTCTTTGCCTCTCTGTCAGTCCAGGGTATTTGCAAAGCTTTCCTCCAGCACCATGTTTTGAACACAACAAATTTCTTCCTGTTAAATTTCTTCACTGTGCAACCTTCACACCCATCCATAGTGGGTTTTTTGTTGTTCAGAGCTGTTGTATTGTAATATTCTGGGTCTTACCAGTTACCTTGAACACTATATTACATAAACATACCTTAATAAACTATGTTTAAGCCTTACTGCCAAATAAGAACTGGGCATGTTTAGCCCCAAGAAGAGGCGGCTGAAAGGTGAATGACTGTGCTCAACACATACCTGAAAGGCTGTCACAAAGAGGAAGGACAAGATCTCTTCTCATTCATTCCAGAGTGCAGAGCGCAGAATAACGGACTTAAGTTGAAAGAAACCAGATCAGGAAGAATTTCCTCACTGTCAGAGTAGTACAACTGAAATCTGTTAGCTGGAGAAGCTATGGGCTCTCCCTCGCTGGAGACATTCAGAAAGCATCTGGACAGCCACCCGAGTGGGATGGTGCGAGCGAGTGTCCTGTATTAGCAGGATTGGACCCAATGGCCTTCTGACCCCTTCCATCTCTTCTGTTCTATGATGCTAAGCTTGACCTACCTACCACACTTGTTAATAAGTAAGAAGCATTTGCTGGGGTATATTAAATGGCCGTGGAGCCCTTCACAATGCTACCGGATGGTTTCTGTCTGCTTCTCTCTCACGTGCAGGATTGACTTGAATTTTAGGGATCTAGTATTCAGATACATGTCACAGCCCTATAGAATCACGGCAGAAGAAAATCATTCCAATATAATCACAAAAGAGCGAGTGGGAGGGGATAGGAAGAGCCACTGTGTAGCTCACAATATTAACCACTTCTCTCTTCTCTCTCAGCTGGTTTTCTGCAGACTTCGGACTCACCAGTGGTGTTTCATTCTTTCCAATGTTCTCCTTTTCCATCTTTTGATCTTTGGAGCTGATCTAATGGAGGAATACTTTTTGAGAGCTCTTCCCACCTCATATACGGACATGAAAGTTCTGGAAGTGAGAGAGCAAGCACGGAAGTTGGATATGTCTACCTTGAAGGCCAACATCTCCAGAGCTTATGTGGTGAGCAGCTCAGAAGCCTGTTCTGACAAGGAGATCTTTCTGCTGGCCCTCATCTTCACCTCTCCTGAAAACTCGTTGAGACGCAGTGCCATCAGAGGAACATGGGCCAACCTGACACATGTCAGAGATTACACTGTACTTGCTTTGTTTTTGCTGGGGAAGCCATCTTCAGAAGCCACCCAACAAGAGCTCATAAAAGAGATGAAGCAGCATCAAGACCTCATTCAAGGTGACTTCCTGGACTCTCCAGAGAACCAGACGCTAAAAACTTTAAGGACTATTGAGTGGGTCATTACATTTTGCTCCCAGGCCAGGTTTATTCTCAAGACAGAAGAGGAAATGTTCATCAACCTCCCAACTTTGGTTGAGTACTTGTTAAACTTGCGGAATCATCCTGAAGATATTTACCTTGGGAGGCTGGTTCCTCAAGAAACGCCCAACAGAGATCCACAAAGTCACAGTTACATCCCCCTACATAAATATTCAGAAATGTATTATCCGGATTATTGTAGTGCGACCGCCTTTGTCATCTCACAGGACGTGGCTCGGAAGATCTACGTCGCATCCAAAGAGGTCCCCCTTATTCTGCCTCCTGGGGTCTTTGTGGGTATTTGCACCAAGAAGGCTGGGGTGGATCCCATTCACAGCTCACGCTTTTCGGGGAGAAGGCACATCCGATACAACCGCTGCTGTTACAAGTTCATTTTCACCTCATCTGTAGCGAGAGAGGGCCAGCTACTCAGGGAATGGGAGGAGATGAGTAACGGCAAAGACTGCACTTTATTGGAAACTTATTATGGGTTGTTATCCTGCCGAGTCATGACCTACTTGGATGGATTTAAACATCTGAGTGTTGATGCCCTTCAAAATGAGACTCTCCGTGCTGCGGATTAGAAATATCAATGGAAAGGGTATAGTAGCCTTCCTAAATGTGAGCTTTTCCAGACACAAGCGCTTTTCTGACGACCTCCAAGAAAGAGGCCCATTTCTTTGAAGAGTTCTCAAAAGCATCATTCATGAAAAAGTACGCAGTGCAACTGTATGAGATGCTTACATGACACAGGAGAATCAAGAGCGAACAAGTTCAAGATCCTTTGGGTTCCTCAAAGCAGCACCCTGAAATTTCTAAATTCTAGCTAGGGTAGTTCAGCTGATGGCGGCAAAAATGGCATTCTAACACCTAATTTGCAGACTCTGCAGTGTTTTTACTTCGGGAAAACCCTTTCCTGATTTTCTTCTGTTGTATATGTTTTTCTTTAATATGCAAGTGTTTATCCGATGCTTGTTATCTGCTGCCTCTTTGCTTTATGATATCGCTTCAAATATCTTTTGCAATTGGCTTGCCGCAAGAGCTGTGTGGAAGGGCAGGATCTAAGCTGTTTTATAAATAAATGTAACATCCAGGTTTGAAAAACAACAGACAACGATTGACACTGGATCTCCATTCTAATTGTCAGAGGGGGCTCCCAAGAGGATTTCAACTCAAAAGCTGAGCGCTGTGAGCATTCAGATCAAAGAATGACGACAGTCCTTTTTCTTTCCATGTCAACACTCAGGTAGATGGCATGTTTATACAGAACATGATAGCCACGAGGGACTTAGGGCACGGGAGAATGATTGAATAATGCTGGGAACAACTGAAGGCAAAAGAAGGGGATGGCAGAGATTGAGGTGGCTGGATGGGGTCAGTGGGGTGGTTGATGTGGGCTTGGGTGAATGCTGAGGGAGGGAGGAGGCCAGGAGAGCCTGGAGGAATGTTGTCCATGTGATCATGAAAGGTCAGACACGACTTAGCAACTAAACACACAGGGCAAGCAAGCAAACTTGCAGAACAAGCATGGGGCAATCTAGGCTTAAAATGAGGGGTGGGGGGTTAATAAGAACTTCCCAAAAATCAGGGTTAGCGTAGGAATCATTGAACAACATCTGGAGTGTCGCAAGTAGCCCAGACCTCCTCTAGACAGCAGACTATTAAGCACTTAACCATGTTCTTGAACCCATGTTTCAACCACATTTTGGGCAAATTAGGGTTGCTACTTTTCCCCACACCTTAGCAGCTGCTTCATTGGCAGGCAAAGCATGGACCTCTTTCTGTGATGGGTCATTAGAAGTCAAAGTATTTAATGACTTCGGCCACTGCAGAAGTGGGAGAGTTTTGTTTGGTTCCTCCAAGAGCTGCCCAGAAGTTTGGGATAGTGGAATTGGGCCGGGTAGAAGTTGTCTTTGGTGCGGCTTTGAAAACCCAGGTTTCCTTTTGTTCCTGCATGTGCTACAGTCACGCGCGCTTGTGGCTGGGCACAACCCTGCCACAAGAGGTGTCCAACTATTCACACACAAAGATGCTGCAAATAGTTTTGCTATGGTAAAGCACACAGTCCATTTATGCAGAACCCAATGAACTGACACAGAATTTCACGAATCAATGGCCAGCACAGACTGACAGTGGATATGCTGGGGGGGGGGGGGTTCAGATGACACACACTCCCCCAAGCATTAAAAGAATAAGGGGAGAGGATAAGGGCTAAACTACAGCCTGAATATCCTGCCAATGAATAGCATATGGTATTGAGGGGCAACAGGAAAAGGCCGTTTCCACAGCCCACCAAGAGGACATGGGGTAAATAAGAGCGTCGGATCTGGACTGGCTTTCAACTAAGATTCGGCAGCACCCTTACACTTCCCTGCCCCTCCCCAAATAGGATTCAGATGTTCAAGGATCTTTGCATGAACATACGCAACACTGAGAGGTCTGAAATTGATCAATATACGTATAATGCAGGGAAGTGCCATTTTAACAGCAGATGGATCACATATTAAAAGCTACAATTGGAGAGCTTATAGGATGGCAAGATAACTCCCCAAATTATATAAATACAGCTTTATTTAACTAGTTTTTGCCGACTTCTTCATTTCAGGCGGACAAGCTACACGATACTGTTTGAACAATACACTTAAAAGAATTGTTAAGCACATACTTGAATCTGTAGCAGCGCAACCAAAATGTTGCATCAAAATCATATCTGCAAACACACGTAACAGGAAGTAAAACTCATGTTTCAAGACGCACCTCCCTCATTGGTCCAAGCAGAGGGAAACACAAATCTTAAGAGTCTCAGACATGAAAGTGGTCCAGCTTACTAAAATAATCGACTCATCTACCACGGATGCTACTTGGTGACCTAACAAGCTACAAAAAGCGTAAGGCCCAAACACATTTGACACCTACAGGCTTGAGCCTGAACATAACACACACACCACTGGGTGCTGGATTGTGGTCATTTAATCAGGGACCCCAGTTTGACACAATTTGCTTAGGAATCCGTGACACAGGACGTCAAGCGATGGAATTCACCGCCACGGCATAGCAAACCCACCTAGATGGTTTTAGAAGGCAGTTACACAAGTTTGTGAAGCTCTTGACGGGCTCTAGCATGCGGGCCATGCCTTGCCTGGGGTAACAGATGTGAGATGCTTTGAACAGCAGTGGCCCAGCCCATTAGCATCCCTAGCGCTGCGGTCGCACTCACATCCTGCTTACGGTCCTCCCACGAGCATCTGGTTGCAAACTAAACACTGAATTAGGTGGTGCTTTGGTCTGATTCAAAGAGCTCTTGATGTTCTTGAGTGGCAATCTTCCCCTCCTCATGCGAGAGCTGGGAGGAAGGCTGCCACCAACCTGAGGCATGACTGCTGGCCAATTAGAATTGTTAATTGTGGAGAAGCCCTTGCTGGAACAGAAGTCTATTTGGCCTTAATTATATAATTAACACATTTGAGTCTCCTCCAGTTTGGTTTTAAACTGTTGGGTCAGTTTCTGTACCATTTTATACTGTGTGAGTGTTTCATATTCTTATCGCTATGATTACTTTCAACTTTTAAAACTGCTGATCACTGAATTAAGCTGTCAACTACTTTCCACATACCTTTTGATATAAAGTGGCATATAAGTAAACGGGAGAGCAGTGGTGGTGATCGATGGCCAACCTGATCAAAAGGTAAGTTGTGTGTGCACCAAGGGAGACGCACGATACTAGCCTCCTCTCCCTTCCTAGGAACTAGTAACATGAAGCATAAGTGCAGCAAACAGGAGGACGGTCACCTGAGGTCATCCCATTCCTCCTCCCCCCTCCAGTTTTTGTGCATCCCCCCCAAAAAAACCAATGCTTAATTACCCACCTAGAATAGTTTTACCCAAAATTCTGTTGTTCCCTCAGAAACTTGTACCTCTGAGACTTAGCTTTTCTAATTGACTTGCATTTCTGCTCTCTGCAATTTGTGTTAAGAGTCAAGGGTTCAGGCAGGGACTGAAATTCAATATATATATATATCGGGGAAGAGATATATATGGATATATGCAGATATATATCCATATATCCATATCCTCTGGGAGCACTCCAATCTAAGATGCATTCTTCTCAGAAGAGCTAACTGACCATGACAGGCCGCAAGTGACATTACCTGCTACCAGGCTGCACCAATTCAGGGCAAGGGCGTGGAGAGACTCCACCAATGTACTGCCTTCCAGATGTTTTGGTCAGGTCTGGGCATTTTAGCCCTGCTGCTCTGGATCGATGAAGCTGAAGTTAAACCTTGAAGGGCACCAGGTTGTGGAAGGGTGCCACACAGGAATCAACTCTCCCAACCCATCCCAAAAAACAAGCACGGCAGAAGGAGGTTCGCAGACATGTCTTCCAGTTTGGCATGTACAGGAATCACTCGACACGAGAAAGCGCTGCCCGCACACACAGTCTGAAATGGAAAAGCTCGACAAGAGAGATACCTGTTTTTACTTTAAGCTCCATTTTATAAAGCAAAAGCAGCCCATGAAATTCACCACCCGCTAAAAGCAGCCCAGCGTGTTCTTGCTGCCAGCCTGAGCTCTCGCTGGAGACGCAAGGGTCCTTCACGCTCCCCACAGAGACCGAATCATTCCGGATCTGGGGGCACAGGACCCCCACTCCCCAATGCAGCGTGGCTGCCTCAAAGCGTTTGCTCATCAAATGACGCACCTTCTCGCCGAAAATGCCAAGGTAGCTTTACCCAGAGCGGACAAGCTGCTGTTTACGAGGCCTGCCGTGATATGCAAAGCTCTCATCTGCAGTTGACTAAAGGTCCAAACTGTCAATCATGATCCAGAAAAGCTCCCTTGGCTTACCTCAGAGAATACAGGTACGCCAGAGTAACATGGTCCTCAACCTTTCTACCCAATTATCTGTCATTCAAAGTTGAAAACAAGAACAGCAAACCAATTCCTTCCTCAGGTTTTTACCCCCCTCTCCATCCTCATGGAGTCAAAAGCTTGAGAAGTCCAAAGACCATCTGGAATTACCGCAGAGCAATTTAAAGCCGGTTCAAAGTTATTCTGCTCCCTCCAAGGCCGTGGTTGAAACAGCCTTGACGTAGTAAGGTCCTTCGCGCAGGTAAGCCCGAAGCCTTAGGTAATGCTGGTTTCCGAAGATCTCGGCGGTGGTCTTTGAGTTAGCCAGGGCTTTGACAAGTTCATACTTGGCCTCCTTAGAAGCTTTGTCTGGTTCCACTGATCTGTCCACGACATATTCCACGAAGCCTGGGCTAGCCACCATTATCTTCTGCGCCCACGGCTGGTTAGCAATGGCCTGTAACAAGAGGTTTTATTGGAATGCATACCCACCTTTCTACCTCCAAACTGAGAGCTCCAGAACAGCTCAGGATAGCCAGCCAAGCCACTAGTAAAACACAATGCTGAAGCAGAACCATTAACAGCAATACGGTTTGGAGGAGAGAAAGTTTAAAATATCTGAGGCACAGACTTATTGGAGTAAAGAGCATGCCTGTGGCTCATCCTTCAGCGCCATCCTAAGCCTCTGGTTTAGGTAGATTTCAACAAGTCCACCTTTCCATGACCAGCTCCTTGCACTTGCTTCTCTGGAACAGCTTGCCAATGTTTCGGGTATATTTGCTTGGTTCTAACTGGGGATTCTGGAACTGGCCAAGACACGACTGAGTTGGAAAAGGGGCACTTACAGTGAAGACCCTCAAAGCACCACAGTGGAGATCTGGGAAGGGTTGGGTGCTGATGCTCCGGAAGAGTTCCATGGGCTGGCTGGATAGAGAGGAGAACCAGAATTCTGTCATCCCCAGAAGGTCTTCTGTCTGCTGGTCAGGCTGTACATAAAAAGGGGTGAGTTTGCAGATGCAGCCAATCATGTTTTCTCGAAAACTCAAAGAAAATGCATATTAAGGGATTACAGCTGGCATCCTTATGCACCTCTGAGAAGGGGGCTTGAAGCTGCAGGCGCGGCTGGCCATTTTTAACCTCCATTCCAATGCCTTTGAGAGAGAGCACTACTTTAATTTAAAAATGCAAAACTGTAGAATGTTATGCTTTTCTTGCAGAAGTGGCCATTTACGCATTGTTTAGATTCAAGCTTTGCTCATTAGATTTACAAGACGAATGGAGGTGGTTATAGTCATACTTCTGGGGAGCTTGACAAGCTACCAAGCAGTCAGCTCCTAAGAGCTGGTCACTGTTCTATCAGAAGAATTGCTTGTTACAAATCTCTTTCAGCCATTCAAGTCATGGCCACCTAAGATGCCCAGGGACGCCCTGCTGTTCTCGCTTGCCTGCAAGGGCAAATTGTGCCCCAGCAAGCTGCATCCATCATGAGGAAGTGGGCATTTTCCCATGTCGTGCAGCTTACCAGCAAGTACAAGAGAGAGGAAATTGCATCAAGGCACCGGACTCTCAGCTCTGTTGGGGCATTCCTTGCCTGATGCCCGATTTTGTTTAGCACGTGATAAAACTGACTGCCTGGGAAGACAGAGGAGAGGTTGTTATTATGATTATTTTAAAATGAATCCCATTCCATGGGAAAACTGCCTTACAACGTCAGCTTATTTCTCAGTTTGGCCCAGAAATGTCAATGCAGGTCTGCTTCAAATGATTTTTATAACGTGGAAGCTGCGGAGAGGAGCCAAGAGTAATTCCGACACATCTGCAATTGGCACATCGGCTCATTCCCCGCTTCTTGTCCTACCGCCCCCATGAAGAACTGCAGTTTAAAAGAAGCCTCGACTCTGCCGCACGGACAAAGCGGGACTAAGGAGGAAAGGCTGCCGCTGGACAAGGGGCAAAGCCGCGTGTTTTCCACCTCGGCTTCAGAGCCCCATCTATGAGTCCCATCAGGGCCCCGATGGCACCCAGCCATGCGTTCTTTTCCATTCGGAGGGTCCATTTTGTGAAATGCGCAGTGACAGCCCCCTTCCTCTTTAGGTTTACATAACACGGAACAAACCTCTCTTCTGCAGCACCAGCTTCCCCTCCACGTTGGAGCCCAGGATCCCGAGGGTGTCCACAGCGACACCAAACAGGGTCGGGTCGGGCCCTTCGGCCATGCTGAAGACCTTCTCCACAAAGGCGGGGTATTGCTCGCAGACCTGCTGGGGGCTGTCAACCATAGCCAGGTTGCCGAAAAATTTCACAAAGCCTGTGGAGCCGGAAAAGAAAAGGGGTCATTCATGCCACGTGGGAAGAGAGAGCCGACAGACAAGAACTTGCTGCACAAAGGTTAGGAGAAAGCGTACCCCTCTGGATGAGCTAAACCGCAAATTCCGCTGGGGAGGAAGGGAGTCCAACACATCCAGAAGGCACAAGGTGGGGAAGGATGACCTTTATCCAGGCTGTAAGGCCCAGCCAGCTAACGCCAAGGGACGGTGCTTTGTTCGGGATGCCAAGCCCAACCTCGCCATGTCACCTGGCACTTTAAGCTCAGGCCACAGCGTAAGAGAGGGAGAGCATCTCTTGGATGCGGGCTATGCCTTTTGCAGCAGACTGCGTAAGCATCGCAGGCCAGTCCTCAAAGACACAGCGACGAGCTGGCATTAAGGATGGCCAAAGAGCCGCCCCAGGAGAGAGTCAACGCCATTCTGGTTTAAGGACACTGCAGCTAAGAAGCGGAGTTATCCTTGGGCTTGATTAAGAAGGCAGAGCACAGAAACAGACTTAGCACAGACGACTGTCTGCAGAGATGGGGGAGAACGGGGCTGCCCACCCTCTGCTATCACTGCAGTGGGCAATGAAAAAAAATTAAGAAGTGATGACACTCAAAGGCCCAAGTCTATGTCACCTTGGGTTTTTTTACCCAGAATCATCCTCCACACAGCAGACACAGGACCTGCAACCACTTGGGAATGAACAGCTTGTTCACAGCCCCAAGCCAGGGTCGTGTTGTCAAGCTTGCTAACATGCTTGGCCGGGCCAGATCAAACCAGTCCAGGGCAGCCAGTGCTGCCCTGGGAAGCCAAATACAAAGCGGACTGCGCTTCCTGGCTCCCCCGGGAGCTGGTGCTCCTGCTAGGGCAGTCCCGCAAGCAAGCAAGCTCACGGCTGTTGCTAGCAACCTGTCCCCACAAAGCTCTGCCAGATCAGACCGCTTGTTCACATGCAGGCCAATCCGCTCTCCTCGGCAGCCTCCTAGAAACCCTGAAAAACAGCCACTGCAGGGGGTGAGAGAGCCCATATGCACCACAGGCAACCCAGTGGCCCCTGGATGCGCTGCACTACATCCCCCTAAACTGCGGTCAGCACATCCAATGGTTACAGCTCACAGGCATGGTAGCTGAACACGCAGGGAAGGTACACATTCTCACCCCAGCTTTTCCCCATCTCGCAGGGCTGCTGAAAGCACAAAATGAGGGGGAACAGGACCAAAAGCAGTCCCTTGAATAACCTGGGAGAAAAAGGGGATATAAAATAAAGGCTTGGAGACTAAATTGGAGACTAACAAAAGCCACAACTGGCGGAAAGACTTGCCTTGATGACAGGACTGGCTCCTTTGTGAGGCTTCCACCAGCACATGCCTCTGCTGTTCACACGCCAAACTCAGTGGGGAGGGGACATGACACTCCATGCAGCTCCACAGCCTGCCCCCCCCCCGCCCAGGTGTGTCTGACCACAACTCCCATCCTCCCCAGCCAGCAGAGGCAAGACTAGCCTCCAAACTCCGAACCCATGAAACTCCCTTGAGAGGAGCCCCAAACCTTCTGCTTAAGGCGCATGATGGGATACCCAAATATGAAATCAATACAATCCACTTGGAGATAAGAAAAATCACACTGACACGCAACACTTCCGTCACCTGGCAAGTAGAAGCCAGAGAAGGGATCAGAGTCGGCCCCGATGATGATGTTGGAAATCTTATCGATGATTCCTTGCTGGGCAAGATACTGGAGCCCATGGTGCGTGTGCGCCAGAGAGGTCACCATCTCGATACAGGTCGCTCTGCAGTGCAGGAAGAGACGCGCCTTAGTCCCAAGGAAACTTACATATCGGTCCTCCACTTCCCCTCTAGCTCCTCACTGAGAGGAAGGTGGCTCAGGCCGAGAGTCTACAACCAGCCCAATGAGCTTCATGGCTGAGCGGGGACTAGAACCTGCATCACCCGAGTCCCAGTCTGACACTTTAACCATTACATCATGCTGGCAATGAAATGAGGTTGCCTCAGAGTCCTCCAACACTCCAGCAATCCATTGCAACTGTTCTTGCTGCAAGTTGAGGTCATTTATTTATAAGGTATCTAATATTATCTGGTCACTACCAAGAGCTGGAAGACAAGACAAGCCTTGCATTCCAGCTAGTCACCTCAGGCTGCAATTCAACACCCATTTAACACTCATTCCATTCACTGGGGCTTGCTTCTGAGTGGATGTGCCTGCGATGGTGCTGTCAAAGGCACCACTCAGGAGAGGGAAGGGTATGCAGGAGATAAGAGGACAAACAGATGCATATACCAAAACCTTCCACTGAGTCAAAGTGACCAGACAGAACTGACCAGGAGTGAAGTCCAACTGCAGGGTCTGACCCAGGGGATTGTCTGGGCTGCTCCATCTCTTCTTTTGTACCTGAAGACTGCTAAGCAAATTAAACTGCCTCAAAAACTCAGTCCCTTGAGCTCAACAGGGGTTTTTTCCCCCTGAACCAGAGGTCTGAGGACCACAGTCACAGATACACCATTAAAAAATTCTTGGCTCTGAACGCATCCCATGGAAGAGTCTTGGAGTCGTGCCCTGCAACCAAGGCCCGTGAGCAAGGCAGAGCGCTTAACACAAACCCCGAGTTGTGCCTCTCCCCCTCAGGTGTTCACCAAGATCGGCTCGGGTTACTAGCCGGCTGTCATTTTCAGGTGCAAGGCCTTCTCCCACGTGGGCAAAGTATGAAGAGAGTGAGAAAAGGCAGAAAGGATCTCTCCAGGGCACAGTTCTGTACAGCGCTGGTTGTCCTGCTCCCGCAAACCCCAAAGGAGGTCTGCTTCCCCTCCAGCACCACATGAGACAGGATCCTCGCTCAGCAAGGCTCTGGAAACACTCCTTCCTTCTGTCATCAGGTGTGGCTGTGGAACATTTGGCTTACATGTTTGTTAGGTACAAATCGGTTGGAGGTACTAAGGGGAAGCAAGGAGAGGGAGATTTGCACCAAAACTCGGTGCCCTGCAGAGCATGCAGCCAAAACTCTGGTTGGTCAGTAAGGCAGCCTGTACAGAGTCACCTCACAGCAAACAGGACTGTAGCTAAAGGGATGCTCAAGACAGAAGGGTCACTTTTAAGGTGCATCCTGCCACCCACCTGACAAGCACGTCATTCCCCGTCAGCTCCCCAATCAGCTCCGATATTATTCCGCTGTTCACACAATAGTTCAGCGAATCCACCGACATGGAGGAAATATTGACAACTAGCTAACAAAAGAGCACAGGAAAGGGCACCGTGAGAACTTTTTAAGGATATAGGAGTAACGCAGGCAGGCAACCATACAAGGACATGTTCAGCCTTGAGAAGAGAAGACTGAGGGGGGCATGATAGCCCCCTGTAAGTCCCTCAAAGGCTGGCACAAAGAGGAAGGCCAAGATCTCTTCTTGCTCAGACTAGAGTGTAGGACATAGAATAATCAATTCAAGTTGCAACCACCCAAACTCAGGCTAGACATCAGGAAACGTTTCCCCACGGTCAGAGCAATGCGACAGTGGGACCAGCTGCCTGGAGAGGTGGGGGGCTCTCCCACACTGGAGACATTCAAGAAGAGCCTGGGCAGCCATCTGAGTGGGATGGTGTGAACTGGTGTCCTGCAACAGCAGGGGGTTGGACCCGATGGCCTTCATGGTCCCTTCCCACACTACTATTCTATGATTCTAGGAAGATGCGCTGCATTTCTGTGATAACTCAGGGCACAAAATGAACTCACCTCGACAGCATGGATGCTGATGGCCTGCAGAGACATTGCAGGAGGTGACTCGAAATGCTAACTCAATGTAAAGTTATGCATTAAGGAGCACTCACAGGGTAAGAGTCGGGGAGCGGTGAGGAGAGCTGCTTCCAAATTCTGACCTGTCTTCCCAAGGGAAGTTCACCTGACAGCCACACCTGTCTTTTCTGTCCCGACTTACATTCCTGCTCTCCCAGACTTTAAAAATGTATGAAGTCTTTACATCATTAGCATTTTTTTGATACTGCATTGGCCCATGTTTTAATTTTATACTGTGGAATTTTTAGTAGGATCTTCGTGTTTTACAGAACGCCTACACCTGTAACGCTCTGGAGGGAGAATTAGCATTATGCACTTTTTCAGCATTGCTTATGAAACAGAAGTAAAATAAACGTGCTAAAATAGCTCCCAGTAAGGCAGAAGGTGAACCACTCGTAGCCCTTCAGATGCTTCAGGCTACCACACCCATCAGCTCTGGCAACCTCAGCGAATGGTAAGGGACAGTGGGAATCGTGGTTCCCTAGATGGTTTGGCCTTCTAGATTCCCATCCCGGCTCCTGAAAATATTCCGATGCAAGCTGCCAATTCTCCTGTGCAAATCGGCTTCACTTGCATTGGAAAAATTCCCCATTCAAAGTTTTCCAGGAAACCTGGAAACCATTCGGCCCCATCACTGGTTGAATGACAGTGAAAAGGAGGGCTTTCTCTGCGGTGGTGCCCCATCTTTGGAATGTGCTCCCCAGAAAGGTCCACCTGGCACCGTTGTTATTTGTTTTTTGGCGCCAGGCCAAGACCTTTTTATTTCAGCAATATTTTAATAACATTTAATATTAACTCTAAGTTTTAACTTGCAGCCGGAATGAATCAGGTTTTTAATTCGTATAATTCGTATTTTTTGCATTATGTTTATTTTTGTAAGCCGTCCCGAGGCATTAAGCGATACAAAAACTCTAAATAAATAAATAAATGCCAGTTGGTGGCAAGAGCTCCTTAACAGAGGCTTTGAGTCACCCAAGGCAGGGCACAAGGGGAAGCTGAGGTGCTCTTCGCTTCCTTGGTCTCCCACCCAGAATTTTTTGCTGGACTGGCTCTTTTGCCCGCCTAGCAATAGTGCTTCTGAGGGTGTGAGAAGGAGGCCGGAAAAGGGTTAGGATAACTCGTGTCCCAGCCTCCCCTGTGCTCTTCCCTCCCCACCACTGAAATGTCCCTTTTTCTTCCTTCCCTGATTTGAGTGTCCAACCTTGAAGGCCAAAAGCACAGTTCTTTCCACACTAGCGTCAAAGTAGCAGAGGAGAAGTGTCAGATGTCAGCCTCCATCCTAGCATCCCATGGCCCCCCAAACAATGTCTTAGGGACCAAAGGATTACTTCTAAAATAGTTTAGATAAGAAACACATAACTTACAATATAGAAGTAAACATTAAAATGCTTTAGATTAGAAATACATCTAAGCTTTACAAAAATAGTAAATAGAGTGAAACACAGAAACAGATCGAGTCAGAAGGGGTCTCCCGGGCCATCTAGTCTGACCCCCGGCTCCGCTCAGGACATGCGCACCATGGGCACGTCTAGCCTATCTTTGAACACCCTCACCGATGGAGCATAGAGTCGTGCTACTGCAAGTCAGGATAGTTATCCCAGGCCTTTTATCAGCCTTCTGGAATCTTCCAGATGCACTGAACTACAATTCCCAAAGTTCCTGACTATTGGGACTCCTGGGAGTGGCAGCCCACCACCCTGGATGGCAACAAGTATGAAAAGGCCGCTCTGATTTGAGAAGCGGCCCTTATGCCCACAAACACAATGACTATTCATTATGCACTTCACTTCAGTTAAAAGGCTGGCTAGGCCACAAAGGAAACAAAAAATCTTGCCTCGTACACACGATAGCGTATGATGTCACTCTTCGCCATGATATTTTTCAGGTCGACTAGCAAGTTGCCTGCAAGCAAAGACTCTAAACCCTCAGGTGTTTCTGCCACCCTTGATAGCGACTTTATGGCCTAGAAAACATCAGCAACGTAAACAAAGATAGAAAAAACAGACAGTGGATATTAAAAGCAAGGCAAAACTTCAGGTTTTGGACACAGATTCCACTCCTAAAGTTCAGATCTGAAGTTCAACACACAGACTTTTTTTCAGAAATAATCTTCTGACATATGAAGGACACCCAAGATCAAGTCACCTAAAGGCACACCAAAGACAATAAGGTGAGAAGCTATTATTGAGGTCCCACCTTACAGGATAAATTCTTAACTAGGAGGCATTAGTTTAAAAAATTATAGAACAACGTTTAAAAACCACTAATAAACATTTTCCTGCAGGGCAGAGGATGGAGCAGCCTTGCAGGGCAAGGAAGTGACAGTCCAGGTGGGGGAAGGAATAGGAGGGGCCTTTGCCTGCCTGCCATCCTCGTCCCAAAATATGGCCAAAAGCCATGACATCAACTGCTCCAAGTTAGTATCTGTTTCTAGGATCTCTTACCTCTTTGGCCACTGCTATTTTCTCTGCAGCAATGCAATAAATAACCTGCCTCAGCAACTCTGGAGTATTAAGGATTTCTTTAGCAGCATCAGGATCTTCTGCTACCCGTCCAACCTAGAAATTCAACACAACATTGTAAGAGTATTTACATCCCACCTTCCAACCAGAGTTCCGAAATGTTTGAAAACATAATATAAAAAATAAACAATATAAAATATATAATACAACTAATATAAATGAATACAATAATAAGCAATCTATTATACATATAATATACTCTGTTTTATTGTTTGGATATATAAATAGATATATTCATATATACAACTATAAATACAAAATAATGTAAACAAAAGTTAGGATAAGACAAAAGTTCATGCCAGTTCCCACCTGCCATTCTGATTCTCAGATATTCCAGCTGTCACTCTAGGCCACTGTACACAGTCACACATAAAGACACAGACATAAAAGGTAGGTAGATCTCATTCACAACCTTCCCTGATCAGGAATTACTAAGCTGCCATTATAAAAAGCATGCTATGGTGCACACCTGGGATACAGTCAGAATTTTGACTGAATCGTCTGGATGGAAGAGGCCCTTCTGCAGTTCTTCCCCAAAGTTCTGGATCACGTACAAGGGGTCCATGATTTGGAGGAACCGCTCCAGGATGGAAACACAAGAAGAGATCTGCTCACTGCTTTTCAAGAAAAATAAAAAGACAGGAAGGTTAGCAAGCAGTTCACCCAGTGACCGTTTTGAGCTTTGGAAACCTGAACAGTACCCAAGTAGCTGCTCCCATATGTTTAGGAGGCATAGGCCCACTGCAGGGACCTCCCTCTTAAAGGTTAAGAGAAAGTGCTACCAGCAACAAGCCCTTTTCTCTGATGCCATCCAGTCTTCAAGTACCTCAAACAATCACTTTACAGGCTGGTCCTTTTTAGACACTAGATAAAGCAGCAGGGGGAACCTGAGGCCCCAGGCCAAATCCTGCCCTGTCAAACTGGCCCTCCAGGGATCCTCAGATAGCCACAACCCCTTTCTCCTGGCCCCACACTTTCCCACCGCAAACCACCCATTCGGTGGTTTCCTAGCCATTCTTCCCCCATTTGAAAAGGTTAAAATGCCTCTCCAAAACTTTGCTGTTAGTATTATTATTATTATTATTATTATTATTATTATTATAACATTTCTATGCCGCCCCTTGCCGAAACCTCGGGGCGGCTTACAACATGATAAAATACATTGAAATACAATAGTACATAATAAATTACCATTAAATATAACAATACAAAAAATACATTGATTTACAAATACAAAATTAAAGTTATCAGTATAAAATAAAAATATAGGAGGAGAAAGAGAAGGAAGAAGAAGTTGCCCAGGCCAGATCATATGTTTTAACAATTGAAATGATGTTTAAATAAAAAGGTCTTTACCTGGCGCCGAAAAACCAGTAACGACGGTGCCAGGCGGACCTCTTTGGGGAGTGAATTCCATAGGTTGGGCGCCACCGCAGAGAAAGCCCTCCTCCGGGTACTTACTCCCCTAATTTCTTTCATGGAGGGTTCCCGGAGAAGGGACTCTCCCGCAGATCTCAAAGGGCGGTCGGGCATATACGGACGTAAGCGCTCGTGCAGGTAGCCAGGACCCAAGCCGTTTAGGGCTTTGTAGGTCATAATCAACACCTTGAATTGGGCCCGGGCTTCAATGGGAAGCCAGTGAAGCTGATGGAGGACTGGAGTCATGTGAGCATAACGCCCCGTCCCCGTCAGCAACCTGGCAGCTCTATTTTGCACCAATTGAAGTGTTCGGACTGTCTTCAGGGGAAGCCCCACGTAAAGCGCGTTACAGAAGTCTAGGCGGGAAGTCACCAGCGCGTGTGTCACCGTCGCCAGGCAGTCGTATTCCAGGTAGGGGCGCAGCTGATTAATCAGCCGAAGCTGAAGGAAGGCGTTCCTCGCTACCGCTGTCACCTGAGCTTCCAAAGAAAGCTCCGGGTCGAGGAGTACACCTAAGCTGCGGACCTTATCCCTAAGAGGGAGTGTTGCACCATTCAGGACCAGGTCAAATCCACCCTCTCCGAAACCCGATCTGCCAACCAACAGGACCTCCGTCTTGTCTGGGTTGAGTTTCAGTTTATTGGCCCTCATCCATTCCCTTACCTCGGCCAAGCACCGGTTCAGCACAGCCACTGCCTCACCTGGATTAGTGGAGAATGAGAGGTAAAGCTGGGTATCATCAGCGTATTGATGATTCCGCAGCCCACACCTCCTGATGACCTCTCCCAGCGGTTTCATATAGATGTTAAATAGCAGAGGGGATAGAATGGAGCCCTGTGGTACCCCATGGCATAGCTGCCATGACGTAGAGACATGGTCCCCCAGCACTACCTTCTGGAATCGACCGTCGAGATAGGAGCGGAACCACTGCAAAGCAGTGCCTCCAACCCCCAATCCCGCAAGTCTATCCAGAAGGATACCATGGTCGATGGTATCGAAAGCCGCCGAGAGGTCCAGAAGAACCAACAGGGATGTACTCCCCCTGTCCTTCTCCCTGCACAGGTCGTCGAGTAGTAATGAGTTTTAAGTTAAAATGTGTTTTTTATTCCTTTGCTATTCTATTTTTTATGAGCACTCTTGTAAACCACCCAGGACTTCAGCGATTGCGTGGTATTAAATAATGTTTTTGGCCCCATTCCTTTGCATTTGGCCCCAGCATTCAAAGGAAAGCAGCAGTTCTTATTTGCTCAATACTCTTACCATGTGTGACCCATTGCATAACTTATGGCTGTAACCTATTTGGTCTACTGTCATATGCAATTATAATTTGACTGACTTTAAAAAATGTGTCAAAGCACTGGGAGGGCCCGCGAGGGCTAGTGCTTAAGAGCACAGTTCTGGGATTCAGGCGACCTGGGTTCTAGTCCCTGCTCAGCCATGGAGCCAACCGGTTGACTCCGGACCACTCACAGACCCTCAGCCCAATCTACCTCGCAGGGTTGTTGTTGGAATAAGACTTGAGAGCAGGAGGCGAAGAATGACGGCAGCTGCTTTGAGAGAAAAATACGGGGCATAAATCTAATAAATAAAATAAATGAATTTGAGGGTTGGGTTTGGTTGGGTGCCAGAGCTGACTCATCTACAAATAAATGTAAACAAGCTACTTTTTGAAAAGCCTCGAGTCGAAGCCAGACAAAGCTGGCAAAGGTCAGGCACAGCTCCGCCTCCTCACTGAGCGCTAGTATCTTGAAACCCTGCAAACACCTTCCTGGAACCCCAACGCTGCCAGCGACCTCAGCAGCCGCCCTGCGGCAGCGGCCCACCGTCGGCCTGCAAGGCCCCGTCCTTCCCACTCACCTGTCCCCCCGCGCCATGAGAGCGAAGAGCCCCGCCAGAGGGAACTCGGGGCCCCTCTCCCGCAGGGCGCCGGGCGGCAGGGCCTGCACAGCCACCCGCAGGGCCCGCAGCTCCTCGGAGGGCTCCTCCAGCCGCGAGATCCGCCCGAGCAGCTCCAGCGCAGCGTCCACCGCGCCCGGCGCCGCCATTTTAAACCCGCGGACGGGAGGGAGCAGTCGCAGGAGGGAAATCTCGCGAGACCTCAGCGCTAGCGACCCAGGGGGCCGCGCGTCACGAAGAGCTCCCTCTCGCGTCCGCCTCTCCGGCGGGCCCGCCCCTTTGTCTTGGCGCCTCGCGTCACTTCGGCGCTCGGACTTCTGATTGGCTGGAGCTGGAGGAGGCGGTGGAGGAACCACAGCCGAGCTCACGTGATCTTCCCTAAGAGAAGTACATATGAGGTGATTTTAAGCTTATTTCCGCGTTCCCCAAGGCCTAAGTTCTCCTCTACTTCTCGCAGGCCGGGTGCGCTCCTGCCCCGCAAATGGCGTAAAGTTCCGTCTTCTGTTAGGGTCCGAAAATTGAGGGTTAGGAATGCATCTCTTGACTTTCTACCTTATCTCTTTGGTCCTTAGCGCGCTTAAGCAGAAATCTGCTACCGCAAATTCGGGCCGGAGCCTGTTGAAGCAACATTGCAGCAGAGGACCTCTGAGCATGTGCAGAGTGACATTCAACACTGCCTTCCCACAGAATCATTCCTTCAACGGCTTCCACGCCTCTAGACATTCTAGGATTTCCAAGCAGTTTACGTATACAATGTAAAAACCAATATAAAACAGTATAAAGCAATTAATACTTTACAAACACGAGAAGCTAGCCTCTCTTCTAGCTTTCTAGAAGAGGGCTCTTTATCCATTACAGCTTTTATTCTGACCATTATAGGAGCTATCCATGTTGCTCCATACCAGTTAGGGTGGAGTGCAGCACCATGGAGAGCGCCTGTAAAGCTCAGCGTGAAAGCTGGATTGGATATGGAGCTCGGATTTGTCAAAAAACGGATGCATGAAAGGGGGAGAGGAGGGCATATGATTTCAGGAAAGAACCTCAGGCAGGAGGTTTCAAGGAGTGGCAGGAGGGGAAGCCTGTGTGGGCCAAAAGCCAGCTCATTTTATTCATTCGTTCATTTATGCCCTCTAAGCCTTGATTTCAGCAAGTGCTTCAACTCACAAAAAGGATTATACATACTTGTGGCAGAAAACTGATGGCAGATATTCAGATTACGCCCCACTATGTGCAGTAATTTTAGGTTTCAGGGCTCCCAAGACCACTGAGGAGAAGAGTTCCACTTTTGAAAATATAATTTTCAGGTGTTAGCTCAAAACTGTCTCCACCGACCAAGAAACCTGTCCACTTCCCTATCTGAAGTTTTGAGAGAGCAGCTGGATTTGCTGTTTTCAAGAACGGAAGATCTACAGCTCAACAAAGGTGTTTTTATTTTTTCCAAAGAAAGCTAACACTTATTTGAAATGGTCAAAGTCGCAATGCACAAATTTCAGCACTCTGCATCTGAGTCAACCTCTTTGCAGTCTTTCTAAGCCCTTGAGAGCTCTATTTGGAACAAGGAAAATACTCCGAGAAAGTTTCTCTCTCACCCTGATAGGTCAGATCTGGGTGTCTGATGAGGCTTTCTTGTATCTTTCTCATTATTGGCAACTTCAGTAAATGGATACCCTATTTCTATGTTCATTGATTGGTCTAGTAAAGGTATCATGCTAGTTAGATTTTGGCATTTTCTTAAAGCCAACACAGTGGGCTGCTTTTGTCTGTCAGTTTTACCAAGCCAGCAGGTCAAAAAATCTACATAAAAACACACCATGCTTGCCTTTTTTCTTGCAATATTCCTTCCTCTCTCTTTCTGTCCTGAAATTCCCGCACACACAGACTTTGTGGTTCAATCTTCCAGCATTCCACTCTGCACCCCATTGTTGCAGTCCCAAATCCACAGTCTCAGTTAATTACTCTACCCTGGTCCCTGAAGTGTAGCTGCTTCCAAGCAATATGAATGCCTTGATGAAGTTTTTAAAAAGACTTCTATTTTTTAATCATTGTACATCTGACATATTAATTACAACTTGAATACAACAAAACAAAGTTATTAAAAAGCAGCAATTTGAGAGACTAATATATATATAAATTATATAAGAGGAAAGGTGCACACAAAAGCATTAGAAATATGAATCTGAACCAATGCAAAAGTATATGCATCTTGGAGGAGAAGATCCAATTTTAGGACCCTCCTCCTGGTTCTCTCTCCAGAGCAAACATGACTCCTCAAGTTGCATGGAAAGCTTTCCCTCATGTAACAAAAATTTGCAGATACAACCAGCTTTGACTAGCTTTGCAACCCCCCCCCCCTCCTAGAAATAACGTCAGGCTTTTATTTCCTTTAAGGAAGTTATATAGGCACTCGTGAAAGAGACAGAGAGTCCTTGGTCATTGAAAACATGCTGCATTTCATCAACAAAAGATGAAGCCCCTGAAGTGAATTGTCACTTCGTGCCTTCTTTGGGAACAAGGCTGAGAATTGTGGGGTCTTGGGTCATGTGCGTTCCGCGAAGCTCATGGACCTCACATGAACCCAATGAGGAATTTTCCCACTTCCGGATATCTGTGTGCATGTGTGGAACCAGGGCCAGCCCCAGATTTGAGGAGACTCCAGGCCTTGTAGCCACCAGTAGAAGACCTTCTCCAATGGCAAGCAGCACTCTGGACAGTAATATCGGGCTTCACCGGGCTCCCATCTTAATTTCTCATAATCCCCCTGAGCCACATTAGAAAGAGCTGCTGTGTGGTGTAGAAGTTGATGGAAAAACTCTTGCTGGAGTGCAGACGGAAGGGAGTGGAACCAATTGCAGTCCTGGGACTTCTTGAAGTCTTTGTTGTTATTAAAATAAGTCTTTTCTCGTGCATGCGTGTTGAGTTATTGGGACCTCCAGGGGCAAAATATGTATTCTGTGATGAACAAACGGAATTTGCTGAGACTTGGTAATAGCCTTAGTGTCACACAGCATTAGAGAGGATGGTGTAACATTAATCTTAGACATACTTTGAAGGAGGAAATTCCAATGAACCGAGTGGGACGTCTCCTCATACGTGCTGTACAGTGTGGAAATCTATTTCCCTAATTCTTTTCCTTACGAATTTCTAAATCCAGGCCCTTTGAGCAAAATTTCGTGGGATTCCTGGGAGCAGATAAAAATTGCTTCAGGGGTCAAACCCAGTCTGCAGGCTGGCAGCTGGCCATTCCTACTTTAGAACACACAGCAGTAAAGAAACAGGGCTCAGACCATGCACAGCTTTCCCCAAAACTCTCACGATTACGGCTCAGTCTAAAGCTCCTGTGCAAACTTGTTTGGCGTGAGAACGGGTGGAGGTGGTTTCGCAGCATTCTGGAAACTGTTTTTTAAACTAACCCATTTGTGTTCTCTGGTGTTCTTAAACCCCTTTGAAAAACAACCACAAATAGGAGGAAATCATGCTTCCTGCCCTCGCTCTCACTTGCCTTCATGATGCCATCTAAAGCCAACCGAGAGTGATGGCAATACTTCTGCCCCTTGCTCTGATTTGACTTCATGATGAGGCCAGGCACATCAATGTGATTTGCTTACCTGATAATATATACGGCCAAAGCAACACCATGAAGCCTGCCTTCATTCCAGTGACCTGAGCATTTTTTTAAAAGATGAAACATGTTGGCCAAGCAAGTTTTCCACCCCCATCTCCCCGAAAAAGGGAGTTGCAGTTGTAGCTTCACAGCCTGTGAACAGAAAGGCAATGTCGGCAGCAAAGGGAAAGCACAAACAGAGCTCCTGCCGCTGTTTTCATTGATAAGCAAAATGTCACGGATGTGAAGCCCTGTGGCCTCAGGTAAGAAGGGCAGTTGGTTGGATCGCAGTCAATCCAAATTCTCCTTTTCCTTCTCCCACTTGGATCTCTGCAGGAAACTCATCCATGGCCAATTCCCTTTCCTCTGACTAATTCCCCCTCCATTTTCCTTTGCTCTGGCCGCCAAGCTCCTTCCAAAAGGACTGTCGTATGGCCCAGACCTTCCCCAACTGGTGTTCCAGGCCTTGGCTACAGAGGTTCAAGGATGAAGGCAGTACGATTCCAAGTATGACTTGGACTCTGGATTGCGGGGGGGGGGGGGTCACATATTAGAGCTTTCCCCTGTAAGTCCCTGCAAGCAGAAAGCCAGCACAAAAAGGAAACAGCCTGGGTGAGAGCCATGATTTTTAGCACTCAACTTGTATAGAGGCTTCCAAAATTGCGATTTTCCTCACTGATGTGCCCTTACAGCCCAAAGTGGAAGTTCCCTTGGCCACATCAACTTTATTATTAGGCTTTATTAGAGTTACATCCTGCCTTTTTTCTTTCAAAGAACTCAAAGCAGCTTACTTCACTCTCCTCCTCCTGCACGAAGTCTTATCCTCACAACAGCCCTGTGAGGTAGGTTGGGCTGAGAGTCTGTGGCTGGCTCAAAGTCACCCAGCTGGTTCCATGGCCAAGCGGGGGCTAGAACCCAGACCGCTTGGGTCCCAGTCCATACTCTCAACCACTACCCAACACAAGCTCAAGAGTCTCTCTTCTCATTATCTTGGGTGCGTCAATTTGCCTTCTGTCCCTCCGTCGTTCCACAGGCCATGCAAAAATGCGCCTTCCCACTGGTCATTCCCACTGCATTCAAAGGATCTGAGCACCTTTGCCACATCTCCAGGCCAGCCACTTGCCCCACGAACTCTCCACCTGTCTCCAAACCGCCACCCCAGAGTTCTAGAGAGGGAAAGGACGGCCACTAAACCAGTCTCAAGCCAGTTTTCAAAACGCACAGCTGTGTCAGTTCAAACATCACTGCCGGCTGAAGGAGCTTCATTTGGTTTGCATAGTAGCAGCGTTTTTAATCGAGATTCCTCGGAAGTTCGGACCAGCACGAGGTGGTCTCTCCGAACACCATTTCTCGTTACACGTACGTAGCTCTTGCTCCAGTTGCTTTGGTAACCACCCAGTTAAGTTAGGCTAGTATTTTTTTGATCCCACAATGCAAAGCAGGAAGAAACTGGGAACATGGCAGCTTACCCAGGGCTGTCCAGATGAAGCTGAACCTCAGCTCACACGGACAGGTGGCCTGCTTCCAGCCTCCTTCCTGCTCCATCCTCTGCAGGTTTTGCTTTGCTCGTCCTCACACCCTTCCCACCCCAACAACGCCCCGAATTTCCCTCTCTGTCACCATCCAGACAGAGATCCCTCTGAGAAAGGGCTCATCAAGTCTTTGCTTCCCACACGAAGTCGCACTTCCTGTGCTCAGGAAACCCAGGAATCCCCCCGTCCTCAACCCCGTCGCAAAAAGCAGCGTTAAAAGCGACAGCGTTCCCTTTGGGCGGCAGCTGGTGGCACGCAAACTGCCCTTCCCAGGGAGCCCCTCTGCGGCAGCTCAGCCGTGCCCCGCGGAGAGGGCTCGGCCCCACATGCCCGAGGTCAGTCCTGCTGCCTGCCATAAGCGTGACTTAGACTGCCTCCCAGACAGCCATGGCCCAGACCAGCCGCTCCGAATGATCCCGGTCCTCCGGAGTCTTTCTGGGTTGCCTTCCGCGGGGCCCGAGGTCCCGGACACACGGGCGGTTTCAGTAGGGAGTGGTGCCCTCCCATTCCACCAGGTACTCAACCCTGCCCTCCGGGGTCACCCTCCGGGCCAGCACCTGGTACTTCTCTCCACACACCAGCCTGCCAGCAGTGCCGAAGTAGTTGCTGATGGAGGACTTGAGGTGCGAGAGGGATGCGTCGTCTTCACTCATGCTCTCGAAGGGGTGGCAGTTCATGGCGTCGTCCGGACGGTCCAGCACACAGGGCACCTCGCTGTCTTCCGAGGAGCAGGTGGGCACGATCCTCTGCGGGTGCTCCGCGCACCTCTGCTTCGCCTCACCGGCAGAGTACGTTTTGGCCGACAGTTTGCGCTTCCGGCTGCCCACGTTCCTTTTGCTAGATGGTGCGATGAGGGTGATAATAAAAACAGGAACGCAAAGTTAAGGACTGTGGCGCTTCGCCAATTCGTCCGTTAGATGAGTCTGTCAAAAGTAACCGAACGAAAGGCACCCCTGATTTCCTCGCAGGCTGTCCTCCTCTCTTCCTCTCACGCACACCATGAACCAGTCTTAAAAGCAGCAAAACGGCATCACAAATTTGTATACTCGGAATTTACATGAAAAATTATTTTTCATGTGACCACGCTGAACGCAAAACACAATATTCCATCCTTTCTGGTGAGGAACAAACAACTCCATCTGTTTCGGTGTCTCCTAGTTTCTCATTTTTCTGGTTGGTTCATCCCACACTTTTACCTAAGATATTTTTCCCACCAAGGCACATTTGTATTTATTTATTATATTTACATCCCACCTTTTTTCCTTTCAAGAAACTGGAGCTGGCTTATATAATTCTCCTCCTCCTCACAACAGCCCTGCAAGGTAGGGTGGGCTGAGAGTCTGTGACTGGCCCTGTGAGCTCCATGCCTGGGTGGGGACTAGAATCCAGATCGCCCGAGTCCCAGGCTCACGCTCTTGACCACTACACCACGTTTGCCTAACACAAGCTCCTCGATATGCAGTTTTAGAGAATAAACATATTCTGTGCAAGGAATTTTCCTAATCCAGTGCAGTTTTGAATGTCATTTCCATGGATAAATTTGCAATCACAACTTCCCCCCAGTTTTAATATGCATGTTTCCCCTAATATTGGAAATGCACGTTTTAATGGAGAACTCCACGACAAAATGTGGTATGCATTTTGAGAACAGTTGGTTGAAAAGTATCACACTAAAATGCGGACGGAATCCATTCTTTCCCATCCCTGCTGCCCCCTTACCTGGATTCGTAGGACAGGCTGGTTGTGGCTGAACCCGAAGTGCTCGCGGCATCTGTGGAATCCACATCAGAAAGGAAAGTGTGGCTTGAACTTGCACTAGAAAGGGGGAGAAAAGCAAACTCAAGTTGCTCTGCTGCAAGTATTCAAGCTTAAGCAAAGACTCGGTCACAAGCATGAGTGTCCCTGAGCATGTACAGATTGCAATTCAAAGATGAAGACATGCTCAGAGGCACTCTGCTCCTAACAGGCAAATGTTGAAAGAGCTGCACGCACAAATCCCCTTGCCTGAATCCGGACAAGCACACGTAGCTGAGATAGGCCGTTTATCTACCTATGGCGGACTGAGGGACTGGGGAGGTAAAAAAAGCTCCTCTACAGAAAATCAAGGCAGGGGCGAGAGAGGATCTCTGGATTTGGATTCTGTCCGAAGCCGCTTCGTGCTGCAGTAGCTCAGCTTGAATAGAGGGCATGGCTTCTCACACCATGGAAATGCCATTCTTGCCAGCGCTCCCCAAGTCAGATATTCTCACCCGACTGAGAAGAATCAGCCACTTCCCATGCTGCCAGATATTAAACTGGGGGTTATAGGCATGCTGTGCTCTGACGGATTCCTCTGGCCTAGTTTTATTGGCTCAGACTGCCAGGAGCTCTCCGGGGCCTCTGGCAAAGGGCTGCTCCAACCCTCCAGGCAAGCTGCTCTGCCACATCCCTTTGGAACCGGGGACCCCGGCCTTGTACTGGCCCGGCGGGGCTGAGCCTCGCCTCCATCAGCTCAGCCTGCAGCCTGTGGGCAGCTCGTTACCTTTTCAGACTCTGAATTTCATCCAAGGTGAAGTCGAAGATGCTGGCCAGGTGGTGATTTGTGCTCCATGCCGAGGCGAAATCGCTCTGAGGGTCGGGAGGGAAATGCACAAGAGGAGCAGCCATCAGCCAGTCATCCCGGGAAGGGAGGCGCAGCCCGAGGGCGCCCCTGAGCCTTCCCCGGGCTCCATTCCCTCCCCTGGTCAAGCCACAGATTGCAAGCCCTTTGGGGCAGCGATCCAGACCGAGCCCGGGGCCACTTTTCATACCCGAAGGGTGGGAAAGCCATGGCCCTTCGGTCCTGCTTGGACTCCAGCTCCCATGAGCCCCAGTCAGCCTGGCCAATGGCCAGGGTGATAGGATTTATAATCCAACAACATCTGCAGTTACAGGCCACTGGTATATCCTAAGTGCAGGGCCAGGGTATCTAAGGACCACCTGCTCCCATACGTTCCCACCCATCCATTAAGATCAACTACAGAGGACCTTTTTGGGGGACCCCCCCCAAAGAAGGGGGGTGGTAAACAGAAGGGCCTTTTCAGTGGTGGCACCCCATCTCTGGAAGATGCTCCCTAAAGAGATAGGCAGATAGATAGATAGATAGATAGATAGATAGATAGATAGATAGATAGATAGATGATAGATAGATAGAGTGTATGTGTGTGTGTATACACATACATGCATACACACACACACACAATGTGTGTGTTTGTGTGTGTTGCATTGTTGCTGCTATATTGTTGGATGGATTTACTGCTGTTTGTAATTGTTGAGGGTTGTTTTAGTCTCTTGTGCTTTCATTGGGTATTTTAGTCCTTTTATTTGGGGTTTTAATGTTGTAAACTGCACAGAAAGACCTTTGGGCTAGTGGGGTGGTATCTAAATGCAATAAATATATACATTCTTGGCCCTTATGTATCCACCCATAAGAGGCCAGCAACCCCAAGAAATATGCAAAAGTGCCAAGAATCAAAACGCAAGGGGAAACTCAAGCTGTGCGAGGAGCATGTGGTGACATTTCGTAGCAGGGATCAATAGTCTATATTTAATTAGGAGAACACCACCCAGCAATGCCTTCTCACTGGATTCCGCAGTGGCAAGCAGACAATAAAAACCTGGCTTAATTAATGGAAAATCTCTGTCACTTTTCCAGAGCACATCAGTCCCTGTTACCAAATACTGTCTGGCTGGAACAAACCCAGGAGACAAAGATGCATGCGCAGAAGCAGAGAGAGCGACGTTTTCTTGAAAAACAAGCAAAATAGCATCAAACTAACACTGGGAATCGCATCTTCCAGGAGAAACTTCGACCTTTTCCTCCTGCGTTCCTGCTGGAGCTCGTGCGGCAGCGAACTGCGGAAAGCAACACAAGGAGAGAGAACAAATTCAAAAGACGTTTCGTTCAGAGCTGCAGACATGGAAAGCTGATCGCTCGCTTGCGTTCCGTCTGCAGGGCTGCAAAAAGCAGTGGTGTTTTTCATCCCTTTGATGCCCTCGCGGGACGGGGATTCAGAGCATGTCTTGGGATTTTGAATCCAGAAGGGGTGGAATTGATGCCAGCTCAGAGTGAACGCAGATGGGAAAGTTATCTTGAAGTGTGGCACTCTGCAATTTTCTTCCTATTGTCAAGGTCTGTTCTTAAAACTACCCCCAAATTTCATAGCTCCATCTGCAAGTGATGGATTCAACTCTCATCATCTGAACTGTGGCCTGGACTGGGGATGATGAGAGCTGGAACCACAAGCAACAGGAGGGTGCCAGGTTGAAGAAGGCTGGGTTAGAGTGTTGGACCTGGTCCCAGGAGATGGGTTCGAATCCCCACTCGGGCATGAAGCTCACAGCATCACTTAGGCCCAGCCTAAACTACCTCACAGGGTAGTTGTGAAGATAAGGGGGCAGTCCTCATGGAGGACACCCTTTGTTCTCTTTGGAAAGAGAGAGAGTGGGGTATAAATAAACAAGAGTTGGATCCAAGAGTGTCTCCCGGCCCAGAGACACACCTGCTTTTACGAGAGTTCTTCTGTCTCCCCCTTTGGTTCAGTTCAGGCGCTCTCCCTTCAACCAGAACTGGGATCTTCTCGGGGAGGAGTTTGCTCGGCGGGTTGGGTGGGACCCGAATCCTCAAGCGGAAGATGCACTTCTTCTTCTTGATTTCCTTTCCACATAGAAATCTGAAACACAGGGGGAAGAAAGCACAGAATCCTCTAAGCTGGAGCAGCAAGGGCAGACTTTCCCAGCTGGGTGCCCTTCAGAGATTTGGGGTGCTGACGTCCAGCTTTCCTGGCCATTGGCAAAGCTGGCTGTTGCTGATGGGCATCGGAGTCCAAAATATCGGGAGGGTAGCAGGTGGGGGAGCCTGGAATAAATCTTGAGTGTCTCTATGAATTCTATCATCCACAAAAGAGCTTTTTGTGGTCTTACTGTGCAACAAGTGTGCTATTTGTGACCTCTGGAAAAACAGACTTGTTTACACATTGTTGACGATCAGTTTGGCAATCTGCAAAGATGACAGTGTAAGATACGTCTTGCCCTCTAAGCTTGTGAGAGCAGCCGCTTCCTGTTTCTCCAGAATTGCTCCCTTTGCAAAATATTCAGATAATCTTGCAGAAACTTAATGGCATTTCCATACCTTTTCTGAGTTGACTTATTTTCAGAAGTGAATTAGTGGCAAGTGAGGTGTGATTTGAAAACCAACCTATCTAAAGTGGATTGCCAAATTACCAATGTGGCTTTTAAGGCCCCGTGTACTTTCGGTTCAAAGCTTCCCTGTCTGCCTGTTTTAATGGTTCTTGTTCAGGAAAGCTGGGGGATTCGTGGTGAATTATTTGTTATTAGTAAGCTCTTATTCCTTCCTTAGTGGCATTTGGAGAAGGGGAACTAATTAATGCTTTCCTTGGTGTTTACTTTCTTTTATAACAACAAAGCACAGTTTCAATGTGAAAGAAAAACATGCACAATAAAATAATGCAAGGAAAACAGTAATCAGATCCTCTCCCATCAGAAAATAGAAGCTGGTGTACTGAAGGATGATTTCTGAGAAATCCCTCAAGCAACAGGGGATCTGGGGTGAACATTATAAGTAGATCCTTTAAAAAGCACAGCAAAGGACGTAACAGCATATGCTAAGCACCACTGTTCTGCTTCTAGTGAATTGTGGAAAAACAGTAACTTAACTGTGCTTTAAAAAGCTTACAGTGGGGAAACAGCCAGATTTTTGATAACCAAACTGAACAGTTAACAAATTAAATAAAATGAAGTACCATCTGTCTGCTGGAGTGAGGGGCAGGTAGAGGGAAATAATGTTTCCATTTATTTTTAGAAAGCTGGGTCTAGGATTTGCCTTCCGGGAAAGGAACATCCCTCCACCCAGTTTGGGGGATCTCTCTTCCTCACAGCTCACCCCATTCAGCAGTGCCTCCTGCAACATTTTCAGGGGCTCTCATAGGAAGGAAGGAGTGGGGGAGTCCACTTCTGTCATCTTAGAATCTGGAGCCACCCAAAGTGTGTAAGGGAGTGAGAAGCCCACCTCCCGCCTCTCTGCATGAGTCAGTGTTCTCACAGTGCTTGCTAATTAGCAAGCACAAAGCAGCAACTCCTGCACATACACAAGAGACAACCTCACCCCGTGACAGTTAATGGAACCACCCACTCCAATCAGATACAAACACAGCTCCAGGGCACCAGCAGGTTGGAAGGAGGTAGACCTGGAGGAGTGACCTGCAGAGATGCAGCGGGCACACTCTTCCACTTCCTTTGGGAACACCGAAGCCTTTCATTGTACTTCTATGCAAGGAGGAAAAGTGGGGAGAGAAATGCCCCCTTGAGCTCACCTGCTTTTGTAGCTATTTAGTGCATCCAGGAGGTGGGGGCCTCGCTCCGCTGCTGGCGTGCTTGTCAGCTGAGAGGAAGAATTTGAGGAAAATCAACACCTTCCTGGGTTAGAAGGCAGATCCGAGAGCATCCCTGCTGGACCAAGCCAAAGATTCCTGTTTCCTTGCCTGGTCAGATAACCGCAAACTTGAGAGCAAAGCGTGATGCCCAGATCTTGCTTGTTCCCGCATCTGCCCCTCATAAACAGGGGTTCCATTCCGTTCTCGTGGCTACTAGGCACCAACAGTTGAGCAAGAACCACTCTTGAGAACCACCCTTGAGTAAGAAACTTCCTTACATCAAATCAGACCATCTACACTGATCGGCAATCAGTCTTTGGGATTTTAGAAAGGCTCCGTCTCAGCCCTATTACTGAGCTATCAACCTACCTCTAACAGGAAAGTAAGGTTCCAGTCCTCATGATTCTGAACCAATAGCTGAACGAAACAGCAACATAAAAGCTGCCACATATACCAAGTCAGACCAGTAGGTCCATCTAGTTCAATACTGTCTACACTAACCCACCAGTTTCCCACAGTAACCAGCCAGGTGTTATAAACGAAACACAGTTTCCGATTACTATTCTAGAATGTGCTGTTGTTTTTCTATTTTGGTTATTTTACTTTGCATGGAAATTGCATCTTACAAAGCCAACCTCCAACCCTGGAGCGGTTCTTCTGCCTGTGACCACAAGGGGAGGCCAAGTTTCAGCTTTCTAGTTGCTCATCTTCCTCTCCCAAGTCGAAAACGGCAGCCATTGGGGGAACCGCAAATAAACATTGTCAACCCTGCTACATACCTTCCCAAGGTGCAAAAGGTCCCAGTGATGATTGACAAAGGTTACGATCTCCTCGAAGTCAAAGTATTTCTTCTTACTTTGCACACCAAGGTTGTAGAGCACAAGATGTACAACATCCACCCTGCATGTACACAGAGGTAACAAGAGTGACTCAGACCTTCCCGGAACTAGAAGTTTTGCGTTTTTTCAACCTCCAGTGTGGCCAACTCAAGCCTAGTCTTGAGAAAGAGAGGCCCTGTAGTTTCTCTTCTTAAAGAAAAGCCATTTCTAAACTGTAAGAAATAAGATATTCCTTACTTTTGTGCAGAATCTGTGTTGGATTTTGCACCCAGCAGGGACATAACTGGCCACATTTGCACTAAACCCTCAGCCAGAAAGGCTAAGAATTCTGGCTTATTAGTAATCATTGTATTAGGCTGAATTAATACAATAATTAATCAAATAATTTTGCATGCCAAGCAGCATACATCCAGCAGCGAGAACAAACATGTTATCCATGAACGAGAAGCCAAACTTCTCAGCCATTCCGGCTTGGCGGTTTGTACATGCATAAATACGTATTCTTGAGGGTCTTTGTACCAGGACTAGGTGCAAAACAAGAGAACAGCAAGTGGACTTCCCAACATTTGATGCAATGTTAATTCATGTGATTGCCTCCAAATTCTTTTAACACGGCGTTTTCCTGATGCACATACACAGTCCTGTACATTGGCCCAAACACCCCACCAAAAGAATCTTGATATAACAGCATCCAAGTTATTCTTTTACAGCATTTTATCAATGGAGACAAATAAAATTGGACTCAGCAAAACGTTGCACAAGACCAGATCTCGGTGCAACTGCACGTACAAATACGAAGGGCATCAGCAAAACCCTTCACAGAAAGCATCACGGTGAGCTTACGGTGCAGCAATTTATGGAGAATGCAGGGAACAGATGACGTGAGAGACGTTTTGGTTTTGGTTTAAGTCTGGACAACATTTTGGCTTGTTCCAGCTGAGCCTTACCATCTTAACGGCAACCGTTTGATGTACTCTGGACCCTGGTTGCAGACTGAGCAGTAGAAAACATAAAACCTGAAAGACAAAACCATTAAAGCGGAAGTGATCCCTTTGTTTTATTTCCAGTGCATCCGAGAATCAAATACATGAACTTACAAATAAAGAAATCACAAAGCAACCCTCAGCATCCACTCCAGAAAATAATGATATCTTGCAGAACAAGACACGGTGGAGCCTGAGAAGGAAGGCCTTTCCTATAGTCCTTTTTTGCTTACACAGCACACAATAAAGGTGTGAACTCTGCATGATTCAGAGCCAGGCTGTGGGACACATGAAAACACAACCCAAATGGATGGAAAAACACTGAAGCAACCAGACCAACCTTGCAGGCCTTTAACACTATTCATTTGTTAATTTATTAAAAGCTTTTTAAAAATCTTTTTTTAATCCTGTCCTCTCACAGACGTCTCGGGATGGTAGTACAGTAAGAAGCACAGCATCACATCCTCAAATAAAATCCGATTAAAACAAGAATTAAAACTTAAAATGTTGGGGAAATTAAAAGGGTTGTCATACTCCAGGGCCTCCCCTGTGTTTGCCATGTTCACGGCCGCTTTTCGAACAAGGAGAGAGCAGCGTTAGCTGAAATGCCGCCAGGATTTGCATGAGAAGCCATGCATAAATTCACAAGGCTTCCCAATACCATGGTGCAAATTTATGACTGTGCAGTGAAACATACAGAAAAAGAAAGGAGGAAAACCCCAACAGGGGAAATACCCTTATGTAAAGGACCCGCTCTTCCCGCCACAAGCAAAATGGAAGGAGAATCCTTGCTAAAATGACTGACTGGTTTGATCGCCTTGTGGTCCAAGGGACTCGCAGGAGTCTCCTCCAGCACCACAATTCAAAGGCTTCAATTCTTTGGCACTCAGCCTTCCTTATGGTCCAGCTTTCAGAGCCATACATTGCAACTGGGAAAACCGTAGCCTTGACTATACGCACTTTTGTTGGCGGGGTGATGTCTCTGCTTTTTAGTATGCCGTCTAGATTTGCCACAGCTTTCCTCCCCAGGAGCAAGCTACAGTCTTGGCTACAGTCCCCGTCTGCAGTGATCTTGGAGCCCAGGAAAATAAAATCTGTCACTACCTCCATTTCTTCCCCATCTGTTTGCCAGGAAGAGGTACCTACCGGTCTCCAAACAGCATCGGATCGCTAAGGCACTGTGTGCAGGCTTCGTGGAACCACTGCCGACAGTGATAGCACTGCAGCATCTTCAGATACCACCTGGGGGGAGAAAAACAAGGTTGGGACAAGCACGAGGAGGACGTTCGCATACCATGAAGAGCACGGAGAAATAGAGCTGTCATATTTCAGAAGGCCAGCTTGCCTTCCTGCATCCACGGACACATTTAGACCAACCTGAAGCCAGTTTTTAAGCATTGCCCCCACCCCGATCTCCACAGAAGGTCCCCCTTGGCCCTCATCAGGAGGAGAAATATATGATACAGCTATTTTCTGTGCTGGCCCTGCAATTGCAGATTGCCCTCCCAGGGTTCCTGAAGGCAGCCACTAAAACAAATGTTTGGCAAATTGAAGTGGATTTTATCTAATTGTAATTTTATGTTTTTATTTATCGGCTGGTCATTGGCTGAATAAAGAATTGATTGATTGATTGATTGATTGAAGTGGATTGTGTAGGCAGGACCAGCCCTATTTCAAGTTCCACCTGTCCCCAAGCCACAAGGTCAGGGAATGAATCTATGAGAACACGGATGGGGTCGATCGGTCCAACACATTGGGACTGCCCACCAACCACCCAGCTGCCCTGTGTGATGCTTTCCCAGCTTCCTTCCGTTCGCCTTACTCGCCGGGGCCCCCGCAGTAACAGTAGCACTGCTGCTGGTTGGTTCTGTGGGGAGAATCCCATTCCAGCTGCTCCGGGTTGTAGGACAGCACCATCTTGACCATCTGCAACGTCCTCGCGATGGCGCCTTTCCGCAGCGCTCCGCCCTTCTGTGAAAGCAAACGCACCACGCGCAAATAAACGGAGGCACTCCAATCATTCGGAGGAGCCATTCCCACACCGCACGGATGAATCCGTGTGTTTATTTATGTTCCCTTTTATTTCCAATTGGCTGAACACATTTCTGTTCAGAAAAGAAGTCTGCAATAGCCATGACAGCTAAACAGACCTTCCGTGGGACGACAAGACACTTCGGCCAAACAGGAGAATAGGCCCCCATCTTAAACACTGAGCATTTAGCTATTCGCTAGCAGAAAGCCATTCATCAACCACTGGTGGTCCTTACATTTTCATGAGGGAATGCTAAGCATCCAGAAGGCAAGGCACACGATAGGAAACATTGCTTTGACCACTCACCCGCACTGCCAAGGCGAAGATACATCTCCGGCAGAACCAAGGGCTCACCAAGGAACCTTCGTGACTGTTCACCACTGGGATGTGGCATTGCTGGTGATAGCCTAGTGGGAGGACGAGGCAGCGATGTGCCAATTAATTACAAGGTGGTGCCAATTAATTACAAATTACAACTTCCGCGGGGAAATCGAATCTTCCCTCGTGTTTCTGTTGCCAAATTTCTTGGAAAAGGGGCAGATGGGATCCTCCAAGCAGTCCAGTCCCAGGAAGCTACAAAGCTTGTGACGCTAATCCAGATTAGCATCCTGATGCCGGATGACAGAACCTTCTGCCCCCATGGTGCTCTTGACAGGGTCAGGAGCCCTGTGTCTGCAGGTCGCCTTGGGGAAAGCATTGCCATTTCAAGGCTGGGTGAGTTTTCTCCTCCACGGATTAGTAATTGAGCCGAAGGAAAGGGGTGCAGCTTCCTGACTGGATCCGGGACACAGAGTGGGAGGCAAAGGATTAAAGCCACCCCACCCACCGCAGCACGGTCTGGACCCACGTTCCTCTCCTTTAAAAAGGAAATTAAAAGGCAATTAATTATGTCATTGCAAATCGCCTTGCCTGGCCTGACCATCAGACACAGGATCAAATAAAGACAGCTCTGGGAAGATGGGAGGGTGTAACATGGTGTCCTGCAACAGCAGGGGGCTGGACCTGGTGGCCCCTTACCACACGATTATTCCATGATTCTCGGAGACAGGGACTGGGGCAGACGGGAGGGCCAGCTGAAAAGGCTCTCCAGCACACCCCTGGGAAGATCGCTGCCCTGCCCTAAAATCAGAGGAACTCCCTTCAAATCAGCTGTCCAGGGCTGCTGTCTTCAGTGGAAGCGGCGTTCTGCTTTCAGCTAAAGCCCAGAGGGGGCCGCAGCGCAGGGCCGAGGCCTCGCAGCAGATTCCACCCAAAGGGGCTCATCGCGCTGGGCAAAGCGCAAGAGACCCCCGCCTTGCCTCCCCCGGAACTAGCCGCAGGTCCTCCTTACCTAAGCCGCACTTTCCGCAGATCAAGATCTCATTCAGGGGCCCCGTGGACTTCCCCAGGCAAATGTTGCACTTCGGCTCTTCTCCCGGCACCCCAGCTAGGAAGGAGAAGGACGAGAGCGGCATTCGGCACGGTGTCTCTGGGGAGACGGGGCGCGTCTCCAGCCCTCGAAGTCAGAACTCCCGGAGGGCCACGGGTGGCACTGGGGCCGGGCCGCTGCCGACCCCAAATGCACAGATAAATGGGCCTTTGCCCAGAGCACCCAGCCCGGCCCTGGCAAGGTCCGCTCAGCACCGCAGCACCTCCTGCTGTAGTCCTGTTTTCAGTGGGGATGCCTGGGGCCGAACCAGGACCTCCCACAGGGACCTTCCCCTGCGGCTTTGCTAGCATTTCAAGGCAGCATCGCACAGGGTGGCTAGAATTATGTGGGACGGAGTCTTCAACGCATGGAACACCGGAAAGTTCCCAGATGAGCCCTGGCCTCCAGGAGGGCTCGGAAGAGAACAGAGGAGCCCTGGTGCTGGATCGGGGCCCGTCTAGACTGGCATTTTGCTCACTCAGGGGTCAGCCAGCTGCCCACAGGAAGCCCCAGGTTGCCCTCTAGAAGTGCTGGACTACAGCTTCCATCATTCCCAGCAAGTGTGGCCACTGGGAGGCAGGGCACGGCTGCTGGGTGGTTCGGGGTTCTAGTTTGGCACGAGGCAGCTTCCTCAGCCGGGTAGCCAACCGGGCACAGGGCCGGCCACCGAGCAGGGGGTGTTCTCTCTAAACACTTTGATGCACTGAAAGCAAGGTGAAGGGAGAGGAACCGCAACAGCACAGGAGAGCCGGTGTGGAGTAGCAATACCTCCGTCCCGCTCCAAATATCTTAGACTACAACTCCTATCACCCCTGGCCATGCTGGCTGGGGCTGATGGGAGCTGGGAGAGCCCCAGGTTGGGGAAGGAGGAAGGGAAAGAAAGCCTGCCTTTCTCTTAGAGGAACAGTTCTCGTTTCACCTCCCCCCGAGGCCCGATTCAGACATGCAGTGGAATGTCCTGGGTGAGACCGTACCACTTTGGCCTGCAGGGGAGAGATCCATGCCGTGCTGCATTAAAAGCTCCCCTGCCGAACAAGCCTAGCACACCAGCGCATGGCCCTGCGCCTTTCTTGGAGATGCGCTTGCAGTTTTGTTCTGACTGGGGGAAGTTTTGCCGTGTGCAAGGGAGCGTCCCAGCATCTCCCACACCCCGCAGGTGGAAGTGGCACAGTCAGCTCTGCATCCTCAGAATGCCAGCCCCTCATCATTCCACTACATGCAAGGGCAGGCCAGGCTTGCGCAGGAAGTGCAGAGGACCTGGGGAGAGAGTGGAGGCTCACCCACCATGTTGGATGTCTTTCCAAAGCACCCAGTACTTGGAGTTGTCTTCAAAGGTCACGAGGCAACTCTGCTTAGAACAGCTCACCTACAGAGACGCACAGAGAATGGAAAAGAACAACCATGAGAAATCTTCCAGAACACACGGTGCAAAACGGGCCCTTCTCCGGCCACCCTCTTTGGGGAAGAGTGATGGGGCCGCCATGCTCCGGGAGGGGGTCTCCTCTTCCTCAAAGGAGAAGGTTCCTCGGTGGACGGATCAGGGAGGGAGCTGCTAGAAGTGTGCTGCCTCCCCAGGAACTTGTCCCCCAGGAAGACCTTCCTCATGGCATGGGGAGGGTTGTGAGACTCCAGCCACAAGGACACCAGCACACCGCCGCCACTTCTGCGGCATTGTGGCCCAAAGCTGTTGAGAAAGACCAGGCATGTACCAAGGAGAAGGCCTCCATCCAGGGGCTCCCCACCCCGGACGAAGCCCAGACCTGGGTCGCATCTCCTGCTCCAGGCCCAGCACCACCGGAGCTGTCCGTGGTGCTGCTCCTTTCCCTGTTCCCACCTCTCCGGGAAACCGGAGTACTGCCTCGTCTACCTGGATCTGACGCGCCCCAGGCTGCAGTTGGAGGGGGATTTGGTGGAGGGCCTCCTCTGCAGTGGCGCCCCATCTATGGAATGCGCTCCCCAGAGAGGTCCGCCTGGCACCGTCGTTATTTGTTTGTCGGCGCCAGGCGAAGACATTTAAACTTTATTGCTTAAATAAAGTTTAATATTAAGTATAGGTTTTAATTTGCAGCCGGAATGAATCGGGTTTTTAATTTGTATAATCTGTATTTTTCTACTATGTTTATTTATGTAAGCTGTCCCAAGGCGTTAAGTGATGGGATGGCATACAAAAACTCAAATAAATAAATAAATAAATAAATAAATAAATAAGGCAGAACCCTGGCCACCATTTTTGGATGGTGTCCCAGTATTGCCATACCCTGCTTCAACAGCAGATGTGGACAACTTTGGGGCAAAATTTCCCTTTCAAACAAGGGACACCTCTGCCAGGAGATATCCGCATCTTCTCCTCTATACCGCCCAATAGCTGGGCAGCTAACAATGGCTCATCACAGGTACAAAACTAAAAATGGATGCAATCAAAAATACCAATGCAATAAAATACAGTGTAAAATTCCAATATGCCAAATTTTAAACAGTTTAAATGAGTGAAACAATTGCAGATAAAACAGCTAACACAGACCATTGCTGCCTGGTGCCAACATTTTCATGTTTTTGGCATCAGATGTTCAGCGGGAAGAGCCTTTCAGCATTTGGGGGCCACCACTGAGAAGGATGTCCATTTTAAATGCTGGGGGCTTCAGTGGGAATACAAGCCTAGCGCTTGCTTCCTGACTTCCGCATGCAATTCAAGATGGCTTCCGCCTGTTTCCACCTGGGATGCCTTGCACCCAGCTCCACATACAAGAAGAACAGAAATCACCAGGCTTCCCAAACGAAATGAACCGCAGTTTTTGTACCCACCACGAGAAAGAATTTATAAAGTGTTCCTAGTTGTGAAGAGTGGCAGTTAAACTGTGGAATTCACTGTGTCGGGAAACAGTAAAGACCACCAATCTGGATGGCCTTCAAAAGGGTCTGGGCAAATTCATGGAGGAGGAGGAGCTTCTACCTGTAGCCTCTGCGTGAGCTGGTAGGAATTTGTGCTTGTATCCTATGAGGGACCCTATGTGTTGACCACTGTGTGAGCAGAAGGCCGGACTGCATGGCTCTGATCCAGCACAGTTTTTCTTATGCCCCTGAGATGCATTTCTTTAAAGAAGGCAAAAATTCTCCTTACCCTTTTGACCTTCCCCAGGTAATAGAGCCCATCAGTCCAACGGCACAAGACATACTGTCCTTCTGTCAACTTGACCATCAGCTCCTGGCGGCTGAACTGGTTCTTGGTAGCCGAGTCGGCCTCTAACTGCTGAAGGTGTCCCGTGGCTGCGTAGACATGCCGAACGCCGGCCCTCTCCATGAGCCTGCCTGGATGCATGCTGGAAGGAAAAGGCTTTCCGTTAAGTCTGGCTTGCTTCATACCGGGCAGCCAAGATACGTCCCATGAGGCTTGCCATCTGCCCGCACGAAGGCTGATCTCCCAGCAACCCATTTCTTCATCATCACCTTCATCACCCCTTGCAAGGCCAAGTGGCGGCGACCCACAGACAGGGCCTGTCCTTGTTCGCCCCAGCGATGGGACGCTTTTCCCTAAAGCATTCGATCGAGATGAATTGCACTTCCCTCCAAAGGAAGCCTCCAACTGTGGAGGTGTCCACGCAGCCCGCACGCTGCCGGCTGCAGCCAGCAAGGGCAGGAAGAAGGATGGAGACGATTCCAGGTTCTCCTTCTGCTTCGTTTTCTTCTAGCTGAGCCTCTGAGCCTGCCACGCTGCTGGGACGGGCCATAAATGCTTCTGATCCTGGCCTCTCCTTGCCCAACAGAACACCCCCTTCTGCCTCTGTCTGTGGTCACATTTGCAGTCTCGAGAAGCAAGTGAAAAAATTGCTTCCACAGCTACAAGGGGGTTGCAGGGTACACAATTGCTCTCTTGAAGTCCTCGGACTTTCGATGCATCAAGAAGGGGAACTCCAGAAAATTCTCCGGAGAGCCGACGTTCTCTGATCATAGCATCCCTCTTGCATTGTTTTACAACACTGGCCAATCACAGCAAAGTGACTTCAGTGGCTTTAGTGCCAGTTTTCATTCTCCTTCTTTTTGGTTCTTCTTAAAATAATGCTGCAACCCATTCACAAGTTCTTCTTTTTTAAAGAAGTAATCATAAAAGAATACTCTGAGCAACTTACATTAGTAGAAATACAATAACACAACTGCAACGATCAAGCTGGAAGCTTTTAACATCTGCTTTTTAAAATAAATAGGTGAATGCAAATTGTTAGTTGGGGGGAGTCCCTGAAAGAATGCTTTTATGACTGCGAACACGGATGCCCCCACAGCTGCTGAAATCTCCCTCTTCTGCACGGATGGGGTTATTTTGGCGACCTAACCAACCTCACTCACGGCCTCAGCATCAGCAGAGAGGGAATTGAAGCACCGCAAATGATATCAACTGTTGTTTTCATTGCCTGTTGTACGTTGACTGAGTGCCTTGGGTTGAAAGTTGGGAAAGTTTGGTTGAAAGTCTCTTAAGTGAAGAAAGGACCTAGGTAGCTGCTGTTGGGACAAGATGGAGAACTCGATGGAAACAGCTCATCCCAGAAGGCAAGCTCCTATTCAACAAGGAATGGTGCGATCCAGCAAGGTGGCCTTGAGTCCACGGACTTTTTCTCTCACCAGTATTGCAATATGTAGGGAAGAGGTTGAGGAGAACATCCTACAGCGTGGATTTCATTTGATTTCATCACATAAGCACTGCCCACTCAGACGTTTTTCAGCCCAAAGTTAATCAACAGCATGGACCGTCCACCAAAATCTATTTTTATCTATTTTAACTGCCTCTGCCCCGCAAAGATCATGGGGTATGAAAGCTTGCAACATCGGCTGAGCCAACAAAGCGAGAGCAAAGCGCCTACCCAACTCAGGCACGGCAGACTGCTGGCGCGCCGCTCCAATTTGCACGCCAGAATTGAAAGGATGCACCCAGTAAGCTCTGTGCCAGGGCCAGAGTTTCCAAGCCTGTCTCTCTGGATTCCTGGGTTGCATGTCAGCAAAACCGGCCTCACTCAAGCCCCGAGAAGCTGGCTAGGGGAAACCCTTGCAAGATAAATTGAGTGGGGTCCACAGCTCACTGGCTAGGAGAAAAAAGGGAGTGTGACAGGTTTCCAGCAGGGCAGAACCCCAAAACTCTGGTGAGTTCCCAAAGTAATAAGTAGAGGACTAGATCTGGATTGCAGTTAGCCAAGGGGCTGGTGGACCGACAAGAAAAGAGGGGTGGTTAAGACTACACAGGACTACACACTGGCCTAAATTTCCAGTAAAAGCTGCAAACTGCCATTGGCTCTTATACCAAATTGGGTTTTTGGCAACAGACCAGCGAATCCTTGATTGGATCTTGAACTGTGCTTTGTTCTGGATCTTGTACCCTTTGATTGACTTGTGCAGTTTTAGATGGACTCCGTAAAGGAAGCCACAGCCGGGAATTTACAAGCTTTCCAAAATGCCCCCTTTCACCCTTCTCTGAGGTAATTTTCCTGACTTCGGAGAGCCGCCAATGCAGCTCGTCCCATGCCAGCTGCAGGAGGTCAGCTTGGCTCCGACGACCGGCTCCGAGATTGGAGTGCTGCCTCCAACCGCAGCGCTGGGAACCTGAACAATCCTATCACTTCCCCAGCTGAAGTCCAAAATCACCCCTAAACTGTCCATTTAATCTTTTTTTTAATTTATTTTATTTTTTCAAGCCAGTCCACTCAGGCTCCTTTGAGTGGAAAGGCAGGATATTAATCAATCAATCAATCAATATTATTAATAATTAATTACTTATCTGGCCAGGGCAACTTCTTTTATATTTTTTATTTATTTTATATTGTTAGTTTTAATTTTATATTGTTATTTTTGTATTTTATTGTGTTGTAAGCCGCCCCGAGGCTTCAGCAAGGGGCGGCATAGAAATGTTTTAATAAAATAAAATATGCAGAACGAGAGAGGACTTTGGCCCAACCTAGCATGCCTCAAGTTCTTCTAGACTGGGGTGGAGAAAGGGGTACCTGCAGGGCACCTTTCCTGGCATGTCTCAAAGCACCACACTTGACACCAGCTGCGAAACAGATTTTTGCTGCAGCTGGAAACTGGGGCTTCCGAGGAGCTGTTTAGCGTGTCTAAGCACCTCGTGCTCCATCTTCCGGGCAGGTTACTTGCTCGTGGCTGTGCCTCTCCTGGCAGCCATGTTGTGCTGGTGCCCAGGAGGGCTTTTCAAATCGCCCACTTATGCCCACGACCCCAAACCGTTGCCAGCCCTGGGGGCAGGCTGTCCTGAACCAGAGAACTGAATGCTCCAGCCCCGTTTACAGCCGGTCCTCCTTCGGCTGCCATTCATAACTCTCGCCCTCCAAATTCAGAGCCGGGCACCGAGAGCCACTTAGAAGCAGGATCTGCTCGGCACAGCCTGTTGCTCATTAAGTAGATGTCGGAGAGGCGGGACAGATGCCAAGTGAGCTGTTTCCTCTGTGGTTCAGTTCCAAACTAGAAGAACCGCTTTTGGCTTTCCAAGAATAAAGTCTGAAGTTTGCTTTTCAGGTGACCCGCGTTTATACAACACATCAGTGATCCCGGGTGGAAAGTTTTCCAAAATGGTAACATTTCAAACTTCCCAAGAAAGTGCTTATCTTGCCAGGCAGGGTGCAAATTGATAACATAAATAAACCCGAAAAAAACACACGCTCCTCTTCACAGTTTGCCCTGCCTTCTAACCTTGTGTGATTACCGGGGTCAGATTATCCATTGTAATCGCCTTGGGGCAGAAGCCAGCCTCTGGGTTTGGTAAATGCCATAACGCTGATAAAAGAAGGCTTGTTGTGGTTGTTGCTTTTCGTACTGCAGATGGTTTGAAGGGGTTGGGGAGGTTTGGTAGACAGTGGGAGGCGAGAGCACAGCCATCTTCAAAAATTTGCAGGGCCGTAACAGAAACCAGACAAAGTCCTGCTCTGCACAGCCTTGCCTGACCTGGGCCCTCCAGGGAGATTGGATTGCAAGGCCTAGCAGGCAATGTGGCTGAGGGGGAGAGGTCCAAGTTGAATCCTATGAGGCTGGGAGGGGCAAACGAAAACGCCACTGCAGAGAGCTGTACCCCCAGATGTTTCCATTGCAAGCTCCCCCACACGCCAACCCTTGTGTGTAGGCAGTCCAGTCCAGTCCTGCTTCCTCCGACCAGCAGCAGACAGCCAAGCTCTCGGGTGGACCTTGCTACCCGATCCTGTTTTAAACTCCCTTGCAGGGTTGTTGTGAAAAAGAAGAGGAGGGTTATATACGCCACCTGACTATTTACCATGTGGCCTTGGGAAGGAGAGGCTGGGGGCAGAGAATCAAGTTCCAGACCCCTCTCGGTCACGCAACTCGCTCGGCGATTTGGGGCAAATCACTGACTCTCAGCCTAGCCTACCTCGCAGGGTTGTTGTGACGACAGAATCAAGAGGAAGGGGAAGGTTACTTAAGCTCGAGTTCCTCGTAAAGAAAAAAACCAGGCTTCAAATATAATAAGTTAATTAAAATAAATAGATCAACGGGAGTCGGCGGATTGAATCTGGGAGCTCCTATCTTGTGCTCCCACTTTACCCCCACTGCCTTCACTGCCCAGCTCAGCCGGCGGCCCCCACTGATTCTACCCCATTTCCTGCCCAGCAGGGTAATAGCAATAGGGCACAGCACAGTGTGAAGAGGGACCATTTGGACCCCGCAGTGCATCCTTAGAATAGCCAGAATGCAGTGCAGACACTCAACACCCCCACTCAACATCCATTTTCCCCAGCCTGACACCCTTCTGAAGCCTGGTACTACACCTCCCACATTCCCCATGACTGGCCACACCAGCTGGGGCTGAGAGAAGCCAAAGAGCAAAACATGGGCAGGGCACCAGGCAAAGCAGCCTCAGGCGTCCTGACAATATTTCTCCGCAGCCCCGCCGAAGGGGCTGAAAGCAGCGAGGTCGATGGCTCCTATACAGTCCGACTTGCCCCGTCCTTGAGTTGTGCCCCCAAACTGCCCAAATGCACCACCATGGGCTGGAAGGACCTTGAATGCAGCGCTCCCGCCTCAAAATCAACACCCAATGATGCATCAGACCACGAAGAAACCACTCTGCGGGGGTCACACTGGCATCCACTGAGATTGGCCTCACTTTCCTAACAGGGACCAGAAAGATCGCAAGATACAACAGGTCTTGTCCTGCCTTTTGCAGGTCTTGTCCTGCCTTTTGCCTCCAGCGACTGATCTCTGGAGATACACTGCCCCTGAACATTGAGGATCCATTTATTTCAGAGCTGAGAAGAAAGAGGACATCAGAGCAAGACCGCTGAAATCAGGTGACTGAAGTTTAGAATCCGGTCTCTGACAGCGGCCTGAGAGACGCCTCCAGGGGAACTCCGAAACAGCAGGAAGACAACCCCACACCGGAACCACCGGACTCGCGTACAGGAAGTCCAGTTTCATTACCTGGCAGCTACAGGTGAAAGGATTCCAGGTAGAAGGTAATGCAAACAGCAGTGCAGGAAAGTAATTCTAGGCTCTGGGTTCAGTAGCCTGGGTTGCCCCACAGCTGCCCTTTGGGGGGGGGGAACCCCCTTTGGCCTCACCTGCTTCAATCAGAGGCAAGCCAGCCCTGCTTGGCGTGCTGGACACCTGGCCCCGAAGTCTGCCCTCGACTTCGAGGAGCAGCCCCACTTATCTCCTGCTGCGCCAGGGAATATTCTGGGGTGCGGGTTGTGCAGGAGCCAGAGGTGTGGGGGGGGAGATGAGGGCTCTCAAGGTGGCAACCAGTCTCCCTGCACTTCCACATCCGAGCAAGCCAGCCCTGCCACAGTGGGGGGAATGCCTGCAGCTCCTGTGAAAAGCACCCCCCTGCAACTGCCCTCGGATGTCCAAGACTTCTTGCAGACAGAATGGAAGCCGCCAGCAGTCTAGAAGGACAATTAACCCAGCAGTTTCCTTAAGTCCCGGTGTCTGATGCACAGAGGTAGACTGTGCCTAGCCAGGGAGGTTCCATTGGGCGCTAGTCTCTTTTAAGAGACTTGTCTTCTGGTGGGGAGGGGGAGAAACGCACGCCTGATCTTCATCACCGCCACCAGCCCGTCCTGCCTTGGTCGCCCTCTCTTTGCCGGTCTTCCAAGATCGTTTTCTCCACACGGAACCGCCCACCCCTCTGTCTAGCTGAAAATCCTCCTTCCAAAAAGAGAATGCTGAAAAAAATGAATATGAAAAATCTCCCGCGTGCAATTGACTAAGACCCGGTCACCCACTGCGCTCTGATTGGCTGATTCAAAAAAAACTCCGTGCAAAATTTCCCAAAGAAAAAAAAATCCATTTTAGGCCAGGTGGGGGTGGAGGGGGGTGTTACCAACCCACGAGCGGCGTCCGAGTCAAACCGAAAGAGGCGAACCTCCCCGGCGAGCGAGAGGAAAAGGATGCGGTTCGCTCAAAGCTTTATCTGCCATTGCGGAGGGGGCGGGGGGCTTCCCTCCCCAGCTAGGATTGCTTTGCCGGATCGGATCTCTCTAGCTGCTTTTTTCTTTTCTTTTCTATTTTCTGAAGACAAGCAACGACCATGAAATGCACGCATCTGCGTCCGCGCGCACACAGCCCCCCCCCCCCCCCCCCGCCCAACACGTTCCTCCTGCGACACCGCTCTTGCGCCTATAGACTGGAAGTGAGGCGCGCGGGATTCAAGCGGCGCTTACTCGCGAGCAAGCGCCCCCCTCCCCCCGCAGTTGCAAGTACTCCCTAGAGGAGCGGGGGGCGAGAGGCGAGGAGATCCGGAGGCAAGAGGGTGACTTTAGGGTACAGTTGCGGTCCTAGGCGGGTTTACTCAGAAGTAAACCCCCACGGAGCCTGCTCTCGTGCATGAACTGTTCTCCTGCAAGAACGTTGCTCGGAAGGAGCTCTTGCCCGAGTTAACGTCCGCAGGATCGCGTCCCGACGAATGCCCAGAAATGTCACCGCCTTGCCCGGATCCACTGTTTGAAAACTTTTCCGCCCAAGGAAAGTTGGGCATTCAGAGTTCAGATCTGTTGCACCCCTTGCAATCGAGAGGAAGAACGAAAAAGAGCCGCCGCCTCTCCCACTTCCAAGCTCCTGGGGGGGCCCTTTCCTGGCCCCCACGCCCCCCGCTCGCCCCTGCCCGCGGCCCCCTTACCGAGTTGCTCCGTGGAGAAGACTTCTGCGCCTCGGGGATTAGCTGCCGGGGCGCAGGATCATGGCGAGGCGGTGGGGAGGGGGCTCGGGGGGGGGAGGAGGAGGAGGAGGCGGCGGCGGCGGCAGGCGAAGGCGAGAGAAAATCGGTCCTGCAGGGAGGGCCTCCGGGCGCCCCGCCCGCGCCGGGGGCGCTCACAGAGGGGCCGCCCCGCCGCGGCCGCCCATGCCGCCCGCCCGCCCGCTCACGCAGGGCTGCCCCGCTGCCCCCCGGGCGGCCGCCGCGGCGCCGAAATGCCGAGGATGCGGCGCGGCGCCATCTTCCCTCGCCCTCGTTTTCCCGCGAATTATTTGCGCCGTGCTTATGCAATTAGCGCGGCCGGCGCCCCCGCCCCCGCCGGCCCCGCCCCCGGGCTGCATCCTGCTCGGAGCTGGGCGGCGGCGGCCGAGCCCGCGCCTGCCCGCGGGCGCCCCCCCGCTGCCCCCCTCGCCCTGCCCCCGCGGCCCTGCGGCTAAGTGCCCCCGCGCCCGGAATCGGAACTCTCTTCCGCCTGCGACCCCCAGCGCCCCCCACACGCACGCACAGCAGCCCCGAGCCGAGGGAAGCTTCCTGGGGGGAGCAGAGCGCGCCCGAGCCTCCATGTTCAGGGGCAGTGTAGCCCCAAGGCTAGCTTCCTGCGGGACACGCAGCCGGGCACGGGAGGACGGCTTCTTTCCAGCCCCGCTTGCTTCCCAGTCGCTTTGGTCCTGCCAAAATGCGGCCGGCCGGCGCGTGTGGTTCTCATTTGGTTCTCCCGCAGCATCTTGGTCCTTGGCGGAGGACAGTCCAGGGCAAACGTTCCAGGTAAAAGAAGCATAAAGTGAGGTCTTCCAGGAGGCACTGCATCTCCATGCAGAGCAGGGTGGTACCTGTTCACCGTCTGATTGGGGAGCAGCTGCGACTGGCTGCTATTCAGCAGCAACAAAACAGCACTCTGCCCATGCTCAGGGGTACCTACTCTTGCTGTCACAGTCCCCTCGCCCTGATCTAGAAATGACTGAGCAGCCAGGGAGTCCCAGCCCAAACTGAGAAAACGTGAATCCTCAGAAGCTGCCCCGTGCAGCATGGGACTCACTGGCCAGGCAAGCAAGCCAAGGAATGGCTCAGGGCCCTAAGGGAGACCACCATCTCGGCCTCAGAGTCCCGCACGGTCAAGCAACTGTCAAAAACCCACAGGCCCTGAACCTGCCCCAACTGCTCCATCCTCCCAAGACTGCTCCAACCCCCAAGCTTGCAGGCCACGCAGCACAGAAATTAAGAGATAACGTTTAAAAATATGTGTTATGTTTCGTGTAACGGAGCCCATCGGATGCCCCCATTGGGATGCGGGCACAGGGCGAAGGGGCAGTTGGGTGGCCTTCCCACGGCCCCAGTACCCTCTCGCTTCCCCAGCAACGCCTGATGGTTCAGATGGCCGGTACTGGAAAAGTGGGGCGAGAGGGTGCGTTTGGGCTTTCCCTGCAGGGTGGGCCAGGCCAGAGGGTGGTAGAGGAGGAGATGCACCGGAGACATTGCAGCCTCCGCCTCATCACAGGAGCCCAGAGGATAGGATGGTTGCAACAGGCACCTGGTGATGGGCCTCCAACTTCCCCTTTAATGTGGCTTGGCTCATTTTCTGGAGCAACAAGGTCATGCTTTCCTTCACAATTTGGATCATGGAAGCCAATCTGTTGGAAGCTGATCTTTGCCACACTTCGGTTGCTTCTCTCTGAGCTCCTCTCCCCACCACTGCCTCATCCCAGCTTTGCTTTTTCTCTCCCCGTAGAAAACTCAGACAGGGCCCTGTTTCTTCCAGCTTCTGGCTGGAAGTACCATGTTTAAAATTCATGCTTCTTTAAACTTATGCTCTGCCGCTTTCTGGGAATTGCTTCTTTGAGAGAGGTTGTTGCCGGCATAATTTTTTTATTGCAAGAAGCCTTCATGGATGGATGTTATCCATTCTTTTAAACGATCTACCTGTTTCGTGGACATTAACAAATGGTCAGTGGAAAGATTCTCTACACACTTTGGACAGTTAAACAACTGATATTGCAACTTTGGAAGGATAAACATTCACCTCTGATAAAAAAATTGATCGAGGACCATGTGACCATTTTCAGTATATGAACTGGTGGCATATGGACCACCCCTTCAAAGGGATGCTTTGGGTATCTGATTCATTTTTGTTCCAGCCTATCTACAATGCTTAGAAAGGTGTGTGTCTTTCATGGATTTTCATTGCCATGGGTTTAGACAAATCTGTGCACACCTATTAAAAGGGGGGGGGAGGGTTATTTAAAAAAAAAATTAAAATGTTTCACTGGTGCCCCAGTGAATAGGCTTGATCAAATAAATGGTCATCATTTTACTCCAAAAACTTAGAAAATTTAGAAGGAATTCCAGAGTGGAAGGTCTGTAATGGGCAAGCTGAATATCGAAGGCAATGCCTTCAAGAAACCATCTTTACTAAATCTTGATATCCTGCAGAAGGGAGAAAGTGCTCCATCCATGTGCAATTACCCACTTACAGCTCAATTTTTACTCCGAAGCAGGAGTAAAAGCAGCAGCGTTCAGTGCTGTTTACTCCCGACATACACAAATTTCTTACGCAGTGGAGATGGGCCTAAGTCACCTTCCAGGCTCTTTTGAGAACTGAAAGTTAAGGTAGGAATCATATTATAGAGAAATCAGGTAACACTGGACACAGGGACTTCCTTCAGAGGAAACATGAACAGAATTAGATTAACGCTCTTTAAAGCGCTGCTGGACAGCTTGCCAATTTTGCTGCTGCAAGTTAAGATAGTGCAAAATTTGCGATATTCGTTAGAAATATCATTGATACGGCGCCAACATAATTAAAAATTCATGCAAAGATAATTGTACATCATACAATCATAGTGCCATTCTGGCTAATGGGCCGTGCAGAAATTTAATTAATAAATAATAAAGAAATCATAGGATAGTAGAGTTAGACGGGGCCAGAGGGCCATGAGGTCCAGCCTCCAGCTCAGTGAGGGACTTTAAGTTAAACCATCCCTCTCAGGGGGCTGCCCCTCATGGATGTTATATTATCTTTGATAAGCATATTAGCATAGATGATTGTATATATTTTGTATCTATTTTGTGTAGCGTGCATAACTCTAACCCTGAGTCCAACTTGTGGCAGTCCTATGGATAATGCCCTCCAAAATTCCTTGTCTTTGACGGGACTGCACTTCTGGGCTGGAGATGAAAGATTTGGGACTCCTATCTCATCACACCCTTAATTGTCCACTCTGAGTTATGGCGATTCTGCCAAGCTGCTCACCTCTGGCTGTTTGATTCATTTGTGCTTGGAGAGGTCAAGGACGGAGCTACCGTTCCTGCCCAAAACAAACTCGCACAGACACAGAAGCTAAGCTGATGTTAAATATCTGGGGGAAATAGCCTTTCTGTGGCAAGAATTGGTTTGTCCCGTCCCAACCTGTTGACTGAAAATATTACAATCATTGAAAATATTACAGTCATTGAAAATATTGCAATCTTACGCACAGATCAAGTTGGATGACCATCCGGTTGTGAATTCTTCAGAGGGGTGACCCTGATGCATTCAGAGAGCCAGAATGGACCTTCTCAGCCCTTTTTTAGCAGCACCAAGAAAAACAGCATACTTATTTTTTAAAAGTGACCCCTAAGTTGGGAGCTCCCTTTGGGAGGTTGGAAAAGAAATACAATGTCAGCAACGCCAAGAGAATCTCTGCTCCCCATTTTTGCGCAGTTTTTAAATTGTTTGCAGTACCTTCATGGGTTCTAGGGCTGGCTTCCCTCTTTTTGACCAAGCCCCTCCTGAAAGACCTTTGCCTCTATGATGTTAGACTACGCTTCTCAAAAGCACCTGTGGGATTTGTTGAATGGGGCCTTGCAAATTTCCAGCTTGCAAGATCTGTTTTCCTGCTGCACTGGACTAGAAACCAGATCCACAATCTGGTGATCGCACTTAGAATTAAAGAGTTCCAAGCCAAGCAATTTAGTTTTTCATACCTGACTTAACCGGTGCTCACAGCTGTTTGCACAGAAAAATCCTTGCCTGGTTTCTCGAAGCTGCTTCATTTCAGCAGTACATTTTAGCATGGAGGCAGACAATCTGATGCTCTGGACGACAGCTCCCATAATCCTTGAGCTTGGCCACACACTGCCTTGGGTTTCCAGAAGCTGTGGTCCCAAGCTTTAGAGGGAACTGGATTTAGGACAAGAAGGGGCCCTCTTGTCATCAAATTAAGAACCAAGGTAGTAGAGTGGATAAGAGTCTGGGGACATGGAAAATCTGGGTTCCCCCCTCCTCAAATTTTGTTATGACTCACTGCTTGACTCTGGACCAGTCTTGTACTCTCAGCCTAACCGACCTCACAGGGTTGTTGTTGTGAGGATAAAGGGGGACTGCACAAGCTAATCGGGGTACCTTACAAGAGGAAAAACAGCAAGATAAAGATGCAAGGTAAGAATAGCCATGGCACTGTGAAATCAGCAGAAGTCAAAAATCCTTGTTCATCTACTACAACTTACCTAGAGAGCTACCAGTAAAACCAGGGCTACATTTGGTCCCCCAATCCCCTCACAGAGCTGCACCCTCTTCTCCCCCCAAGATCCAACCCAAAAGGCCGATCCAGTAATGGGGCACTGGCTTTCCACAGAATTCCTGCTTTTGCTGGCCAAAGGCATGCTTGATAAAGGCTTATAAATCAGCACAGAAGGCCTGAAACCCAGTGACTCACAAGGATGCAAATGTGAGTCACAGCATGGCCAGGTTTATAAATAAACTGTCTCCGACTCATTCCTCAGTGCATATCCTTCCCCCACTTCCCTTTTCGCCTTCTTGTGGTGTCTGGCTCAGTCCAACGCAGGACAAGCTGCAGCTTGGTGCTCAAAAATCTGAAGATCCTTCGGGAACAAAACAGCAGGAAGCTGACTTACTTAAAAAGCCAACGCAGGTGAAAATGGACCTGGGAGGACGAGATTCTAGTCCCCACTCAGCCATGACTTTGGGCCAATCCCTGCCTCTCCGCCTAACCTACCTCACAGGGTTGTTGTTGTGGGGATGAAATGGAGAGGAGGACTAGGTTAGGATGCCTTGGGTTTCTTGCAAGAGGATATAAATAAGTACAACGGTCGTTTCACTGGGCTTTTCCCTGCGTTGATGGCATCCAAGAACTGGCATGACCGACAGGGTGTCCATGTGTACTGCATTACAAAGGGCAGTCCTCTGTTGGAAGGCTCATAGGAGAGCACTCAGCAGCAGTCCTCCCCTTGAAGGACTGTCTCGTTCAAGTCTGATTTAAAGAGGATAAATTCCAAGGAGGGGAAATAAGCAGGGCTCTTGGAATCTCTCGTTTGGAGTCAGCGGCTGCTGGAAGGCAGGCTGAATAGCAGACGTGCAGCTCAGCAATCCGGTGTCTCTGTTTTGGTGTGAAGTGTCGAGTGAATGAGGCAAGGTTAGTCTTAGAGTCCACTTAGGAGAAAATCAGGCAGGTGGACACCTAGGGCAGAGCCTTCTCGGTGGTGGCATCATGTGTACAGAATTCGTTGCCTGCCTGCATCAGGCCTCATTGTGCACTGGGGCATTCATGCCCTCTGCTTCTTCTCCGACACAGCCTTTGCCATCTGCAGGGTTCATTTGTTGTTGTTGTTGTTGTTGTTGTTATTGTTATAACATTTCTATGCCGCCCCTTGCCGGAGCCTCATTCAAATTCAAACAAATTTGTTGTTTGTTGTTTAGTCACAAAGTCGTGCCCGACCCCACGGACAACGTTCCTCCCAGCTCTCCTGTCCTCCGCCATCCCTTGGAGTCCACCCAAGTCCATACTCACTGCCCCGGTGACCTCGTCCAGCCGCCTCATCCTCTGCCATCCCCTTCTCCTTTTGCAATCAATCATTCCCAGCATCACAGCATCCATAAGTACTTGCATTTGAAAAACAGGCAAATCATTTAAAACTTGCTGCTCAAAGAACTCAGGGGTAGCAACAGATGTTTTACATTGATAAAAAAGCTATTTATTATTATTATTATATAACTTTTACATCCCACCTTTTTCCCTCTTGAGAGAAACCCAAGGAGACCTACATGCCCCTTCTTTTCATTTTATCCACAACACCCCAGTGAGGTAGGTTAAGCCAGGAGTCCATGACTGGTCCAAAGTCACCCAGTGGGTTTCACGGCTGAGTAGGGTCTGAAACCCAGATCTCCCGTGTCCCGTCCAGTTGTCTAACCACTATGCCATGCTGCCTAAGCACCTCAGTTTTCTACACAAGCAGCTGCAGGCTCCGCGGTTCTAGGTGAAGACCTCAAAAGAGGTGGGAGAGAAAACAGGACCCCTTCCATTCTGCTTGCTCCTGGAAAGGCTGGAAGCAGGGCTCCCATCTGCCCTTCACCCAAGCATTGGCCAGGGCAGCCCCACTCACACATGTAGCCCAGGCTTGTAGCCCAACGTGGGAATGTGGCTCAGGAAAAACTCTGAAAGCCTGGGAAATTGCTGGTGGCCTGTATGTCAATAAGACTGACCTAGACACATCAGTGCCCCACCCTGGTATAAGCCCACTTCCAATATCCCTATTTAATCCAGACTTTGATGCAAGACACTGAGGACTAGAATCTTGCTTGGTTTTAGAGGAAGGGAATTTGGCTCAGGAATAGCGCACGGGCTTTGCACAGAGAAGGTCCCAGTTTCAGTTTGCAACATCTCTGCTTAAAGCCCTGTAGGGCTGTTGCCAGTCAGTGCAGAGTTTCCTGAGTTCTAATTAATTAATTCCATGTCTTTGCCAACCAATAACTGAAAATCTCTGGGTAGTGTCCAGCAGTAAAGATAAGCCAAGGGCTTGAGTATAAGACAGTTTGGTATGATGCATTTCCCCTCCCTCCCCTCCAAGAACTCCATTTGATCCTCACAACAACCCTGCAAAGCAGGCCAGGCTGGAGGGTTGCTATTGGCCCCGTGTCCCCCAAGGACCTCTGTGCCTAAGCAAGGATTCGGAGCAACACCTTGCTCCCTACGGCCTGGGAATCGCGCCACCACACCCCGATGGCCCTCACCTACTGGGGAGTTAGGGTTTGGGGCCTGCCCACATCAGTGCAGCTGGGCCCTGGGCAGGATGGTTTTGCTGGGCACTCCTCGCTCGCACTGAAATCTTGCAGAACACTCTACTCACAGGGAGGCCGTTCCGCTCACAGGTGCCTTGGCCTGTGCCCCAAGGTCCTGCCCCATTTTCCCAGATGCCCAGCCAGCAATCCCCCAGGCAGTAGGCACAGAGGCCCTCCTGCAACCCCTCTTCCAGGGAGCACTTTGGCCTGCCAAGCCCCACCTTCTGAATTTACACCCCCCCCACCACACACACACACACACACACACACACACACCATTTCAATGCCCCAGCTCTGCCCCCAGCAAAATCAGGCCAAGCCGCACAGCCTTCCCCATGCAAAGCAGCGTGCTTGTGCAAGCGGGGCTCTGCCCGACACACACCTCGGTCCCACTAAAATAAGAAATGAAAGCGGGTGCTGGGAATGAACCGCCCTGCAATGCCTTCCAGATGTGCCCTGCAGAAGCCCTGCGGAGTCTGTCCTCTGCCCATCGTTGCAGTCTGGGGAAAACGGCTTCTTTTGGAGGTCAGAGAAATACGAGGCATCACAGGTCACACCCCCAAATGATGGTCCATATTAGCTCCAGGGTCAGCAAGTACACGGCAAAAGCCGCAGCCAAGCAGGCCTGAGTTTAAAGGAGAGAGCGAGGGTGTTGCTTTTCCTTAACGTAAATCCAATCCATCCCCAGTTAATGTCATTGCACAGAAATGTGCTTTGGGTGGTTTTCTGCACTCTTGCCCGACTCAGATTCGAGGCAAACTGTCCAGCTTTCACCGTGATCGAAAATATGACAGTGTGGATAATCTTGGCCTTGGTCAAGATTTGATTAGCTTTTCTAATGCCTTCCTTCCAAGTCTCAAATCTTTTTTGAATGCCTTGGCTGCAGCCTGCCTTTGAATTGATGACTGTGCCAAGTTATGCAAAATCTTTTGCAATTTAAGGCCGTTTATATACTAAGACACATCAAATAGGATCAAACAAGAGTCCTTATCAACACAGGGGGCAAACCTGTTTCTACACTCAGTAGTTACGTACAGTAAATAATGAAAGACAGAGGAAAACAACGTAACAAGATGCAAATGCCAAATACTTTCAGTTTCCCAGAAGAATCTATTGCGGGCAAAACTGTTCTGTAGCAAACAAGTTTCAATGATAGTCTTTAATGATACATCTAAGTAGCCATTTCAGCACAAATCCAGAAGACAGGGGCTGATTTAGATCAGAACACATGCTCTTAAAAATAAGATTATTTTTGACATTTATGCTACCCTTTTAATTTAGAAAAACGTTTAGTGAACCTTGCCCTAAAAATAAATGGAAAGTCTCTTCTATCCAATCACGAAGGGCCTGAATAAAAATTCTTCTCACTACTGTGTATGAGCCACAATTACACATTTATTTCACACCAAGCCTATCCCGCCCACCCCAAAGTCTTATGGAAGTGCCTCCATTTCTAAAACTCACCATAAAAGTATATAACCATTTTCAAAGATGGTTATATCTTAATCCTAAGGTCCTTAAAATGGATTGATGCTTTAACCATACGATATTTTGATGTTGTAAGCCACTTTGAGACATAGCACTGGCAATAGGCAGAATATAAATTAATGTTAATAATTGTTATAATAACCACAATCTGAACAAGTACAAGCCTCACAAAAATCAGTACACCTGGAATATCTGTACTACTGGACCAATGGATTAAAGGGGTGGCGGCTACGGAGGGGGGGCTATTGCTTACATAAATCAATATCTCCTTAAAAGCACAATTTTATTTACTTATTTATTAGATTTGCATCCTACCTTTTTCTTCTTTAAATACTTCATTCTCCTGCTGCCGCCTTCAGTCTTATCCCCACCACAACACCCCTGTGAGGTAGGCTGATCCAAGAGTCTGCCACTGGCCCAAGTCACCCAGTGGGCTCCATGGCTGAGCAGGGACTTGAACCCAGATCACCTGAGTCCCAATCCCACGCTCTTAACCACCACACCACACTGGCTCTATAATTACCACGTGGGTAACAGTACTGAGTGGAGTATAATCCCACCTAAACTGGGTTTTATACCCAATACAGCAAAGCAAGTACTTTGCCTGGCAATTCCATATATTGCAATCCTAAAATTACAGAACTAAAAGCAAGCAGCAGCAGTGGCAGCTTAGCTTCCACATCTGCAAAATACAGAAGATGGCAGAAGACCCCGTCTGTAAAAACAGAAGAAAACATGGATTTGATGACTGCGACCCAATCAGAATGGTCAAGCCACTGGTATTCTTGAATCCAGTACACACCCACTTCCTTGCCTGATTACGGCATTCCTTCCCGGGGCTCTATCAGTTTTCCCTGCCCCAGAACCAAAAGCTCCTGGCATGGCATGGAGACTCCCGGAAATCCCCGCTCACAGGGCCCTGACTCTACCAGCTCTTCTTGAGCTCTTACGGTGATCCCTGCCGGATGCAGCCAAGGGGCCATCTAGTCCAGCACTCCATTTGCTCAGTGGCCACCCAGCTGCTTGTGGGAAGCCCACAAACAGAACTTGGCAGCACATTAGGTCCCCTTTTCTGTTTCCCAACAACAGGGACACTGAGGCATGCTACGTCTTGAGTCCCATGCAGCCATCAGGACTCGGAGCCATTGATAGATTGCCGCCTTCTCCATGGACTTGCCCGACCCAGTTTTAAAGCTTTCCAAACTGGGGGCCCATCGTGGCTTCTCCCGGGAGCAAACTGCAGCGTGAAGCAGGCACTGTGGAAAGAGGAGCTTCCTTCCTTCTAGTATTAGGAGGGAGAGAGAGAAATGATTTCCTTTCCACTGCTTCCACACCAGACATCATTCTGGATGCCCCCATCCTGCCTCCCTCTACTTGTCTTCTTTCTATTCCTAAAAACGAACCCATGGCCACTTAGAAGGCCCAAGGAAATGGGTTCTAAGAGCAAAATCCTGCAGGTGGCAAATGCCAGATGAGGAATTCCCACTATTGTCCCTCATGCTAGGCCCCCAAAAGCTGTGCAGGCTGGCTCGGGGTTGACATTCTGTGTCCTCCTCTAAATGTGCATCCAAAATTGGCGTGGGGTTCCCTGGCCCACAACTTGACACTCCCAGTATGCACAAAAATATACATGCATAGAAAGAAAATATTCACAGTTCGCTGAGCCAGTCTTGGCTTCCCTTTCTTTTCCTCTGCAGTGAAGCAAAACATCACAATGGCACGAACACAACACACACGCTGGCTTGGAGGGGGAGGCTGGAGGCAGGAGCTGAGCGGCACCCCCATCTTTTGCTCTGCAGCCCGGCAAGCCCTGTTCCCCGCTGCAGCTGCACCCTGCTCAGACGAGTTGTAGCTGCAATGAGCCACTTTGTCCTTCCACCGCCGCAAATCAGCCCGCCAGCTCGTGAGAGGCTTTCGCTGCACAGGCCCCCGTTGCAAACCCCCTGTGAAAGGAGGGCTCATGAGCTGTCTTCTATGATGCACTTGAGGAAAAGAGCACCCTCTCTGATATATGCATATGTAGGCGACTGCAGTTTGGTCAAAGAAACAAACCACGGGAAGCCACAAGCTTCGTTCGTCTCGGTCGTGGGCCTCTGAAAAGCCTTGGATGTTGCCTCCGGGTGGATGGTGTTGAGGAGGTGCTCTCTGGGATTCTGGCTGAGCAACATCAAGGTGATCTGGGAGGAGCGGGGGGGGGGGGGGGGGGAGGATAATGGGAGAGGGGGGGGGGGAACAGGCTAGCTTTTGGGGGGAAATGAACTTGATCCAAGCTGCAAAACAAAACCCAACCCAAACACCCAAACACCCTCCTCCTCTGTGTGCATGTTTTGGTTTTCACTTATCTTTAATAAGCACATGCGCTGCCCATTTATCAAGCCAAAGGAGCATTTCCCACATCTCAAGGTCAGCAGATGGGAAAACAAGAGATGAGTAGGCTCTTCAGTGTGACGACAGAATCAGACCCGTTTTGAATACATTCCCACAAGGGAGCTGGGGGGGGGGCACGGGGGACGTAGGGGCAGGTGGAGAAAAATCCCCTCTCCTTTTGGAATGGATCATCCAAGAAGCAAACTGTCAAGGCAGAGAATCTTACTGGCCTTCCACCGGGCTGGAGCTCTCAAAAATCAGGAAGAAGGCATTTGCCGGCCCTGGACCATGAGGCTACCTTGAGAAATGGTTGGAACTGAACATGGGACACAAACTTTGGGCTTGCGTTTGCCCAAGGGGACACTGCAGTACTGGCTCTTCAGCCCTGGACGTGTCCTTTCCAACCCCGTGAAAGCGGTCCAAAATTCAGCCCCGCGGCACCAAAGGGAGCACAAAACGTTGGCCATGGGGGGACACAAAAGGATGTGGTCCATCCTCCAAGGTGCCACTCTTCTAGATCCCAGCTACTGGTGCTGTGAAGGCAGGAATCTGGGAGTGGGGGAGAAGTCCGTGGTTCCACAGAGCAGGCAGCACGAGGGGGGGGACCAATGCAACAAGCCTGTCTCGTTATGTTCCGAAGTAAATGGAAGAATAAGCATCTCCATCTATTCGTAATAACAAGGACCCCCCCCCACACACACACACACACAAGGGCCATCCGTCCAGGGCCAGACATGGCCCACAACACCACTCAACTCGGGAGGGGTCTTTCCCAACCTGGTGACTTGGCTTTGAACTGCAGGCTTCTCCACGTGGCTCGCAAGAGCTCAACCGGGGGGCTATGGACCCAGTCCCAAAGCTGTGCTCCTGCACTGGATGAGGCCAGCACCCACCTGCCCTACCAGTTCAGTTCTCCAAGGTCACAGGCTATGACCTTTTTCGGTTCCTTTTTCTAAATACTGCAGGGATTAAAGAGGTTGTCCTACTGGAGAACGCATGTTCATTTGGCTGCACCAGGGGTCGGCAACCTTTAACCCTCAAAGAGCCATTTGGACCTGTTTCCCGCACAAAAGAAAACACCAGGAGCCACAAACCCCTTTTGACATCTAAAATGAAGATAACACGGCATATATCGTTTTTTACCTTTATGCTATGTATATCTTCATTATGATTTAGCTGCAGCTCTTGTTCAGTCACTAAAAAGTTATTTTTAATCGTACATTATAACCTAGTAGGACTCCTTTCATATATTTTGAATAGGAGAACAGCTTCCTGAAGAGTCAAAGTCAGTGCTAAAGGGCTGCATGCATTAAACAGCAAACCCCATAAGTTCGTCAGCAGTAACAGCAAATGAATCTACCCATGTATCATTAAACAGTTTGGTTTTCTTCAGAAACTATTCTTTTCTTCGATTTATCCATGGTTGGCCTGGGGGGGCAGGGGGAGCTCAGTGCGGGTCCCAGATCAGCCATATAGGTGTGTTTAGTGACTGATTAGCAGCTAAACAGTCAAGTGCTGTGAATTGTGACAGGTCCCAAGCTCAGCTTTTAACATTCAGATGAAGGAGATGACATTGGGACAAAGAGAATCTTTTCAGCAGCTTTGTTTCTTTGTTGGTGTAACATGAGAGCCTGCAGGAAGCTTGTTTAGCAGAGGAATGTAGTGATTTAACTAACTAGCTGATCGACTTAACTAGCTAGCCCTTGGCACAGATCAGTGGCTGTGCCGGTGGTGCGTGGGTGTTTTGAGCGACGGAGCCGCGGCAGGGGGATTCAAGAGCCACGTGCGGCTCCGGAGCCGCGGGTTGCCGACCCCTGGGCTACACCATGCCTGGCGATCATGGGCAGGAACACTCTTGTCCTGCACCCAAGCTGTAAGGGTGGGCAAGGAGATGCTGCAAATAGGATTGGGGAGAGAGGCGTGCTGCCCTCCCCGGTTACCTTGTGTGGGAAGGGCCACTGCAGCAGCGCGTCGTAGCCTCCCCTGAGGAGGGCAATGAAGAGCGAGACGTGTGTCCCCGTGGCTCTCCCCTCTCCGTTCAGGAAGATCTTCATGCAGAGTTTGTAACCGTATCGGGAAGTGTAGAAGGCTGAAAATGAGGAGGACCGGGAGGTGAGCGGTTAGCTAGAATTCAGACATTTCCTGTAGGTCTGGATGGAAAGGGAGGGATGGATGGATGGATGTTACTGTGCCGTGATTTGAAAATGTCATCTCCAGGAAGTGGTTCAGGAACCAGGGAGTCCATCCATTCCCCATCCATAACAGGTTGCATCCACTCACCTGGGAATGAGCCCCACTGAACGCAGTGGGACTTCCTTCCAAGCAGACCTGGACTGGATTGCACCGAGAATCGGTTTAATGAATATATTAGAATATTTTGATATGACAGCCTCAGTGTCCAATTTTAAATCTTGCTTATAATGTGTGCAAAAGCCACGAATCGCAAATGCAGTCTATTAAAAAGGTGGCATAGCTGCAAGAGGGCCACACATGGGAGGGTCAGCACGGGCTTGGGGTTTTCAAGCAATTGGGCACGCCAAGGCGAGTGACTCAGGATGCAAAGTTAATGAGGAGCGCTGGGTATCAACTGGTCCCCGTTGGGCTTCCCCGGCATCGGGGTTGGGGACAGCAACAAGGCACATCCTTCTTTTTGGGCTAAAGCACAGAGACCGCTGCTCTTGCCTCGACGGATTTTATTCCAGTATGGGGGCCTTCGAGTTCACTGTCAGGAGAACGGCGGAAGCCAAGCGAGGTTGGTCTCTCTTACCTGGAGAGTGGAAGCTGCACACCTTCCCACACGCGGCTTCGTAGAATTTCTGGTGCACCTCCGTGATCTTCCACAGAAAGGTGCCGTCGTAGGATGCGTGCTCGGTCGAGCGCAGTTGCTCCTCGAGTCTGACCAGGGCTGCATCCTTCTGCGCGAGGCATCGCTGGAGATCGGCGATCTTGGGGACAGGAAGTGTTGCAGGGGTGTTGATAGAGGCTGTGGGGCAGGAGAGGCTAAGGAGGGATCTACAGGCGAAGGCCTGCTTGTGTTCTCCCCAGGACCCAGGAAGAACAGCTCAGGCCCTGCAGCTTGCTTGGCAGAAGGCCATCCTCGGGTGCCCATGCATTTCAGATGAGACAGTAATTGTGGGGACAGAAATGGCAGGTGGGGCGGAACAGGGCTCCCTCTGGGCAAACCCAACCAGGGCGCTGTGTGATTGTTTGCTGGGCCAGCCATGCAACGGGCTCCATTCAGAGTGGTTTGTTGAACTTTCAGTGCCCTTCCTGGCTCAGGACTTGGGGACGTGTGGGCCTGCCTGTCTCTTATTCTGCAGAGAGCTTCCTATCACCTGAGGTCCGGCAGGGTCTCCTCAGTGGCGGCACCCAAACGGCGAGGTCAAACCCATGTGAGCACGGTGATTGGCGTGCTGGACTGGGATCCGGGAAATCTGGGTTCCAGCCCCAGCTCGGCCCTGAAGCTCAGTGGGTGACTTTGGGCCTGCTCAGCCGAAGCTACCTCACAGGGTTGTTGCGGGGATAAATTAAAAGGAAGAAGGCCAAATAAGCCACCCCGATTTCCTTGAAAAAAAGACCAGGGTACAAATGCCATGGAAGAGTAAGCTAGCCTCCAGCATTCAATTCCCCTGTTCCACCACTGCCCTTGAACCCACGACCCCCGTGGCCCTTTACCTTCAGCTCCAAGGCACAGATCATATCCTGGTCAACTCCCCTGTGGTCCTGGATTCTCTGGCAAGAGGTGGCCAACTCCTTGCTCAGCACGGACGCAATGCCTTCGCACACCTCCAGCTTGCTCTGCAGCAAGCAGACCCGGGTCGTTCTCCCGGAGAGGGAGTTTCCGCGGGCTGCCTCTCCACCCCCGGGCTGCCCAGAGAAGCTGTCCATTTCCAGGGCTCCCTGGAAGAGCCCCGTCGACACCTCGGAGTCGGCGAAACGGGCGCAGGCACCGCTGCTCGCCCTCAGCTGGTGCTGAAGTAAGAGCAGTAGGTGCATTCTGGCCGCGTTCCTCTCGTGCTCTTTTCTGTCTTCCGCATTCCCCTGTTGGGAAGAGACAAGACCCCACAGATATGGGAAGCCAGGACCCAGGGATGGCCCAAGAACACCCGCACTAAGGACTGCCCTGCAACTGCAGCCTCTGCACCAGCCAGCCGGGCCGATTTCCCACAGCACTGTGGCCTGACACTTCAACAGGCACTCTGGGGTGTTGTGGGAAATCACAAGGACGGCCCCCAGCTCTGCTTGGAGGGGCACCACCACCTCTGCTGCTGAAGGAGGAGAACAGAGTGCTGTGGATATGCCCACCCCAGAGTGACCGCATCATTCTGTGGGGATGTTACTAGGCATTGTTATTCCGTTGCATTCTTATTAGATTTGTATCCCACTTTTTTTTTACGAACTCAAAGCGGCCTACACCATTCTCCTCCTGCCGCTCACAGTTTTATCCCCACAACAACAACCCTGTGAGGTAGGTTGGGCTGAGAGTCTGACTGGCCCAAAGCCAACTGCTTACTCCATGGCTGCATGGGGACTAGAACCCGGGTGGCCTGAGTGCCCTTCCCAAGCCCTTAACCAGCACACCACACTTTATATCCCTTGCAAGGAACCTGAGGGATTGATCTCTTTAATGTACCCAGCTGGCCCCTAAGAGCGTCCAAGGGGTCAAGTTGGCTTACTGCACCCAAGTCAAGGTTGCCAATAACATCTCCTTCTGTCCCCTGCCCACTGGAACATTCACCCCTGTGATTTGGGAGGCATAAAATACGATGCCTTTAAAATTAGCCGAGAATCTATTCGTTTCCTGGTTTAGCAGGGGTTAATATTGTTGTGAACAGCCCCAAGGACGGCTGTGGGGCAGTATACAAATGGACTTTGCCGTCATCATTATCATTAATTATTATTATTCCTTAAGTAGAAGGTTTCTTTGGAGTTAGCACATGTTGAGAGTTGCAGTGTTTTAGTGTTAAATCATGTATGTACTTTGAACTGTGATTTTTAATGCTAGGGTGTAATTTTACCCTGGGAAGCAGTATACAGCAATTGCTAGACAAACAAACAAACAAACAAACAAACAAACAGATAGTATTATATATACCTCCACAAAATTCACCCTGCCTTCCCCTAAAAGTTTTATAGCGGGTTCAGACAGCGACGTTACCTTGAACCGGCATCCAATCACAGAAAATTGGCACCCTCCTTCACTGGAACTCATGGAAAGATTCTGTTCAGGAGAAGATTGGCAAAAGGGTTTTAAAAATACAGATGTTAACATATTATGTTATTCAATGAGTTTGAGCTGTCCCCTTTTAGCAAGGCAGATATCCCTCTTCCCCAGTGCTAGTACCTCATAGATTCTTACCTAGTCCTACTTTGACTTTGGGGGAGATTGTTTTAATTTTTTTAATTGCTAATTTTTTTTTAAAGAAACCTTTAAAACCCACATGCAAGTGTTCATGCATTACCTTCCTTTAGCTTCCTAAAGTTAAGATCTCCAGTCCTCCGCCTGAATAGCAAATACCACAATATATTTGAATTGTGATGGTTGTAGAATTGGAGTACAAGCTTTAGACTGCACTCTATGGCCTCCCAGGATTGCCTGGGAGATTGTCGGATTTTTTGGAGTTGTGTGCCCTAGTTTTTGGGGGACACAAAAGGAAGGGGCTGCCACACTCTTGTCCTGCTTGTGGACTTCCCATGGATATTAGTTGACCCTTCGCAAACAGTTAGGCCCTGGGTCTGATCCTGCAGGCCTCCTCCTTTTTAATTTATTTTATTTTATTTTTTATTTATAAATCGCTCCCTTCAGGGCTCTCTGGGCGACATACAACCCAAAGTTCCAGCTTCTACAGCATTCCAAGTTGTGCAACTTTTGTTCATCCCTGTGTGCTTTCCAGAGCTTCTTTCTGAAAGATCCACAATGGATGAACTTTCGGTGGATTTTCAAAATTAAAATAAGTTGTTAGACATTGGTGGGCAGACGGTTACGCGCTACCTTAAAAAAAAGAGAACTGGGTTTGCTCCAGTGGCTCTTATAACATCCTGACAAAAACACAGAACTTTAGAAAGTGAAGCTTTTATTGGCATGGAGAGACCTGCTAAATGATTCTGTGTCAGGCGGCAGTTAAAAGCTCAGGCACACAGCCAGCAGGAAGGCTCACATGCCAGCCTAGGCTGCCACACACACACACACACACACGTGTATGTACGTATGAGGCATTTGCTGTTAATTTTCCATTATTCCATGACCTCTGCAATCACAGACAAGTTGGCCAGGCTGCAGATGCGTTGCCTAGTGCCCAGCAACCGGGCACTGGGTGCCTGGGTCCACCCCATGAGGGTGTTGTGTGATAAAACACTGCAGAACCGAAGCAAAGGCATTCGTGGCCATGGCAGCCTTGTGGAAGGACTCTGCAAAGCTGCAAGCCTGCACGGACAAACAGATCGATGACCGGGCTCCTCAGGGCTGGCAGACTTGGGTGGATACAGGGCAAAGATCGGCTGTGCCTCCTTCACGGTCTCTCTGACCTGTCTGCAGCTCCTTGTTGCTGAAAGATGCCTGGGTGCTTTTCATGTGGCCGTGTACTCAATCAACCAAACTGGACGTTTTTTTTTTATGAGGATTCCATTCATTTGCAAAGCCACTGTTGTGCACTGGAGCATTTTAGTAACTCCCCCCACCCAAAAAGCAGCAAAATAAAATCTGCAAGTCTACAGGATCTTTATGACTCAGAAACAATTGTACAGGCCACAGGGCAGAGGCACAGAAATCCAACTGCAATTGACGTTATGCGAATTCCCGCTTGTTGCCTAGGTGCTCCCAGACTTCTGCTTGTTGTAACACCCAAGTCCCCTCTTCATTTGCAGTGTTTGACGTGGTGCTTGTGTGCTCTTGAGTGTTAGCAAGATGCATCCCCGAAAGGATGCCAAGTGAAGAGTGCGTGCAGAAGCACAGGAGTACACTGGCAATGTGGAAGGGAGAAAAGAGGAGGAACCCAAAATCGGCGAGGAGGAGAAACTGTTATTCACCTGAACAGCATCTTTAGGGAACAAGAAGGAAACATTGCTCCTATAATGGGCTTGGACATTCAAAACATGGTGCTGGCAGAGAGCTTTGAGAATAATCTGGACCGGCGGAAAGACGAACCAGTGGGTCCTATGTAGATCCAAGCAAGCCAGAACTTGCCCTAGGAGCCAAAGGGACAACACGGAGGCTGTCTTACTTCGGGCACTTCCTGAGAGGCAAGACTCCCTGGAGAAGACAATCCTCTAGGGGAAATGGAAGGCAGGAGAGGAGGAAGACCAAAGAGGAGCATTGAATTTTCAAGCACTTAGCGGGCTTGTAAAAGGCAGGAAATTTTGGAGAGCATCCATAGATAGGGTCACCGTAAGTCCGAGATGACTTGACAGCCTGTAACAACCGCCACAAGGATGCTAATTAATTAATGTAAACATGCAAGAGGCAAAGGAACAAAGATGTCATACTTGCTGCTTGTTAACAAGGGCTTTCTGGTTCGAATTGGAGCATGGGGTGGAATTCAGGCAGCCGGTCTGCAAATGTTCCACAAGTGTTTTCCTCATCGCAACGTGCCCGCAGATGTGGCAAGGGATCAGAGCGTATTCGCATTCACTCTGGTGATCCTGGAAGTTAAATGGGATGAGTGGACACAATGCTATTAAGTCAGCCAAATAAAAAAGTCTACACCTGGAGGGAGCTTTGCAGGCCAGCTAGTCCGGCTTTCTCCATGAAATTCAGTGCTAGAGCACAGAGCCTATGTGGCCCTCCGAAAATGCAAAATCTCTCCAGAATTCTACAAACTATCATGCATCAAAGCCCATCCAGCAAAAACATGGCGTAGAACATGTTCTTCAATTAAACACACTACAAAGCTCAAATTAATAATTTGCAAAGTAGTTTAAACACATACCCAGCATCTGCATCTTTATTCTACTCGGAAATTCCCGTTTTTATCGGCATGTCTTCATGCAAGGAGGTGATCTTTATCCGTTCCCCCTCCAGCCAGAATTTCACTAGTGGTCACCCCGCCGGATCGTAACAGGGGCTCTGAGAGAGGGGGAAGCCTCCGTTGCCCAACTGGTGGTGCAGTAAGTCTCTAGCCACCCGGTTAGGTAGCCCGTGGCAAGCAAGCCTTCTCACTTACTTCCAAATTCTTCATAGCGCCTGTCCAGCTGCATCCAGGGACCCTGCAATGTACCGCGAGTTCCGAAATCTCCTTGTTTATGGCAGCGTTGCTAAAAACCTGGAAGTGAACACGGCAGTGACTGTGTTTGCCTGCCAAGTGTGCATGCCCCAGATTTCGCCATGTGCGCAAAAATCAGAGCATGAGCTCAAAAATGCACATGTTCAGTGTTAATGAGCCGTAATAATAATGCATGCAGAAAGGTGTCTCTGAGGCAAAACTGCATACAGAAATGCACGAATTAGGAGAAAGTGCACAAGAAGGCACTTTTCACTCCTTTCTCAACTCAGCTCTACTCAGCTGAGACATTTAATTGCACTTCCTGATTGCCAGGAGTGCTTAATTATATTGGTAACTGGAACTTCCAGTACAGGTATGTTATTGTGGCTGACTACCATTGGAAATTATGTTATAATAATAATAATAATATAATAAATAATAATAATAAAGGTAAAGGTTTCCCCATGACATTGAAGGCAAGTCATGCCTGACTCTAGGGGGCGCTGCTCCTCTCTGTTTCCTGGCCGAGGGAGCCAGCGCTTGTCCGCAGTCAGTCTCCGTGGTCATGTGGCCGGCGTGACTAAACACGGAGGGGCACGGAACGCTGTTACCTGCCCACCGAAGTGGCACCTTCTCATCTACTCGCCTTTGGATGCTTTCGAACTGCAAGGTTGGCAGGAACTGGGATGAAGCAATGGGAACTCACCCCGTTGTGCAGATTCGAACCGGCGACCTTTCGATCCACCAGCCCAGCAGCACAGCGGTTTAAACCACTGCGCCACCTGCAGTCCCTGTGATCCTATTACCCAGGAGTAAGCCTCACTGAAAGACTGGGGCTTATGTCTGAGTTGAAACACCTAGAATTGTACTGTGAATGCTGGACTGGTTGGATTTTCTTAGCTTGCAAGAGTGAAAAACAGCGTAACATTTAAGGGGGGGTCGGCATAGAAGAATCCACAAATAGACCTCTATCAAGACAGATGTTGGGTCAGGCAACTTTGCCACTCCTGAGCACACATGGGGGGACAGGTGGCCCTCCAGGTGCTGTAGAATTACAGCCCTCGGCAGCACCAGCCAGGTTGAAGCCCCACAACGTCTGGGGAGCCACCTGTGCCCCATTCCTCCCCAAATGCTTCAAGCCGGCAATTTTAAAAGCATTTCTTTAACTTATCGCACCTCTGTTCAAATAGCTGTCCTTTGCTTTATTCATTTCTTTTTAATTGGAAAGGTTTTAAAAACTTTTTGAGGTGACTCTGTGAGGTCACAGGTAACAGCTGATGGGGTCAGCTTTTGCTGAAAACCTGCAGAAACAGAATCCACCGAGAATTTGGCCCTGCACATCTATTGGTGTTTTGTTTTGAAACTTGTTCAGCTATTGTGCTGATTTATGAAGAGGAAATGACATTGGTCGTGGTGACTGAATGGAGCCTCCATCTTCAGGGGCAGTCTACATTTGATAACTACTTGCTGGGGAAATGACAAAGGAGGACAGTCTCCTGTGTGCTCTGTCTGAGCTTCCCAGAAGCATCTATGGGAGCGTGTGACCCTACAGATGTTGTCAGAATTCCACCGGCTATGTTGGCCAGAGTTGATGGGAATTGTAGTCCAGCAATATCTGGCAGGTTGCAAGTTGTCCTTTGGTCTGATCCAGCAAACTTTATTGCAAATTGTTCTTTGGCAGTTACTTTGCTTTTATTTCTCTCTCCTCAGTCCAGAATAACCTCAAAGGAACTGGACTTTGACAGACAACAAATTGCTTTATTCTTTGAAACATTAATGACTTCCAGTAAAGCAAAACTCATCTGCACCCCAAGGACACAAATGGATTGCTACCACACCTACGCAATCCATTTTAATACACAATGTGGGCTGTTTATGATGACCTTAACTGGGGACTGGGTGTTCTTAGATGTATGTAATTTTCAAGCTAAAAAGGCATTCAGTTCTAATATGTGTAAGAGCTTCTGGAAAGGTATGGAACTTGACTATTGCTTGGAAACAGAACAGAAAAGAAATGTTGAATCCACTCCATCAAAAAGCGGGGAACACACACACACACACACACAAGTCCAGCAAGTAAAAGTCAGGGGGTTCTAACCAGATCATGTGTGTTTGTGTTTCCCAAAGGTAAGTCTGTAACTTATAAAGGGAAGATGTTTTCCAATCTGTTTAGAACCTTGTTTATATTTTGAGAGGAAAATGACAGCAAATGCAGTGCTACATCCCATTTCTTAAGTGAGGTGGAAAACACACAAGTGTTTGCAGCTCTCACTAATTACCTCTGGGTAACGCGAGAGGCATGGTGCGGACTGGTTCCCTGTGGCCAAAGCTCCCCGTTCCTAGAGAACTAGGATGTCAAGAGCTCTTTGCAAACAACACATCTGCATGTGTTGAATGCATGAATAGGACAGGGGAAGGGGGAAGAGTGGAGAGATGCCCCGGGCCCTATGCCTGACCCCCACAAACTCAACCGACCTTCCGAACAGGGTCTTCACATGTGCAGTTTGCCTGCATGTTCTGAAAAGGCAGGATATGAGCTACAGAGGAAATGATCAGTACTTGCTTTCCTGCCATGTTGGCTTTCCATAGACAGAGAATGTGTAACTTGGGAAAACAACCAATCGCAGTCCATTCACACACACTTTCCTTCTATGGTTACCCAACTCCAGGAGGGCTGTGCCACACGCTTTTTCCAAAAGTTCAGAGCATCCTTCCTTGATGCTCGCATGACGACCCTTCTTATTTATACCCCTTCAATGTTCTTTAAGCAATCTGATCCATCAGCCTTCCCCAACCTGGTGCCCATCAGAACGATTAGGACTGCGGCTCCCAGAATTCCCAACCAGCAGGACCATTGACTGTGGCAGAAGATGCATCCAGCATCATGTAGCTTTTTGATGTGGAAGCAGTGGCCTCACTGGCCGAGATGCCGGGGTTTCTGATGGATCCTCCTTACTCCAGGAAGCGAATGAGGTCAACTGTGACTTTTGAGTTTTACTCTTCTTTCTGATGGATCATTGTAGGGGAAGTCAAAGGAAAACCATTGAGCAGGGTAAGAATGCTTTTTCTCAGCCAGCTATGTTTGGAGTCCGCTCTTTAAACCAAAATGCAAAGATGTCTTTGCTGGGAGGGTTGGATTTCTGACTGAACGATGCAAGGATGCATTTCAGGCAGCTAGAGGGCTTTTTAAAATTAATTAATTAAAGGTCAATGGATCTAACCAGTTGACTCAATGCCCCCAAAAGTCACAAGGCAAAGGAGCATGAAACTGGGAATCCATGCCTTAATTGCAGTCACCCTGGTCAAATGAATTGGGTATCGCACTATGGTCTTGCTGTCATTGCTGTGTGTACAAGTATGTACACACACAGTGTTTCAGAACTGACTGCCACTGCTGTGTGTATAGAAACTGAGAATTTCTAGCAAACTATATTGGCAGACCAAATACATCTTCTGAAACCCAGACCTATTTCCTGCCAACCACAAATCCCCGGTACACTACAAGCGATCTGAGGCTTTCCTGAGTGCCAGCTCCAAAGAATGGTTCAAGGTCTTTTCAGTGGCGGCCTGTCAACCATGATGCCCACCTGGTACCAACTTTGTCATCCTCTCAGTGCCAGATCAAGACAGCCCCCCGTGTTGAGGTGTTTAACGTTATGTAAGGACTTAATGGGATGCCCCTGTTCGGTTCTTCTAATAGGCCTAATTCTGCTCTAAATACAACTGTTTTAACCGTTTTGAAATGCTGTTTGTAATTTGGCATTGTGGAAAAATGTTTTTGAACTGGTTTTTGTAATTTGGTATTGTAGGAAAAGTTTTTTATGGTATCTCAGGCCTCTTTAAGAATGCTTGCAAACCACCCAGTGAGAATCTGCAGCTCGGAGGTATAGAAGTAAAATCAATAGATTTGGTAGAAAGTGCCATTGCATTAAAGACAGAAGAACATACCTTTTCAATGGAGAGCAAACTGTTTTCCTCGATGGTGCCAGAATTATCCTTCTTACCAGTCTGACAAATTGGTTTGCTGTTGTTTCTGGATGGGAGGGAACGAAAGAAGAAACATGATTTTTTTTTGTATGATTCATTCATTCATTCATTCATTCAATTTATATCCTGCCTTTTCCCCCAAAGGGCTCAAGGCAGCTTACATCATGCTCCTCCTCCATCTTATCCCCACAACAACAACCCTGTGAGGTAGGTTGGGCTGAGTGTCTCTGACTGGCCCAAAGTCACCCAGTTGGCTCCATGGCTGAGCGGGGACTCGAACCCGGATTGTCTGAGTCCCAGTCCCATGCTCTTAACCACTACACCACCCTGGCTCTCTGACTTTCTGAATAGACAATTCCTACCCATTTATTTTCAATACAAACAGCACTGATTTATTTTTATCCCAACCCATTAGCCATAAGCTCACAAGTGGCTTTTGTTTTGTACTGTTCAGAGGCCAAGCTAACCTATAGTTGCCTATGGTACAGCCAATGGTAAGGGAAAATGGGAGTTGGAGTCCAACAAATTTCAGGGACTGCAGTTGAGGTAGACAGCTAGAACAAGGCGTTGACAGAAAATAGCTCTGCCTTTAAGCACTGTCTGGGAGGACATGAAACTATCCAGTTCCAGTTCTAAGAGCCTGCAGTTCCAGAGCTGGGATGCCACAGGTTGAGCCTGCCCCCCATCCTCTTCCCATCACAGCTGGCACAAAAAGAGCCACACCGGCTGATCTTGCAAGGTTGTAACTTGCCCTTGAAGGAGGCAAAAAGGGACATGCCACAGGGTCAGGGAGGGAAGGAGGCTGGGAGCCTGCCTTGATGCCAGTTCCTATCAGCACTTTATCTAGACCAGAACAGCCAACTCAATAAAAGGCAAGGCTGATGTGATGTGATCTGATGTGATGCACCCTAAAAGCCTTGCTATGGTTACTAAGGGAGGGAAACAAACCTGGGCCCGTGCAGCCCTGGGCATTCCCCTTCTAATCCCAGGAACCCACCTACAAATTATTGCTTAATTTAATTTAATTTAACATTTCTATCCCGTCTTTCACTAATTGTCTCAAGACGTCTTACATGTTCATGTTAGCCATTCCCTCTCAAGCTGGAATGCTGGCAAAGCACTTCTTAGTACCTTGTCTTTAGAATGTGAATTGTGAATGAGATATTTCCAGAAACTTTTGTTCCATCCTATGCCTTGACCATGATTTCCAAAGAGGCAAAAAAGAGCAGCTTCCCCTTAAGCCTGAATGATGAGCGAAGAGGGCTTTGGTAGAGCCCTTTGCCCTTGAACAAAACCTTTTCCCAAGCTAAGGCACCAGCTATGCATTTTTAATGTCCTCTCCTAGAGAACAAATCTCAGAAAAAGGCTTTTCCAGATCCTTTTGCATTTTACATGTTTTCTCCAAAACAAGACACTTTTAACACGCTCTGCTCCAGTGTGAACAGCCTTTCCCCTGTGAGCCATCTTGTTCTGAAGTTGAATCCTTGGCACTGGGCTCTTTTTCAAGAGCGACTTCTCTAGATGGCTTCTGGAAGCACATCCTTGTTATTACAAACTTCTCTTGCAAGCCAAGGCACAGGGAAACTTCTGTGAACAGCCACGTTCTTGAAAGGAAGGACTCTGCTAAATTCTTTCAGCTATTCAGTGAAATTCAGTAGGGTTCAGGAGTCCTTTTGGGCTAGTGCTGGAGAAACACAGACTCCAGCCCCAGTTCAGCCATGGAATTTACTGAGCCACTTTGCACGGAGAAGCAAGTTTTAATCCTCAGTGCATGCATTTCCCTAATTATCTGCTATCCAGCACTCCTGCAGACCACACGTACCCTGCTTGGTAGAGCAAAGAGTTTGCCATGCGTAAGCATTAATGTTTAAATGTCGCAACAAGGCAGGGGTGATTGGGGGTTGCTTCTCTTGCAAATGAGTCATAGGACGCAGGTTTAGATGACGTGCAAACCTCCATCTGTGGGGAGGAAGTGAGGAGCACAGTGCCCAGTACATGCCCAGGATTAAAACCTGTGATCACCTTGGGCTCGCTCTCTCTCAGCTTCAGCTACCCTGCAGGGTCGTTGTAAGGACAGGATGGGTGTGCACATCACTGAAGCGGAACTCCATGAGCAAATAGTACACACTCATGCATCTCTTGTGTGTGGACAAGCAGTGAGGCACTGGTAATCCTGCAGATGTGGCTGGATTCCAACTCCCATTGGCCACAGCCATCATGGCTGATGGTGCCGGATGAGGGGCATTGTGGTCCAAGAATATCTGGAGGCCACAGAATCCCCACCTCTGGTAAAGATGGACAAGCAGAACAAAGAGTCGGCAGGTCATTGTATTATCTTCAGAGACCATGTTACTGCATCGGATCCAACCAGGCATTCCTTTGATGTCTGCTCGGTCAGTAACTCACCTCTCACCTGTGACCCTGTTTAACCAGATGCAAAACATGCACTGGGAGCTGTAGTTTATACCAACTGCAGGTCAGCCAGTTAAAAATATTGAGGTGCTTTAACTAGCTTTTAAAACCAGAGCACACTGAAATAGTAGCCTCAAAAAGGTTTCTGTGGACTTTCTCAAGCCGCCTCCGACACAATGGGAAGGCAGATGGATGTTGTCTGTCCAGGGTGAGAACCACAATTTCTGGGCAATGGGGGTGTTCCAGGGACAGCTTCCTCTGCATCCAGAATCCAGGTAAGCCCTTCCTCCCCTCTGCATCACCGCAGGAAGGTGAGGCAGTGCCAGAATGGGTCTTCCCACCCACAAAGACCTAGGCAGAAGAGGGCACCCAAGAACGCGTCTTGATGGGTCAGTCAGGACAGGCGTCAGCTCCTCACCCTTCAGGAAGGGGGCCCAGCTTGGTGGTGGGGGCCCTGCCTTCCCCACAGAAGCTCAGCCCCCTTGAAGGTGCTGGCATGGACCTTTCTCTTCCTGAGACCTGGCAAAGGGGCTTCCAGCCAGAATGGATCCTCTGCTGTGGAACCAGCATTGCTCAAGCCACAGAGCGGTAGCCAGTGGCAACAACCAATGGCAATCCAGCTCATCATCAGCACCGGGAAAGGAATGCCAGAATTCTTTCCCGGCAAGGCTGCTCAGCACAGCATCCTTCTTCAAGCTGGTGGCTGACCGGGCAGGTACAAGACTGACAAATGCTCCTTTTAAAGATTGCATTGCTTTAAGTACCTGTTATCCACACCTGTGAAAACAATGGTGCTATTTCAAATACATGTGTTTCTTGGTTGGCACCAGAGCCGTAGAAGCAAACTCCGTTTTATTCCTGCCATCGTGATAACGCTATGATTTAAGTGAACTTAGCATGCAACATGGCACGTATCCAGAGTATTTCTTCCATCGGCGCTAGCTGGTGTGTGCGTGTGTTTTGCTCTCCCTGAGTGAGGGAGAGCAAAGGGCGGAAGGGCGGATCGCTTGTGACCTTCGTACCTTCAGCCTGAACTAGCTTAGTCAAGGGTGGGGAATGATGGGAGTTGCAGGCCAAAATATCTAGAGGGTCACAAGTAGCCCAGCTCTGTTAGACTGCGACGGAGCGGACGGCAGAGAGGAGCGACACTCGCTCGGATTGCTGCCAAGCACAGTTGCGCACCTGGGGGTCTAACGCAGCATCCGTGCCCCCAGAGGGCCCGACCCGAGGAACGGAAGCGAGCGAGCTGCACGCCTGGCGCTGGCCCCGGGCCGGGGCCACGTCGCCCGCCTGCGCCCCGAGGCAGGGGGGGCGTGCAGGCGACCCGGGTGGCGCCCCGCGCAGCGGCGGCCGCTCTGCCCCCCCC